ATAATACGTGCAAATATGGCTACTTGTTATAATAAAACTATATTTAATTTAAACTATTATAAACTATATCGTAAATAAAAGGTATAGCCTTGTTAATTTGATTACTTTATTTAATGTATTAAAAGTTAAAATTATTAATATATATATCTTTAAGTATTTAGTTTTATAATTATAATTTGGTAATTTTTATTAATTTTATAACGTAATCGCGTTACGTATCTTCGGTTTGTTTTACATCAATTTTTAGCGCTTTTGTTCTATAAATATTTACTAAAAAAAGCCTTACCAATTGTCTTTTTAACGATTATTCTTATCTTTAACTATCGTATTATATTTAATACTCGTTCACGCTTTAATTTCGGTCAATTAAAACGCACGACTATATTCGCAATAAAATTTTACATATTATTGTTAAGTTCGATGATTTAAATACTAATAATTGCTTATAATATATTCGAATTTTGTTTTACAGTTTTATTTTCTTCTAGTTTTTTAGAATAGTAATAAAAGCCGTTTGTCATGGTCTGGTACAGGTAGCTCATGTGGTGAGTCTTGGAGCCCGGGCATGAGTACATGTACTACCATTGAATTTCAAGCTGTCACGCTTGATATTCAACATCCTTTTGGGGGGAACAGTCGTGTCATGGTGGTTATGGTGAGCATTCCGACACACCGTTGCTATAAGCGTTAAAACTGAAACCAATAGCGTTTTATTTCTTATTGTAACAACTTATTATTACTTGAAAATAAGCTATTCTTAAGTATTAATATTAAGGTCAAAATCGCAAAGTACGCGATAATATTAAGTTTATTTTTAATATTATAATATGTTAATATTAACTTACTTATAATATGCGAGAAGTCAGACAGGTGTCAGGACAGGGGATGGATCAGGATCGGGTTGGTTGCTTTGTTCGTGTCGGGTCGGTGGCCAAGAAGGGACGAATAGCTATCTAAATAGGTGGCCTGGGACCCTTACCAACCGTCTCCTAGACAGGTGGCTGTTTGGTTGCCACACAACACCCGATTGCTGTCACACACCCCATAGTGACGCACGGACCACGACAAACCACATAACAGACCCACTACTACATCTAACATAATATTTTTAAGAAGCTTTTTTGTACTGTATTTAATATGACATGCCTTGAATTTTTAACTATTTATCTTTTTAATAGATTTTTATTTTTCAATATTATTTTTAAAAGCAATTTAAATCTGTAAATCTACTAATAGTAGGATTTATTATGAAAGTAATATTCGAATAGTTAATTCAAATAGGTTTTTATATAAAATAAACTTTTTATTTTTATTTTTATTTTTATTTATTTTAAACATTGCATTTTATATTTTATTTACTATTTTAATTAAATTATATGAAGTAAATCAACTACGTATAAGGTTTTAAATATAAAGGTTTTCTTACTTATTATTAACTTTAAAGCGAATAATATTTATTAAGCTGATACCTCACATCGTATGATCGATATATTTGCTTTTGGTTTTCGTCACGCTAGAGACGATCTAATTCTTTTGAAATATCTAGCAAGATCTTTCTTATAAATATCTCTTCCCCTTTCATCTCTGATAAAATTAACAAATAAAAATGTTAGTCAATATATTAAATACTAGGACGTATTAGCGATATAGCGTTCAAGTAAATACGGGTTAATAAACTTACGTTAAGATTTCAATTATTACTTAATCATTTTATAAAACACGGTGATAAGAAATGTGCTTTACAAAATACTGTAAGGAAGTCTTCTTTTGAAAGATAGGTTTTATGACACTGGATGAGATCCTTAATCATGCGACCGTAAGCTCGTTTAAGCGGGCTAAAACAGCCAACATCTAAAGACTAGAGCCTGTGTGATGAGTGGGCAGGCATACAAAGGGTAATGATACCATTATTCTAACAATAATTCTTAAAGACCTGGAAATAATGGCTTTTATGGCCATCTAGGATGAGGAGGCGTTTACTGGTGGTCATACGCGGTCTGGTATATTTGTCAAAATGCTGAATTTATTTCACACCGATCTCATTTGTAGTCCATTCGTTGTCAGACACGGCCACTTTCTAATTGCGTGGTAATGTTATGTCGCAATACCATGACGCGAGGTGGGTTTTGCCCTATAGAATGATGAACAGCGGGACCACTTAACTATCAGCATTGATAGTAGAGATTGCTGTAGACCATTCTCTGTTGCCTTGCTGAGCTTATCTAGACCTATCGCTTCTTTTGGTGCTTGTAACGACCATGCCAGACCCAATAATGCCTATCATAAACCCAGTCTTGTCAAAGTTATAAATATCCGCGTCTTGGATATTATATTTTGCGGTTGCTGCTATAACTTGGCAAAACCACGCGCAATACGCGTTTGGATCTTCATTCAAGATCCTCTGGTAGTCCATTCCCTGATAAAAATGCGTCTAAAGGCCTGGTGTATGTTTAATGAAGATCCGCGTCTAGTTCTTTCTAACGCGTCCAGCCCTATGTGCCATTAATAAATGATTCACTATATCTTCAACATAACTGTGCTGGGGTAGAAATGCTCGCGCATCCAGGTCAAAAATGAAATAAAGAATGACATTCTCTTTAAAAACCGTAAGTTTCAAAGTATTAGGCATACTGTCGCGCCGTGATTATCGGCCAGTAATTCTAGCCTTTAAGGTATTATATAGGACGTGGAAAGTTTTAGAAAGCTTGTCAATAGTAATATGAGGGTCGCGTTGTTTAGCTTGGACAGTAAGCTGTAAGTCTGATTTGCTGTAATGTAATGCTATTATTATTGGTTAATCAATTAGGAGCATTGATGAAAAGGTAAGGTGGCTGGTGAAAAGTTGCCGTTTGCTTGTAATTGCTGCTCGCTTGTTATCTACGTTAAAAGTAATAAGTTTGTTAAAACAGAAAAACTAAGATGTTTTAAAATAAAATCACTTATTTAACTATATTTATTTTCAAAAAATATTAGTTTAAAAAAACTTAAATATAATACAATTTTATACTTAACTACGCAAAAAAAATGCGTACTTTATATACGGTTATAGTAGAAAAAAACGTTAAATATATTTAAAATGAGACTTATATTATATTATGACAATGTATCCTTTTTTAATCTTATTTAACTGTAAATTTAAACGCTAAATTCTTATCTTAGTAATCTTTTGGTCGGCCTTAGCGTTTTAAAAGTATATTTAAGAATTTTCCAAGTTTTAAACTTTGCTTACCGAACACGCCTTAATAATAATAAAGCGATACTGTAAGAAAGAGGGACTTCTGTAGAGGGGAAGAGGGGCTGCCCAACTTGACAATGAGTCAGCGAGTCTGGTGTACAGAAAAGAAGTAAGGGGACATTGCATGGTTCCAACTCACTCATCTCACTCATATCCAAGCGGTCTATTGTGTTTCACAAGATGCGATTGACGGATAGGCACATCTGTGGCACAGTACCTACGTAAGGCGGGCTGATCCATGGATGTGGTACAGGGGCCCCTATATGTTAATGACATCACCGACTGCTTACATAATAGCTACTGTGCTCCAGAGTTGTTGCAATGCCGCCCAAACACAGCCCAGGTTCTGGCCGATCTCCTCTCAATATATCCCATATATTTTCCAAAAGGGGGAGATGATCAGGCGGTCCAAGATATTTTCAGCTGCGTTAGCTTTCCCCGCCGTTCGGCCGCAGCGAAGCCAAGAGCACCCCTACATATTATTATTGGGCACTGGTTTGTCTTTGTCTCATTGTGGGGAATCAGGAACTATCACCACGGCAATTCTCAGACTCTCACGCGTGCGGTCACTTGTCATATTGATGAATAGCAAGAGGCTGCACAGGTGATTACTAGTACAGTACACCACCAACAATAATGGCTGAACCGTATCACCACATCAACCAGGTATGTATGTAGGCTGTTATTCAGCGCAGCCACCCATCTCCCATGCGTGATTATTGCTCGCCATCGGTGGCTCTTGGCGCGCGCGTGGTCGCAGCATCCCTCGGCGGACCGTCACACTTCAATGGCCCATACTGGTATCTTCAACGAAACAGCCGGGTCGTACACCGACGGTCCTGTTTCCAAGAATCAAGAACGCCGTGCGAAGTTGTGGATAGATCTTGTGTAACTCTTTGGCAAAATGATCACCTGTGAACAGCAGGTGTACCTACTTACAGTGATACGTGTTCGCATGGTTCACCTAGTCACCGCTTGCCGTACGCAGATCCTATCGTCAACACGTTGGGTGTAAATTGTCTGGCTTGGCGAACAGGTGGTCCGTGAGGAGTAGTAAAGTGTTGCCCAGAAAAGGCGGTAGTACCAGACCTTAACCTCCTGAGACACTACGGTAAACACCGATATCCAACTTTGATGTTGCGCCAGGGAGAGGACCGCATTCGGAATTGGGGTCGCGATGCTACCTCTACCTAGTATGCTGCTCCTACCTTCCCCCGAGAAAGTCAGACCCATCATAATTAGAACGACAGATAGTTCATATATGACTACATTTCAAGGGTTATGCTCAACCACGTAGGGACAGAAGAAGGGCCTTCCCTGTTATGACAACTCAGCCAGGCTCCAACATGCCTTGCTGTCAAGTTCCGATTTCTGCACTCAGACGGACAGAGACAAACCTCATTCATTCCTCCGCAGATGAAGTTTTAGGATCCAAATCTCTCTGAGATTCTTCTTTGTCCCGAAAATATTCCAAACAGAATGGAATGGCATGGCATGGTATGGCATGGCAACTGCCAATGGAGTGTCTCGGCATTCCTGTTCCGGAAGGAGAGGGAAGGGGGATGAGGCTTGCTCATCCCTTTGAAGCTTCATCAACAATGACTCCCAGCCTGACCTGATCCCTCTCCTCTCTTACCTCTCGATCTCTCCAATCTGCCGCTCGGGATAGCTTCGCCTCCAAGCAAGCAAAGTAGAGCAAATCGTCGCTTCGTCACTGGGATAATAAACGCACAAGTGCTTCGAGATCGTTGCCCTCGTCGTCATCATGGCGGCGCCAGACACCCAGCCTCAAGATGGGAACGAGAACGGGGTCCAAGTGACCGAGGTGTACGACACCATGCAGGGCTTCATCAAGGCTACGCATTGGGGGAAGCCGTACTACAGCTCTTTCATCCACAATAACCCTTCGATACAAACCCAGCTGCTCGACCATGTCAGCTGCAGCTACGTGTCGACCCCGGGCCGGTCGCCGACGCTGCTCGCGCTGAAGCAGCACGCGCAGTCGCTGACGGCGCTGATCCAAATGATCGCCCCCTCTCAGATCGGGGCCGAGATCGACAATGAGAACACGAAGCAGGGCGACCACGGGTTCGCCAGGGAGCAGGCCTTCGACTGGCTGAATAACCTGCAGATGCACTACAACACCGAAGACAAGATGCACAAGTTGCCACTCAACGCGCTGGCCAACCTGATCGAGGACAACAACGACATCGAGGGCCCCAAGTGGCACTGTGCGCTGGAAGCCTCGGACCTCAAGTTCGTCGAGGAGGACCCGGATCAGCAGTTCCGCCCCTTCCACTCGCACATGACGCTCCTGATGCACGCCAACGAGTGTCTGGAGCGCCTGGACCACGAGTACTCGGCCATGGGCGGCATCCTCGCCGTCATCCCGCTCGAGGCCGAGACCGTGAACGAGAAGGCCGAGCTGGAGAAGGCCAAGAAGACGCTGATCGGCCAGTGGATCCTGTTCACGCAGCACCTCACGGGCCGCATGCACGAGCTCGAGATCAACTACGCGAACTGCCTGGACCTTCTCGCAAACGAGGCCGTCGTCCCCATGCAGCACCTGAGCGCCCACGGGCCCGACGGCCGCTCCGGCCGGGAGATCGTGTTCCCCCAGGACAAATTCATCCTGGCCAACGCCGGCGAGGACGTCCAGACCTTCATCCACCAGATGCTGGACAGGCAAGAAGCCTACGACGAAAAGGTAGACCAACGGTATGGTGAGCAGGAGGTGGTCGGGGAGGGCATTTGGAAAGATAATGAAAAAGCCCGCGGCATCGTCAAGCTGGACCTCAGCACGCGGTACTACCGCCTCAGAAACAGCGGCCACGGGCCACTCTTCGTCCTCCCGGCCTTCGGAGACCGCCCGAACACCGAGTACACCAGGGACCTGGAGGGGCGGCCCACGGTGGTCACGGTGCCGGAGCCGTTTATGCCAACGCGCACCACCGAGTGGGATAGGCAGCTTCATGATAACACCGACGAGCTCCAACAGTTGAAGATCGACAATAGCAACTTGCAGAGCAAGCTCGCCAACTGTGAAGGCATGCGGGAAATCGCCCAAGACGAGGTTGATCAGCTGCGTGCTTACAGGAAAAGCGCGAGCAGGGTATCCAATAGTACCAGCGACAGCACAGCGGAGCATATAACCAACCTCGAGGCGGATGTCGAAAATCTCAAGAAAAAGCTCAAGGACTGCATGGCCAACGGCAATTCCATGACCGACGAGCTGACCGCCTTCCGGTTGTCGAACCAGGCTAAACATGACGGCAAGGACTCCATAGCGAGCCTGGCAGCAGAAATCAGCAACCTGAAGTTGAAACTCCAGGGGACGGATATGAAGGTGATCGACAGGGAGATGCGGATCAGGCAATTGAACAAAGAGCTGAGTAATTTGAAACTCCGGCCGGCTGACACTAGCGACATCAGCGTATTGCAGAATCGCGTATTGGAGCTCGAGGCAAGCGAAAGGAGCGCCCTGGCAAGAGAGCAGGACGCCGTGAGGACTCAGCGCAGCCTCGAGCAGAACCTGCGTGACGCAATCAAGGAGAGGGATGACCTGCGAAACGAGAGGGATGCGCTGCGAACCACAGTGAACAGCAACGCGTCGGGCCAGACACCACAAGACCTGGAGGCCATAATCCAGGAGAGGATTAACCTGCAAAAGGAGAAGGATGCGTATTTTGCAGTGCAAACCATGGTGACCGGCAACGCGTCGGGCCAGACACTACAAGCCGCCGGGCTGCCAGACGACCTGCCAGCCAACTACCTTCCTGACGCATATGAGTACAGGAACGCTGCCAAGAACCTCGTGATCATTTCCGCGAAGGTATATGACGAGCTGAGGGAACTCAACAATAAGGCGGCCCTAGCCGAGCAACAGGTCGATGAGTGCCACACCCAAACATCGAGTCTCCAGCTTCAACTCGACAACGCCAAGCAGCAGGTCACGCAGCTGAGTACCCAGCTATCGCAAGCACAGGACGCTCTCAAGAATGCTCAGGCACAAGCGCCGTTAATTCAGAGCGAAAGCGATTTCCTGACCAGGCAGCAGCTGGCTAATTGCCGCGAACGAGAGAAGCAGCTGGACGCCGCGCTGCAGACAGCATACACGCGCCTAAAGAAAGCAGAGGACGATCTAAAACAAGCACAGAACGATCTCAAGAAAGCTCAGGGCAGCGATGACCTCGCGGGTCGGCTGCACGCCTCAGAAGAAGAAGTGAAAGAACTGGAGGCCAAGCTGCGGCAAGCAGTCGAGGACCTATCGCTTGCAGATCAGCGTCTCACGGAAGCTCAGGGCGACAACGACCGCGCGCGTCAGATGCAGGATCTACGCGTAGCAGAGAGAAAACTGAAGGAGCAGTCGCGAAAATCAGACGCGGAGCTAAAGGAAGCACAGGACGCGCTCAAGCAAGAACAGGACAACCTGATAAATTGCAACGCCCAGGTGAAGACATTGGAGTCGCAGGCGGCCCAGGCGCCGCAAGACCCGGCGCAGACGCAGGCCCTAAAGGCCCTAGAGGAGGAGAAGCAGCAAGCAGAGAAGAGCCTGAAGTCATGCCAGGCCGTGGTGACGACGTTGCAGGGCCGGTCGATGGCGGCCGAGACCGAGGTGGCGAGGTTGCAGACCCAGCTGCAGGCGGCCCAGGAGGCCCTAGAGAAGGCGCAGAAAGAGACCACGGACGAGCTGAATAAATGCAAGCAGCAGGTCGAGAGCCTGAAGACGCAGCTGGAGACGGTGAAGACGAAGGGCCAGACGAAGTCTGTCGAGGCGGCGTTGAAGCTGAAAGAGGAGGAGTTGGAAAAGCTGAAGTCGCAGGCGGAGCAGCTGAAGGCAGCAGCCCAGCCGGGGGCGAAGCCGCCGCAGACGCTGCCGCGCTCCACGTTGCCCGTTATCCAGCTGCCGTACGACATCGGCCCGCGCGGCACGTTCATAGAGAAGGATTTAATCGTGTCCAAGGTCGCGTACCACGAGGCCCTCGTGCAGATGGCCAAGATGGGCCGGGAGGCCAGTGATGGCATCGACCGCACGATACATTTCGTCTCTCCGCTGTTCAACGGCCCCGACAAGAAACTCAACAAGAAGGACTTTGGGTGGATGATAGAGATCCAACAGGATCCCGTGTTCAAACATCCGGACGTTTCGTCGATCATGAGGTGATGAAGCTCGCTTTTGATGTCTTGATGCCTTGCCGCCTCGACGGGCTTTGGGGTGAGATGTAATAATAATACTGTGGTGCGAGAAGGAGGTGAACCGGATGATTGGGGGGGCCCTTAGGTTGGGCTGTTGTTGTTGGAGGCTGGTTCTTTGGTTTCGTGTGTTACATGTAACAATAGAAGTGCTAGCTACCGCGTAGTCCGGTGCCACTGAATTAATCAGGTCTCTTTTGTCGGCTTCAAAACGTTCGCTCTCACGCCGAGGTGGTGATTGTCTCAGTTTGTCGAGGTCATGCTCACTGCTGAATTTTGATTGTGTGTGTGTGCCCGCACCCTCACGGTGGTACAAGTGGGAGTGTGTGTACCGTGATCTTAAAGTTCTCACTCCTTTTAATCAAATCAATTGCACAACATGTAAAGATAGGTAGTTCAAGATGGAAGTTGGATGTGTGGTGTATCGTGAGGATCTGTACCTAGTCAAGGGTCAGGGGTCAGGGGTCAGGGTTGGGGTTAATAAGAAGTGGGCAGAGCTGCATTATTGGCGGCTTATCCGCTTATCAGCTATCGCAGCCTATCAGTCTGGCATCAATGGGCTGATCTCGAACTTCGCGAATCGCAACCCTGGCTGCGTTACCCCGACAACCAGCCCAATGCGGGCAATCCACCGCCGCGCGCACCGGGAACACAAAGTCCTGATTAATAGAGGGTTCAAGGTGACCGTGGCAGTGGCAGTGAGGTATTGTCAATTTATCAATTCCTGTCTATATGCCACTCATCGTTTCAGCGTCTTCAGCGTTCACCATCGAGACATCAATGCCATCATCCGACACACCTTGATTGCTGTCTTTGTTTGTATGACGGGGACGAGGGGCGTCTCTGCTTATGTACCCCACCAAGCACATACGACATCCCGTGTTGATCGCGAACGCAAACAACCCTGCCTGCCCCGTGCTCTCAACTGCCAACTGGACAGCCTGGACTATCCCCGGCCAACTCATCGCGCAAGCCGGCCCATAGGCCACCGGGTTAAGACACTTTTTCTTCTTCTGCCGTATCCTCATTTGCTGGCTTTCTCCATTCTCTTGCAGTTCGGCTGAGAGACGATGCTTCTGCCAGGGCTGAGTGAGGTGAAGCAATGAAGAAGGCGTCTTCCTTCGGGACGGTGTCGTCGGCCTCGCTGACGGGCCATGGATTCGGCTCGGCCCCATTATTACCGCCATCGCGGACAACAACATCGACAACAACATCGACAACAACGACAACAGCAGCTACCCGGTCCGCGATATTGCTCGCCGTTTGCATGTTCTTGTCAAGCACTGTCGCCGCCCAGACACTGCCGTACATCCCCACCAATATATTCATCCCGGCGCCCAGGACGGCGCAAACGCAACAAGATGGCACGGCCGACATCGCTTACATCTTCTCACCTCAGGACGACGACTCAGTTGACTTGCTGGCACTCAACCTCTCGAAAAGCCTGAAGGCCTCATCCTTCTCCTTCAAGACCCTGTCATCTGGCCTACCGTTTCTTGATGGCAACAATACCGCTTTTACCCCGTCACTCGCCGACAATGGATCACTCATCGTCTACGCCGGCGACTGTTCGTCATCAAACACGTCTGGGATCTGGACCTTCACTTCCTCGACTAACGACGATGCATCGGCCCAGTGGGTCCAACAAAGCACCACCATATCTACCGCGGACGACACCCTCCAGACAGGGCCGGGCTTTCTCGGTAGCAGCTTCAGCTTCTCAACTACTTTGGAGCCACAAACGTCCGAGGCGAATACATACGTCTACGGCGGCATGTGCCCGGACAGTACCCTGGACTATGCCTCACCACAAGGCAGGGCGACATACTCGAACCAAATGGTCAAGGTCGCACCCTCGGATTCCAGTATCGACGGTTACACAGTCACACCCGTCAGCAGCAAGGGCCCGCCTGTAGCGGAAGCCGGTTTCACATTCACAGGCCTGTACCCGTCCATCTCGAATCACTCGGGTATGGTGACACAGCAGGTCAACTACGTCCTACTGGGCGGTCACACCCAGTGGGCATTCGTCAACATGAGCACTGTCGCGATCTGGAACCTCCCGGAAGAAAGCTGGGCCTTCGTCTCGGACATTGGGTTGGCGGCGTCAAGCACGAGTGGTACCGACTTGGCTGTTGAGAGTGCAGTCTCGAGCATAGACAGTCGCTCGGGTCACACAGCCCTGCTGAACGAAGATGGAACATCCCTGATCATATTGGGTGGCTGGGTGGGCGACCTGACCCAGGCAGCTTCGCCGCAACTCGCGATCCTCGAGGTCGGATCGGGGTACGGCGGTGAGGGAGACTGGCAGTGGTCGGTTCCTGATACTCAGCCATCAGCCGGTATATACGGACATGGCGCTGCCCTCCTCCCCGGTAACGTGATGATGGTTTATGGAGGCTACAGCATTTCTTCCTCGGGAAACAAATTTAGGAGACAGGGTTCTGCCGGCACACCCACCTTCCTCAACCTTACTTCAATGACGTGGTCCGATGACTATACAAATCCATCTTACAACGCGAACGTTCCGGATGGTGACTCTGACGACCTCAGTGAAAAGACCAAACAGCATCTAGGCCTAGGGCTTGGTCTGGGACTCGGGGGTGTGGCGATTATTGCAGCTGTTCTGGTTTATATATATTACCGTCGCCGACTACGAGACAGGCGTCTCATCCGTGATTCTCAGATTCGCGAATTAGCGCAAGATGATTCACGGTTCCTAGGCCACGAGGATGAGATGATGGAGCATGACCAAGGAGGGTCATGGTATATGGGTGGTGCAGATCCCTATGCGCAAGGGAGCCGCTCGCTGGGATATCAGAGCTTGCAGACAAATCGCGGGAGCATGGACAACAGCCGCCAGCACTGGTTCGGCGACATGCCGCCCATACAGCCGGTAGCAAGGAAACCCGTCGCTCCCCGTTCGGCGAGAGGTCAATATCAGCCAATGCCCGCAGCGGTGTATGATCCCTATGATCCCGCGCACAACTCACGGGGCCCAGGAGGCATGAACCCCATCTACGAGGCAGACGAAGACGACGCCCTGCAATATGGCGGGGGCAATATAGTTGGCGACCCGATCAGCCCATTGCGCGACGCGCACCGAGACAGTGGCCAATATTCAAATCCGTTCGTGTCGCCCGTGCACGAGCGTCCGCTCTCCTTTCCACCACCCAGCCGCGCCTCAGCGTCGCCGAGTCCCGAGGACCGTCGCCGCAATTCGGCCACAGATCCCGAAGTGCAGGACTGGATGTTTAATCTGGACGCCGCCGATGCGCTCCTAAGACCACGCCCGGCAGCAGGCGGGGCAGGGCGCCCCTCTTCATCACCCACACGCCGTAACACCGTCAGGTCAACCCGCTCGCTCGGCGGCCACACAGCCGAGAATGACGAAGGGGGCTCGCGCACGGGGAGCAACATCTCTGAATCAAATCGTAGCAACTTAAGCCCTAGCCGGTCAGGCTCCGTGCGCTCACACCTGCGCGTCGGGTTCGGCATGGCAGCCGCGGCCGCGGGCATCGCTACCGAAGACCGCGGCGGAACAAGCAGCAGCTCGAGCTCGGCGCCGACCTACAACACGGCCAAGAGCAGCTTCCCCACGATGCAGGCCGAAGGCCCGACGCTGCTCATGGGCCGGGACAGGGACGAGGAGGAGATGCAGGAGCCCGGCAGCCCGAGCAAGAACAAGCCGCGGCGCAGCTGGTTCGGCAGCCTGCGGCGCGTGTTCAGCGGGCCGACGCCGAGCCCCAGTTCAGGGGAGAGTATGGACAGGGACGAAGGCGACCCGTTCCGCGACAGCATGGCGGAGGCCAGCGACTACGACGCGCGACGCGGCGGGCTGGGCGGCATCGCCGCCGACGGGCTCCTGCTGCGGCGGAAGGGCGGGCGCGGGGCCTGGGAGGGCCAGGGGCGCGGTAGACCGGGTTCCGGCCGCGGGAGCTACGCGCAGCTGGGGACGGGGGGCGCGGGCGCGGGCGCTGGCGACCTGGGCGACGGCGAAGACCACGACGATGACGACGACTGGGACATCGAGAGGGCGGTCGAGCAGCGACTCGTGCAGGTCATGTTTACGGTGCCTAAGGAGCGCCTGAGGGTGGTTAATGCGGAGCCCGAGATGGAGTGGGAGAGCGGGGAGGACGTCGTTGTTGTCGATCCCGCTCGGGAGCGCGCAGCGCAGCCCCAGGAGGAGGGGAGGCGGGAGGGGCCTGCTGTTGCACAACACCACCCTGGGCTTGCGGTTCCATTGTCGCAACCTGAACCTCGCCGTCCAGAACCCATACCGGCAGCAGAGCCGGAGAGGATACAACCTGCAGGCTTGGGCCTGCAGATTCCGCTCGCGACGTGGACTACGGCTGCGGATTCCATTCCGACACCGAGCCCCGTGAGCGAGAACTGGCCGATGCGGCGGGACGACCCCGAGAAGGAAGCTCTGCGTCGTGAACTGGATGCCGAGTGGGCTAGGGCCGAGGCAGAGGCGGCTGAGAAGGACATGCGGCAGCAGCAGCAAACTGTCCTCGACCAGGAGATCGAGAAGCTGGGACTGGAACTGCAGCGCGATAACGAGAGGGCGCGGGCCCGGTCCCGGGAGGAGACCCCAGAGCACCACGACCACCTGGTTGACCGTGCACCAGAGCCAGAAACCGAGCCCGAGCCCGAGCCCAAGCATCTTATTGCCCGTAATCTGGATATCGTCAGCAGGGACGTAAATACCAGTAGCAGCAGCAGTGAAGACGACGCTCCCGCGCCGCTGACGCCGCGGTCCGATCGGAAGCCGCGGTCTCGTGTCCTGGCTATGGTTGAGCATCTGGAGAGCAAGAGCCGCGAGGGCAGTCCGTCGACCTCGCCTACGCGGGGGTCGCCTTTGCGGTGATCTGCAGCGGCCGCGTTTGTATGTATTATACTCGGGGAGACCGGGGAAAGGATACGTGTTTGGATACCTTAGGGACAAGATTACTTTCCTCTGTGTGTGCCTGATGTGTCCCAGGTGGGTTCCGGGGCCTTCCCCTGAGGCGTGAGAGGGAAGCGCTGGGACGGACGGACTACATTCTGTGGATGCTTGGATGGATATTTGGATGTATGGATGGATACCAAGGGTCATACCGGCGTTGTGGAATATATGTTGATTTTTGTTCGCGTATCTTGCATTGTTCTCCGTATGTGGGGGTTTGTATTGAACCATCAGCGGATGCTTTTAGTAGTTGCATAGCATGGGGCATACTATGTGACATCAGATATGGTGACATATATGCGAATGATACATTCTGGTCAAAGTTCTTACGTTCCATATGGGTATTGGACTTGATCACGTGGAGACCCTTGGCTCTTCAATAGAGGTTTATGCCCCTTCGAGAGACCGCGTCCCTCTAGGAGGAGCTCTTGGATACCTAGTAAGTCACAGGAGAAAACCAGCCAAGGGATCTGCTGTGTCGTCTATTCACGCACCTTGTTGAAACTCTCTCGTGCATGGCATGCCGGTCACGTAGATGAACGCATGCTACTGTGGCCATGAAATTACCCGAGAAGCAGCCCGCCGTGCAGCCACGAGCAGCCTACAACTCGTTTGAGTTCTCTAAATCTGTGCAAGATTTTGATGTCTAAGGGCTGTGACCATAAGTACTGCTGCTGTCGACGATAGTTCTGGCATACCTACCTATGCAATGGAAGCACCCTTGATATGTTCTGGACAGGATGGATGGACGGGATGACTATGTGAGCACACCCTCTTGCAGAAAATCCGGGCGAGAACTGCTGTAGCGGACAGCCACGATATGTACTCGAGGATTCACCGTGAAGCGGCAGAATATTGCCGTTTGTGTGCTTCCTCCGAGTCGAACGTGTTGGACATGAGCTTCATGCCGCCCTTGGAAAGGGGTCATGGCTTCTTGAGGTTAATGCGTTCTCCCCCAACAATGTGGTCGTAGAAGCCTCTGCAGAACAGTGACATTGAAATGCGTGTATGAACATCAAGCATATGGCCATGAAATCTCACAATGAAGTAAGCACCGTTGACTCCTTCACCGTCAACCACATCATAGAAGTGAACGCCAATCCATCATCACCTAGGAGGGGTGTGAGCGATGATGCAGCGCCCTACCTGTAAACGATACCTTATGATCATATCGACACAGCTCCAAAGAAAAACTATCTCAGCTCTTGGCACCAAAAGCCACGCATCCCACCACCAAGCCTGGCTACCGAAGCTGTCGCTCGAAATCGAAAAAAAACACGGTCGTTGCCCAAGCAAATTCCTTATTGTGGTCCAGTGGGTTCGACCCAAAAATCAACGGATCCCAAATCTGCAACAAGATCTGCGCTGGGGCTTAAAGAGATAGTGGCCGATCCTCATCTCGGGCTCTCGGCCCACTGCACACGCGGGCCCCTGAGAGTGCCCACAGCGCTTCCGCAAGTCAACGCGACTGTGCGAGCGGACAGCGGCCCCCTTGATCCGTGCACACTCCTGCAGAGAGACTCTTGAATCCTGAAATCCGGTTCACCGTTCCCCTGAATTGCTCTTCGGAGATTTTCTGCATCGACAGTCCTTGACTTCCTGGATTCTGCCACGTATGTAGATTTGACAGTCGACAGAATAAAATGTCATCAATTCAAAAATACAACTCCAGACCGAGATGCTGAAGGATTTCTTCCGGCTCTTTTCGAGATCCTAATAATAGGGCGCTAAGATAAGACCCTCACGTCACTGGTCCGGCGACGGCGTGCCCGGTGAGGCAGCAATTGGCCACTATCTGCCCAGAGCTCGGTGACGAGTTTTGGCAGGGTGATTTTTTCAATGTTGGTCGATGACGTAGTGTCTCTTCATAGGATCTGTTTCCACGAGCGGGCATGGATCATACTTATCACTGTAAAAACAAGGCGTGAGCGCGGCGCGTCATTGCCCGAATTGTGAGCTGCGAAACCCACTGAATGGGAGATTGACGGATCAGATCTGACGTGGGGGTACCCAGGTATGTAGCTGACCTCAGGTGCTTTCCGGCTGCTTGTGCGATGCGACTGAGACGTCGAAGTCTCGGGGCGGCTCATGAAGCGAAAGCGAGTAAAGCACTTGCTGTCGCACATTGCGTCGGGTGGTTTGATGCCCAAGAGAGTTCTTTGCGTGATGTGGTCTGCCAGCGCGAAAGGAACTGGCTGGCATCGGCAGTTGTTACTTGCAAAAGGCCTGGCCAGGGCCACTGAAGAGAGCCTTGCATTTTGGAGGATCTGAAAGATACCGGGATGGATGCAGGGTTAGGCGGGCAAAGCACAAAGCCGATGTGAAGTTAAAGATACCTACCGAAATAGCATTGACCTTCAATCACAAAAGCGTGTTCCTATCCGCGCGGGATTTCGACGTGTTGCGCCTCCAACCAACTGAGATACTTGGGCAACCGCCTGGGGGGCCGAAGCGCCGGCGAGCTGAAAGCCAATGACCCTGGTGAGCAACACTCCATGTCGACTCGAGGCACGAGCAATAAGTGACAGCACGTACGGCCAGCAATGATTGGTTTGCTGTCGCGGCAGGAAACGTCCCTAGCCGAGGAACAGGAAACAAATCGACACATTACCCGTAAGTGTGATGGATTGCAATATATCGCGGGCATCGGCAAGCTGCAGCGGTCTTTTTGCCCGATTTCCAACCGAAAAAGGGCACGGCCGATTCGGCTATCTCTTGGCCCAGTAATAAAGGCCAGCGCGGTCGTGACACACCTGGCATGGAGCCTCTGTGGGAGCCGGCGACCATCGTGAAAGGGGAATGTGATTCGGGCCTTGATACCCATGTTCTGATGCCGAATCCTGTTGCGATTCCTTCCTTTCGCCTTGTCCGTCTTCTTGGGTTGGACAGAGCATCCATTCACCCCGCAAGCGTCGGCAGTGCGGGGGAGGTTGGTATTACACACAGCACTTTGTTCATGTCGTTCAAGTTGCGTGGCGTCTTTGCAACCAGGCTCACTAAAACCGGCAGGTATGATGCCATCGTGACCGGAGCCATCCGAGGTCACGGAGTATCCGATAATCCAAATCCATACGCTTGGGTGGACATGATGGCATCGTACTACTACATGGTTCGCAGATGACGATAATGGTTCTGTTGTTGAACGAGAGGCAAAATGTCGCCTTCGTCGGTGAAGAGTCGAGACCCCCATGCCCCTGTCACATTGAATTCGGTGTCCCTCCTTCGAGTGCGGCTCGAGAATGATGCTGCCGTCGATGCTCTGACATGTTGATAAGGATCACACTAATGACTTACCCGGCAAACGGTCGAGATCTGGCTAATTGGACGAGCCGAATATTCAAGTGTGGCTGTGAGGGAGGTTCGGCAGGTCGGATTGAGATACCTATGTAGGCGGTGATAGTCGTCTGGGTGGTACGAGCCATTAAGCAATCACAATAAAGCAGCTAGCGATCCGGTCCGGAAGCTTGAGGAAATGCACGAGCTGGCCCCTCCCCACTAATAGCACACCCATGCTACCCCACACTTACGAGTATGAATACTTCATAACCCCTGCCACCTAATTACAGTGCGCTAAGTATGCACAGACTATATCCGCTCATGATCGGATTATGGGCGCCGGTTAAGGCTAGTAGTTAAGATTAGGGTCGGTTAGTAGTTAGGGTTAGTGGTTAGGGCTTAAGGTTAGTAGTTAGGGCTTCGGGTTAAAGTTAAGGCTTAAGGTTCCCTTGGAATATGGTAAAATAATATCGTGCAACCCGTAAGCGGATCATGAGCGGATCATGATCGGATCATGAGCGCATTATGTAAGCGGTTCATAAGTGTCAGATACCAGCGTGCCGCTCTGGCCACGTCTAGTACTAGCCATGTCACGTGGATGAGCTGGTCCTAGCATGGGACTAGCGCACACAGCCAAATTAGTGCTAGAACCAGATAGACGAGCAGAACTTGCTCATCACCACAACATAAATCACAATACATCTGACCGCTGTATTCAACAATAAGCGACCGATATAGGACCATAACGGGTATAGTTGTCGCACATCTAGCGTACTAAGATTAGGTGGCAAAGGCATAATAAAGTACTCATACCCCTAAGTAGATACGACCAGGGGTACATTTAAAAGTGGAGAGGGTCAGCCGGTGCATATACTCCAGAAGCTTACCCGATTTAGATCTGATTATGGTTGGAACTCTGCGGCTTGTCGAGGGGTTCGACATCCCCTGGCGAGGGAAACTCGGTAAACTTTATATTCGAGGGAGGCGGCGTCTGCTAGCGCTTCCCTAGAGAGAATAGTCGCGATAGGCATACCTGGTGTCCGGCCTACTACTATAGGCATCTTTAGCTCTCCCTGGATTCTGGAAGCTCACAGATCGTGATCCGGTGTCGTGATCGCTGTCAGAAAGCAGGCTGGCGAAAGGCTTGCTGGTGTTGTGCAGCCACCCGTCCTTTTTGAGGGACACTGGAAAGCAGGGAACCCCACGGCAAGCGCGGACAAGGGATGTCGTTGCGGGGGTGGTGGAACAGACGCGAAGAGGTCGCCGACCGTACATGTAGGATTCACCATTGGACGTGTCGCGGCTAGAAAGGAGAGGTCAACAGACACGATGGGCCAGGACAGTAGTAATTCACAAATACAGTTCACAAACGCAACTCCAGTTTCTAGATATGGTAATTCACACTCGAGAGTCTGAAATCATTGTCGCCATACTCGGACCTCGACGCGTTTGCTGGTTGGTTAGTAGTATTGCCCCTGATTATCGTGGACTCCCACTCTTCAAGCTTCGACACATCCTGTACCATATATGGCCAATGAATGAAGGCTGATGTTTCAAACAGCGAGTGATTGTTGTTTCGGCCTTTCGGACGGAATCCCATCATTTTTGTTTCGTTTCGTGTCGGGCATGGGCTGCATGCCGTGTCTTATGTCTTACTCGCAAGCGAACGATATCGGTGCAGCACGTCAAGACACAACAGCGGAAGCTGTGACATCCGCCGGTATTGCCTCCATAAAACGCAGTGACCACCCTCAAACGACGTCCCGCAGGGGCGTCGGGGGGCGTGCCCCATCGGGGGCAGGCGGCCTGTCACCTCAAAACCAATGAAATCGTTCGAAAAAGCTGGTCCCGAAGGGACCCCTCTTCGATACTTCTCGATACTTACTCACAGGCCGTCTGGTGGTCTGAGCTTTTTTCAGGCAACGCCGGTAGGTTCAAATTGGACAAAGGGGAGGGAACATCTTGACCTGATATTCAAACTGTTCTTCGTTTGCGATTACATTTGGAAGACGGGGCTTCCCTGGCCAACGCCAGCCGATGGTGACGACATTATCCACTCGGCCATATCCCCAGCGGGCCTTGGAGGTGAGCCACTGGCATACTATATTTTCCTGGTTTATTCTGCCTACCTATCAGCCTATCCAGGTCTTGCGGAATCATATTCTCATGATCATTGATAGTTTATACCGAAGCCTGATAGTGACTCCTGCAGCCACACCTGTACTGCCTGCATCTGTGGTGCATGTAATCAAATCAATCAGTTCCTTCGCTGCGACGGCTTCATCGTAAGGTATATCTACTGGACTGGCACGAACTAGCTCCCTTCCAGAGCAGAGGTTGTGTGCCTGTAGCTCCCCGTCTAGGCCCGAAGAGGCATCAGTAGATCTTCATTTCGGGTTGTCGGGCTGTATGTGCTCTTCTAGGTAAGGGCTAACCAACCGCCAGTCATGCCGCTACTCTGTAATTGTATTATTCGCCATTCTTCCTCTGTTCATTCCAAGCTGCGTCTTCCTCCTCCTCTCAACACAATTCCGTCTCTTCTCACCCTCGCTTCTATCTTGTTGTTTGCTGCGCTGTGTGTCAGTTTCCATTTGGGAAGAGTCACCTGCTTACCGTTACTCTTCTTTTCCGCTCATTGCCTTGTACTTATCCATTCGTCCATTCTTCGTTACTCACGAAGCAAGCCACTCCGTTTCGTTTCAATAGAGCTAAGCTCTCAGCCATTCTTTTCGGGCCTGCCTGTCCCTGTCCGCCTGCCGCGAAACAGCCGGGCAATTTAGAAAATACAGGTCTCGTACCGCCTGGCGAACCGTACTGCAGTGAACCACCACAACCAACACCTGTGGACCACCGTGGACTACCGTGCACGACCCGTCCTCTTCCAGCCATTCCGGCCGCTACGCTGCGCTAGAGCTTTTAGGCAACTGGACCACTGGAACAGGCCAGGGCCTCGGATCCCACCTGGACGCCACCCCTCCCCTGCCGGGCCTGCCCTAGCCTTCCAAGGTTCCTAACGGGCACCCTACCAGCCTACCTACCTTAGGTACCGAAAGCACTGTATCACAGGCCTGCCTGCCTGCCTGTCTTCCATGCTCATTCTCTCCTTCCTTCGCGTCCCATCTCATCTTGATCTCTCCTCTCCTCCGAGAGTCAGAGACACCTGAGTTTCGTGACCGTCCTCTGCCATCTCTCGTTAAAGGCATCCTAAGTCTTCGTTCGGTCTTCCGATCTTCCACAATAACGGTCTGCGGTCCGGACTGGCTGTTGTGCCAATCGCCTCCGAGCCCACCTGACTATTCACTTGTCATTCAGGCACACAGTCGGCTTGGTCATGGCAACATCTTACAACACTGTTCGTTCGTGACATTCTTCCAGTAACTGCCCGGATCGTTTGGCTGGCCGTTGGATCACTTTGTGCCACCGATAGATTGGTTTTGTAAGTTCGACCATCACCCTCACCCTCACCCGCTACTCTGCTTTTTCTTTGGTCACTCCGAGTAGACCACCAGCCCACCCTCCAGAGCTCGCAACGCACACAGCGACCTACCCTAACCAAGCTGACATCTTGCTAACAAAGCTTTGCCTCAGATTCTTCATTGCATCTTCGACATCTTGCACAATATGGCACTCATCAACCGCATTGTGCCCTTTGCGGCCGTCCTGGCCTTGCTGGCTAGCTCGGCGATGTCCATCGACATGACATATTGCGCCAGTATCAATACCGCGTCGGGGTCCGGTAGTGAGTATTTCTCTGCTTGACGGTCAAGGATCATGCGTGGCTAATGGTCTTGAAAGATTTGAGTGATTATCAATCCACCGGGTTGTGCCACGACTTCTGCGTCGACACATACGCCTTTGCCATCTTGCAGGACTCGGACTGCTGGTGCAGCAACTACGAACCCGATCCGTCGATCCAGATCGATGTCGATAAGTGTGACCAGAACTGTCCTGGTTATCCTGACGATAAGTGTGGAGGAGATGGTCTATGGGGATATATGTTGCTGGACAAAGCACCCGCCGGTACCAAGGGTGGTGAAACCTCGACTCCCACGACGACAACACCAGTAAGTGCCCTACATTTTTTGCCATGACAAGTTCGAGACATTGCCTTTTCGAACCATATCGTCTGGGTCCTGTTATCTACGTGCGACGTGCGGTTTATGTGACGACTCTTCCCCAGGGGGATATTCCAATTTAACGTTTATTTGATGTCAGGACCCTATTACTCAAACTGTACAAAACACAATCAAGGTCACTGTAACTCCAACAGATGATCTGACGACAACTTCTGCTGTATGCCTTGCTAACCCTGCTGTGTTTTCTTTGGTCAATCTCGGAATGGTTGGAGAGCGCAATGCTAACAACTAGTAGAAGCAGGAGACAACCCAAGCTGCGACGACCCAAGCTACGACGACAAAACAAACGTCTACTGAGCCTACGACGCCCAGCGTCTCAATCGCTACAGTTACCGAGGGTGGACAGGTCAGCTTGCACACAGTGACTGTCATGCCGACGGTGACTGCTAACCCAGCCAACGAAGCCGCCTCGGCCGGTGCCGGTGCAAAGGATCTCACGTCCAGTCCACATGGACTCAGCACAGGTGCAGCAGTCGGTACTGCCGTTGGGGTGCTAGGAGCTATTGTCGTTATGGGTATCCTAGGGGTGTTATTCTGGCTTCGACGCAAGAGACGGCTACAAGAGCAGGAAATGGCGGACAATCCCGGAAGCCTGCGAGGAAGCTCAGCCGGCATGATGGGTACGTCAACCACCGCAATGGGATCGATTTGGGACGGTGAAAACATGTCGATGGGCCGAAGGAGCAGTCGTCTGATGCCCCACGATCCTCGTATGGATCCCTATACGACAAATATCTACACACGCTTCGACAACAAAAGCCACGAGAGTGTCAATACGCTTCAGGACAATCAAGATTACTCGAGAAAAGTACTCCGAACAACAAACCCGGACCCGCCTGACGGCCGTTAAGGCCAGGATTAATAGTGTCGGAGCGTTTGGCAGGAAGTAGATCGGATACGAGTAATTGACGAAGAAATGATCTCTCAGTCGGCCCTCATTTACCTCTGGGTCATTGCATTTGCATTTTCGAGATACCAACGACGGCGTTTTCAGGAGATTGAAATTCAGGGCAAGATGGACTTTTTCACTCGCATACAAACAACATGGCACGCATCGACCGGTATACTAATCAGGTGATATCGGCTCGGCCTGTCATGATTCGATTCATCACACATTTTCTTCTTCGATTTCCCACACGATCCACGTCGCGATTGTCAGCTTCGCATGTATCGAAAGCTGGCGTGTCTTGTTGGATTTCGGATCATGTTGGTCGCCTTGATACGAAGCGGCAGGTTTTCTTGGTCCGAGATGGGTGTAGATACACGGAGGCACGTTCGGACGCGTGACAGACCCAGGAAGGGCCACACACGCAATAGACACGGTCGGACAGGAGTACATACAGGGACAAGCAACAGAACAGGTCAGTGATACGGTGGCCAGATTGGCGACTGCGCTGGCCATTCGGGGATTGGCTGGTAGATGGACATATCCGAGAGCGTCAACGAATCAAAATGAACCCCTATAAGACTACAACTGGCACGCGTTCTGGCGTCTCGCTTAGGTGCCGAGCTGCCCTCCCTGTTCGCCGATGATCCCGTCAATATTAACCGTCAGGCACAACTCCCCAATGTGGTAATACTGCTGACAGGCATCCTCGGCCGCATCCTCCTGCGATGTACAGGGGTGCATGATAATCCCCGGTCTATTATGCTAGGGATGGCGGAGTTTTCGCTCCCATCTTCACTTGAACAATGAAATCCCATTGGGAAATTTCCCACCGCATCGGCGCAACCCCTGCAAATCGTATGACTTGCGCAAAGGTGTGTGTGAAAGTGAAACGTCTTTTGACCGCGCAGGAGCCGAGTACCGGTAGTTGGGCCCTGGGACTCCCGCCGGGAGCGGGCAAGGCACGCCGGGCATCAAGACTTGAAAAGGGGGCGTGCACCCGAAATGCAGGCCTGGGAATAGGCGACGTTGGAAATACCGGTAAGACTTTCGTGGTTAGTGAGGTTGTTGTTGGCCCTGTTTTGGATTAGACGCCTAGATGAGGATGCTGGGTCCGCTTGCATCATCGCGCGCGGGAGGCGTTCGCGCCTGCTGTGTGTGCTGTGCTGTAGATATCTGGCTTTTATTCATCAAAAAGAACGGCATTTTCTCAACATGGCCATCATGAGTTTGGGATGTCTACAGTAGAGGTCTACGTATCCACATCTGCGATGAGTATTTTTCTCTTACGTCGACGAAGGACCACGGTGGTAGAACTTGCTGGTCTGAGGGATTGTCGGTGCTGACATGTGCCCTTATACGACTCCGGCTATGCCCCTAGGTAGCCTAGGTAGGTATCCTATTGACCCGATAGAACGGATCTTAGATTTCCTGGGCGCCCCTTTCTTGCTACCGTCACCGCGGCCCGCTAGCGATTTCCTGTAGCTGCTGAAAAGCCCATATCGCGCTTCTTTGCCCCTGCCCAGTAACTACCTGCTTTGGGAAGCCTGGGCTCGGCTAGCTCAGATCCCGACCGCACGACGCCGCGCCGCCGCGTTGGGGATTTGTGAGGAAACGCGTGGTTTCTTTGCCCTCACGGCGGACACTTGTGGTGTGTACCTCCTGGTCGATGATGAGAGAAGCGATGCGATGCGCCGCAGCTGCTGGAGATGTCTTTTCGAGACGTTCCTGACTACACTATCGCGTACTCGACGGTAGCGTTCGTTGCCTGGACACCGGGACTCTAACCTAGAGGTCATGATGATGGCCATGTATCCCGGCGCGGTCCTGCAGCAGTCCCGTCGCTTCGGTCTGTTTCGCCGCTCCCTCCCGCTTTGCACATCGAGACTAATAACCTTGGCACAAAACTAGCCGAGTCGCTAGATGGCTAGTCAGGGGGAGATTTCCAAGAAGACGGGAGCTTTCCCGAACGATCCATTGATGTGACGTCGACTTTTCAAGCTGGCTGTTTCGGACTCGCGTTTGTTGACGTGCTGACGTGACGCATCCGTCAACCAGCAAGCTAGCAGGTGGGTATTGTGAGCTTGTGGTTCTGGCTACGGACGGAATGAGCCGCTGCGAGGGGAGGGGAGGTGAGGCGAGTATGTAGTGAGGTAAGAGGGAAATGAATACAGGTAAGGGTTACGCGGCCTCGCCCTCGCCCTCGCCCTGAGGCGCCCCGAGTCTAGCAGACAGGATAAACCGCATCTAGTTCTTCTCTCTTCGACGCGTATGTGCGCCCTCCGCTGGTTGCCCGTTCCGCCTCGGAGAGATACCGAAGGCGGGCCGCGCGCGTGCCCTAAGCAGTGGGATGGTAGACGAGATCAGAGATGTCGACGACGGGATGGGGATGAGCTCTTATGTCGGCACTGTCTGCGTGGTCCATGCCCAAATGCCTTGGTCCGAGACGGTATACTGTGTAGGTCTCTAGTGAGTTTATATGCTCTTTTCCGACGTCGGTGACATGATTCAGGCCTGGGGTCGATGACGATGACGATGATGATCGTTAACGCTCGGGAATGAGGAGGAAGAAAGAGGGCAGAGGGGATGCGCGATGAGGCTGTAGATACCGCGATGAGCCGCAACCGCGTTTGTGGGATGCGGTTTCGGCCATGTTGTTGGCCGTTTACTCTGACATTTCCCGTCTTCGCGCGGTCCGGACCACGGTTCGCTTGGAGGCGTATGTGCTGACAAGCCTCTGTCATCACTCTGGGTATCTTCACCCGGCTGCGGTACCTTGTTCATTCTCATAATTGCGGGAACGGAAGAGATGACCAAGTACCTGTGACGCCAGTATATTGGAAGGATCGGTCGTATTGAGTGGATTTGTGTGTCCAGCGTGTATATACGAGTACCTTTACAGCCTCGTGCGCATACGAAGGCCAGATGGGCAAGGGTCGAGACGTGCTGACATCGAAGCTGGGGAGGAGTGTCGGGCTGATGGTAACTCCTGGCTGACCTCCTGGCTGACCTCCTTGCTAGGGCAGTTTTTCAGGCCACGCCGTTCCTTCATTCTGCAAATTTCCCAGGAAGAGTCAGTTGGGGGGCTGCTGTTCACGGTTGTTCCTGCAACGACTCCCACTGTCACGCACCCTTCAGGGCTTCGTGGTGCTGCTTTGGGCCATACCCTTAATAAACACCTCCTCCCGTGCGGACTTGCTGCTCTCAAGCTGCAGTTGGCCCCGAAAGGGTCGGGCTGGCAAATGACGGCTCGCAAATGGTCTCTGTGTTGTGTGAGTAGGTACCCCTTACCGAAATATCGGGAGAAGACATTGGCGAGCAGCGCTGGAACAGACGCAGGAATCGGTCAGGAAAGGTAGGTATATGAGCTGGCGATGACCATACTGGACCGATTCTGGAGCTCTAGTCATTGATAATGGGCGTATAAATAGCCCATGTGAACAATTATGTCAGATTCTAGACCACAGCTTCAACTCCGGATGGTTTTTCTCCAAAGCCCAACAGCTGCTATGGCTCGGCATGGTGTCTTTATAAGACTTGTTCATACCAGACTGCGAAGCCGACCGGTATCTTGAGGATGTCAAGGATATATCGCACTCAAAAAGGGCTCGTCTGAACTCGTCTTGTCGGGAGTGGCCCGTGTTTGCCATGACTCCTTTCGGTGATCACACACCAGTCAGTCTCCGTCACATCCTGCACTGTTCCTCTCCTGGCCATCTAGCAGAACATTGACATGATCCGTCGGCCAATTTTGTCCTACAGCCAGTCAGTCAGCGCAGACCAAACCTGGAACCTGCTGTGATGAATCGGGGGGTTTGTCATATGAGCATGACTGGCTAAGTGTAACGTATCGGGTCCCAAATAATCTCGAACGTAAGTAGTGATGAAGAGCGGAAGGAAGGTGAGATGGACGTTCTCTTCTAACAAAACTGCGCAGTCCCGCTATCCAGCAACGACGATACCGGACTGCCGGATTACCTTGGATGATCCTGCGCCGGCATGCAGTTCCTGAGGGTCGGACTGTCGTCATACGCCGTTGATCTCATTCCTCATGCCGCTGGGCAGAATCCGCCGGGATGATATCAGGGTCCTCTGCCATTGATTGGTATCAAAACTTCCGACAGCTTTATTGGTAGGAGCCGTACTGAGATCTGGATCGATGCATCCCCTATGTACCTATTTATGTATATGGGAGAGGCTGTAAGTCTAACTTGCGGTGAGTTATGTGCTGTACATCTAACCCTGCCAGCTCGTTACAGCAACAGAAACGAGCTCTCAAGCAGTGCAGGGCCTTTTTGGTGTATCATCTTACGATTTCAAAGCTGTCCACAGGCTCAGAGTCCCTTTTACATTATGAATTTGCGCTTCACTCCTGATAGTATCGGAGCTGTCCTCTGATTCATTACCCTACAGTTTAAATGACCTTAGATGAACCTCTGTGTGATACGGGTACGGTGAGCTAATCACGGCAGGTTCTGCATCGTCAAGCCGATCAATGTCACAGTCGCCCCGGACCGGTCTTCACGATACCTCAAGTCCTACACTTGCTGTGAAGTCGTTTTAAGCGGCTCTGTGATAACGTTTCGTTGCTGATGCGTCGATGTGTTCTCCTTCCTGAGCTGTGCCGAGTCACTGGATAGTAACCGCAATATATAAAAGCTCACCCCGTGCAGCTTGATGCTCTCATGCTCCCCATGTTCTCGTCGCCTACACCAGCTACACTAGCTTCCATCATCAACATCGCCTACATAGACACCTCGGTAGACAACGAACCTGGCTACGTGCAGTATCCCCCTAGAAGAACGACGACATGAGATCATCAACTGGAACTGGCTCCGGCTCCGGCTCCTCGGGCACCCACAACACTTATTCAGGCGGCACCTCAGGTGGTGGTGGTAGCAGCTGCGGTACTGCGGGCGGGCTCCCGGACACGGGTATGCCGAACGATGGCTTCATGTTACCGCCCGCCATCGACGACGAACCCCCTCAGCCCCCCCAACGTCCCCACTACACAAACAACTGAAGTTTGACGGGAATCTTGTTTGGTGGAGTGAGTGTGGGAAGGCGTGTCTGGCCCCGGATTTTTGGCGTTTCTTGGCTCGCTTTGAGAGAATGAGGTCGAGGTCGAGACCGTCTTGGCGAGACGGTGGAGGTATATTACCTAGTCAGGTATGAGCTGGTATCCTGCCTAGTCTAGAATATACATATCATCTATCAGGATTCCCCGTTTCGGATGCGGTGTGATTCAAGTGCTCCAGATACCAGAGTCTGCCTTCTGCTGAAGTGTCATGGATATATCTGCCGGCTGCGACCAACGGTGTTGATTCGTCGTCAGCAGAACACTTAAAAAGGCGTGTAGGAAGAATGATAGAGGTCATTGTAAGCAATTAGCGCTCATCGAAGGAGCACAAGTTCGAGAGCCCTAGACGAAAGCGAACGAATGAACTTGTTCACGGGACCTACCTAGGTAGGCTGGATTCCAAGCCGCTGGTTAGCGGTCAACTAAATGTCATGCTCATCTTTTCCCGAAGGACGTGGCTTGAAGATTCTGATATCAATGAGACATTTGTCATGGGGATAGGTTGATCACTCCCCGCAAAGCAGGGAAGTATATGCAGGTACAGATGACGATGTCAGATGGGGGATCTATACCGGAAGTTACTCTTTTCAGAGAGCCCCTGATCGGGAACCTTGGCCGATCAGGGGAAGGTACGGTCGGGTAGCTGCTGGCTGCTCGCTGCTGGCTGGAGGCTGGAGATAGCCACGTGTGCCAAGCATTGGGGACGCAGGCACACAGGCCGCCCGGCGGTCCGATTTCTCTAGCCCATACCTTCTGCTTCTAAGTTCGGATAATCCAAGCTTCATCTGCTCATAATCATATCAAGTTGCCAGGGCTGCTCTCTTGCGCATGCTTGCCGTGCCAGTGGGTTTGTGATGGAGTTGAACGTCTCTCCTCCACGCCCCTCCGCATGCGTGGAGGTACATATCATTCTCAGGTACGAAGACGGGGAAGCATTGGAAGATGAGGTCCGCCAACATGCGCTCAAGAATAGGTCAATCGACAGCCGATCTACGTCATACCCATCAAGGTACGACGACGGGAATGGAAGCACTCGCCATGATCCTATTCAGCCTTTGGGATGCGCCGAGTGCCGCCAGCTTGCCAAGGTGCGCGTTTGAATAAAACCAAAACGAAGCCAGTTCGCCTATCGAGCCTTCAGCCTTCCTACCGCTCCCAATGAACGCACGATGATGCCGTTGGTCCCTGAACAGGCGCCTCGCGAAGAGCCCAGAAGCTGCCGCGCATCCTTTTGCGGGCTGAAGGAGCGGAACTTGGTGATGCCCCCCCCAGGCGCAGCTCAGGATTACACGCGAATCCGCCGTGGGATGTGAGGTCGCGAGCCTGAACACGGACCGGAGACTTGTCCAGAGGAGACTCCTGCGAAATAGTGTCCGGTTTCGCGGCTCTTGGGTGCTATATAATCGCCATGGCCGGCACAGATGGCCATGGGGCGAAGGTTGAATCTATTGCCTTTGGAATTTCGATTTCGCTACTCTCTTTAATCCATACCTTACCAGTTCAGGTAGCATGGCCTACCTAACACTCGCCGCCATTTCGGCGTTCGTGTCCGTTGCCGCATCTGCCGCCTTGCCAGTGCTCGTGACCGAAGTTTCCCACGATGTCGTCTCACCCACGGTCACCGAACCCCCTTCCCCGACGGCGTGGGCCCGAGCCCTGCCGCCGAGACAGAACCAAGTCGTCACCATGACGATCGTGAACTCGATGGGCGCAGCAGTTTCGACGTCGCATCAATTGGGCGGGGTGGCGCCCACAGTCATTGCTGGGGGGACCGGCTCCGGCCCTATGGCCGCAAACGAAACGGCCATCCTCGCACTTCCGTCGGGCTACCATGGCGGCATCGCAGTCGGGAGGCCCGGCAAAAAACTTACGGACGCCGCTTCCTTGATCGAGAGCAGCTTTGTGGACCTGTCGGGCCAGGGAAAACCGCAGGCGTACGCGGATGTTAGCTTCGTGTACGTAGGACCTCTACCAACCAAAGATATCGTGTATGATCTTTGGCTGTCCCGCTGACACGGTCCAACAGGAATGGCTTCAGTTTACCTATGGTTTGCTCCTGTGACAATACGGTCGTGACCGGCTGCAATATCGACATGTTCGCATTAAACACCTGCCAGGTACGTTTATCTCCGATCATCTCCATCCTGGATTGGATATGTTGCTGACCGATGCCTGACAAAAATAGGACGTGGATGATGGAGGAGCGTGCATCAATACTGCGCGGAGTGATTCTTACGCAAAAGTCGACCCGCCGGATTTCTTCGTGCCTTGCGAGCACGCGGCATACACTTGGCCTAGCGATGATGCTGCAACGACGAACGGAGGTGACACTGTAAGTGTTCCCCAAGATCTTGTGTGTGTTCTGGGGTGCCGAGAACATGCGCTCACGGTTACACGCAGTGTAACAACGGCATAACTTGCTGCATTGGGACGTCTTGCGCTCCCAACCCGGCACAGGACCAGAACAGCAGCAGCAGTGCTGTCTCTGGGGGCGCGTCCTCATATAGCTCCTCTAGCAGCACGTATTCGTATGAACCCTCTGCCACCAACCCGGCCGCCGCTTACACGCCGACAACGTACACACCGGTCACCACAAGTACGGCCGCGGCGGGCAATACGGCGGTCACTACGAGTACAGCCCCAGTGGGCAATACGGCGGTCACGACCACGGTGATGAGCACGGCCACGGCCACGGCCACTGCTACTGCAGACCCAGGCGAGTGTTGCCAGTGGGGTGGTGGCTTTGGCGGCCACCATGGACCGCCATAATTGTCGGAACAGCGTCGACGGGGCGGGCCTTGACGACCTGGGACATTATGACACTGGCTGGCTGCATGAGGCCCTTTGGGATCCTTCTTTCTACTTTCTTGACGGTCTGGGACATACCGTCGGTGGCCTCTTAAAGCCCTTTGGTATCCTTCCTCTTCTCTTCTACTTTTCTTTTTATTCATGATAACTTAGCTGCCGAGCGAGCTCGATTTCGTATATATCTATTTTGTGTGCCAATAACACGGCTATACCTACTTCTTGCTTGCTGATACTAAAACTAGAAACAACTGCATATTCTAGATCTACCACCTAGGTCTAGGGGCGATTTGCCTTTCGGTGTCTCATTCTTTCCTACATATTCCAATGCTTATTCACCACAAATCTTGATAACCAAACTGTTCTCGGAAGTAAATGGTGTTCAGCGGTAGGGGCGAACTGTGAGTGAATATTCACAGTGAGGATGTTGTGACTACCTACACGCTTATCCATGGAGTGTTCTGATTCATATTATGCCGTGACGATTCCCGTCAAAAGGGGCCCTGTTAGCTGTGTGACTTGGGACAAGTGGCTGAGTGGTTGAGTGGCTGATTGGATGCTGTGCTGGCGGTGTGGCTGGTGTGTACATATATAGCACGCTTAGCCTCCATTAAGGGACCGTCTTGCCCCACTTATGACATCCATCCCCTACTGTAGTGCATCAAACAACTTGGCGCCGGCAATCCTGCTGCCCTGCAACTGCCACCTGTGCCAGTAATAGGAGTGCACCAAAGCCTAAGGTAAAGGGCCGCCACGCCAGCACAGGGCGCTTGTGATAGTGATACAAGGGAACGGGGCTGAGCTCAACCCGCCTTCATTTTACATTTCACATTCTACCAAAGTACACGCATTTCACATTTCCAAGCAGGCATCCATCATTGATTCACTCCATTTCTCACCACCATTTCCTGTCATCGCCACAGTACCTACCATTGATCCTCGACTGCCGATCGAACGCGAATACCACCGACTCTGTACGACCGACTCGGGGCCGGGCCAACCTGCGCCTCTCATTTTCCGCCCGCCCTTTGTTTCCCATGCGACTCGGTCGCAAAACTACAACGCCAACACCTACCGAAGCGTTTCAAGATACCGGCCACGAATGAACCCGCGACCGCGAAAAGTCCCGAAAACGAACACCGCGACCGAGCGCATTGGGGGATAACATCGTACCGCACGCAGTACCAGCAACACGTATTGGTATTGCCCGCTGGAGTCGTGGACGAGGACTGCCACAGCGGACGAAGAAAGGAGCGGTAGCTTCCTGGCGTCGCCGCCGTAACCTTGCCAATCGGTCTTCTACACCTTCCTGAGGGAGGGACGAGCCACGCGCCATGTGGAATTTAACATGCAACTCGACACTGGAGGAGATAAGGAGTAGGTACCCTAAAACAAGCTTCAGTCGCTCTGCGGTTCCTTGCATGCTCAGAGTCGTGGAGCCGAGGCAGGACGATGCTGACGTGCAATGCCACCGCTAGTTGGCTCCGAGGAGAAGATCGCGGGAAACTTCACCTTCCACGAGCTGGCCTTGATCATTGCCGGCGGCTCCACCGTTTTCGCCTACATTATGAGTTTCTACTTGATATGGCGGCACGCACTCAACTACACGAAGCCTCATGAGCAGAGACAGTACGTTGAGAAATGCAGACAACGTACATGTGTGTCGAGCTAACGAGAACGCAGCATAATTCGCATACTCTTCATGGTCCCGATATATGCGACTTCTGCCTTCCTGTGCATATGGTACTACTGGCACGCCATCTACTTTCAGGTCATTAGCGAGTGCTACGAAGCCTTCGCCATTGCCTCCTTCTTCGCTCTCATGTGTCACTACATAGCGCCCGACTTGCACGAGCAGAAGGAATATTTTCGACTTATGCGTCCCGTCAAGCCATGGGTCTGGCCAGTGACCTGGTTTGCGAAGTGCTGTGGTGGAGACCGAGGTCCCTGGAGGACGCCGAAGAGCGGTCTCACCTGGTTCAACATCGTCTGGGTCGGAATCTACCATTACTGTTTCATTCGGGTCGCCATGACTATAACGGCAGTTGTGACGCAGTACTTCGAACGATATTGCGAGAGCTCTAACAGCCCAATCTTTGCTCATATCTGGGTATGTCCAACCACCGATCTGTTCTAGTAGGAAACCTGGCTTACGGTTGATGTTCTCCGCCGCATAGGTTATCGCAATCGAGTCTCTAGCAGTGACAGTCGCCATGTACTGCGTCATCCAGTTCTATGTGCAGTTACGGGAGCCCCTGGGAGATCATAAGCCTTTCCTCAAGGTCTTGGCTATTAAGCTCGTCATATTCCTCTCCTTCTGGCAGTCCATCGCTATATCTGTCGGCACGTCCACCCTCCACATCGTGAGCCCGAACTCTATCCTGGCGTATCCCGATTTGAAAGTGGGCATTCCCAACTTGCTCCTCTGCGTGGAGATGGCTCTTTTCTCCATCTTGCATCTATGGGCCTTCCCCTATGGTCCTTATGTCGAGGGTTCCAAGGTCACATTCTACCCCAGTCCGGACCCCTTGATGGGAATCCCGGCTCGCGAGAATGAACACGGCCCCAAGATGGGTGGCTTCGCGGGTCTCAAAGCCTTTGGCCATGCACTCAACGTGTGGGATATTGTCAAGGCATTTGGCCGCGGTATGCGCTGGTTGTTCGTGGGCGTTAAGCACCGCCGCAATGATTCAAGCTACCAGGTCAAGAGCCAGGATTCTGATACCAGCTATCCGTTGAAGTCATACGGTCCTAATTCAACGGGTGCGAAGAGTACAGACCATCTACCTATTGCGACCGAATTCCGCCGGAGCACGTTTGGAATCTCCAGCAAACCAATGGGCCGTATACCTGAAGAAAGCGCTGGTCTAATCGCCAATGCGCAACCGGACCCAGGAAGCAGACCCCAAAGACAACCAGGCCCGTATCAGGATACGAGACGGCAACAATACTATCACGGCATAGGGGCGCCTCAAGGCTACACTACCTACGATGACGCTAGAGGCGATTTGGGAGCGGCGGCGCCACAATATCACGCGTACGGTGCCAATGATGCATATGACACCCACGGAGGAAGCACGGCGGAGCCACAATATCACGCGTACGGTACCAGTGATGCGCATGACAGCCACGGAGGAAGCACGGCGGGATGGTACAACCAGCAGGTCAGCGCGCCGACGGATCCGAGAAACTCGACGCAAGTCAAGATCGGCAACGCATTGTGGGGTGATCGGGATCCGCAGGGCGGCCCGCGATGAGGCTGCTGAACCTGGTCGTGGTCGGACATGGAAAACCCACCACTGGGATCGCATATCACCACTGGGATGGCATAATCTGCATTTGAGAACCGGGGGGCAGCCTTGAGTTCGGCGTTGGGGATATCCAAGAACAACTGGGCGTTTGGTTGAATCATGTCAAACGATCTTGATGAGGTACGGGGTACTGGCTGCGTCGTATGCATGCATGTTTCTGTACGCGTTTGGCTATTTGCGTTACGAAGTACTCCCTGTTGGGAGCCGCCTGTATAAATCGGTGTATACAATTGTCCCAAAAGCAATAAATTCATGATAACTTCACTGTGTGCCGGCTCGTCCGTTATATCTTCATTGGTGTAATTGCGATAGCGGATCGCCGAATTCTAACTACGCAAGTCTTCTCGGCCATCATGCACCATTTTGGACGCAATCTCCCTGATATACAGTCAAGTACAGCAGCTATTTCGGACTCCTTCAACTTCGGTACTACCTACGCGCCTTTCTGACATCAGGCTCACGCCAGCGGATATGCTGCGAAATGCGGCAACACGGACTTGGCAGTGAGCCCCTCCTTCCGCAAACAACTCCGTGGCATTTCGTCTTCCCCGTCCGCGTAGAGGACAACGATGGCGGCGTACGCTGAAGAGGACGTGTGGCTATCAGGGGTCGCCGAGGCATCGCTCTCGGTCTTGCAACCTGCCTATGATTATCACCGCCATCTCCGCCGTTTCGGGAATGTAGTGGTTGTTCCCCTGAGAAAGCCTGGGACTCTTTCCCGGCCCGTGGTTCGTATGGCCGGGAATGAAAGCGTGGACGCAGGGGGACAGATGTGTTTATATTGAGTCGTCCCACGGACACTGCGTATCGTGTCGGGTTTCTGGACGCCTCGTTATGTTACAGTAGGTGATAGATGCTGTATGTACCGCAGGAGCTCTCAGCAGAAGGGTGATATCTATCACTCAGCCGCAACGCAACCACGTACCAACAACCCCTTTTCTTTCTCGCACTCCCTTCACATAATTCACGTGGAAACGCGGTTGGTCATCTCATGATCTTTGTTCCCTCTCTGATTCGTATGGCTCTAGGCGAGAGAAAACACCTGTAAATCGCCGCGAAAAAGCACCACTACCAGATGTGAGTGATCCAATCACGACACACCAGCTCCTATAATGGCGAGATATAGGCTCTCGGCCAGTGCCCAAGTTCTATCAACACCTTGCAGCGGTATCAGCAACGCACTCTAGGAGATCACGATGTCTCTCCGACAAGAGTATTATTTTTGATGGTCTTTGTATGATTATCTACATATGTTACAGTACGCTATGCATGCCATGCGTCATGCCTTCATTAGATGCCGTCGTCCTTCTACTCCGGTGGCGAGAACCACAGTTGAAGGCCGGAGCGAAACGCCAGGAACGACGGGCCCCGAGTCAAGCAGAACTCCGTAGAATGCTTGTCCGGCTCTCAGTTTACAGTTTGCTTTTTTGTTCCCCAGCCAAGACGCCAAACCGAAAGGGTGGGTATCATGTGAAATAAATGTGAATCATTTTGGAATCTCGGGCGGCGAAGAGGAGTAGAGGAGATTGAATTAATGATTTGCCCCTTGTGCCTTGTGCCTGGGGCGCTTCTTGCACGCCATGGCATGATGCAGTGCAACGAGAGGTCCGCCCAAGGAAACGCCGTGCGCTGATTGCAATGCTAGTGAGCGTCGAACCCTGTTCCTCCTCGCATTGGCAACGTCTGGTTCTGCTCCATGCTATTATGGTATCGTCCATTTCGGTCTTGTTGTAACGTTCGTGCGCTCCGTGTCGACTTCCACCGATTTCATGATACACAGCCGTAAAGAGCCGACCTTCGCTCGAGCTACTCCTCACAAATCGTGAGAACAAAATCGTTTGACTCCGACCCTAGCGTCTCTGCCGCTTTTCATGCGATCCCGGCGGAAAGTCCTCGCCACTTTGGCGCTTCCTGCCACGATGATGATCATCCTGTCCACCACGGGGTTCGCCCCGACGCTCGTCCCGTGGTCCACCGCCCCTTCGTCCCCCATTACGACTGTAGTCTTCTTGTCTATTGCTGCCTCCATCTCCACGGTGACGTGGGTGGCGAGGGCCTCCATTACCCATCAGGTCACCCCGGCCCATGGCAGGCAAAGCTTCGCGGCCTGCAGTAGACACTTCCCGACTCGCTCGGCGCAAATGCTCCCTTCCGCTATCTCTTCCTTGACTAGGTTCTGCAGCAGATGGCTTTCTGTCACGATACTCACGAATATCTTTTGGTCTCTGATCTCGGTCCGGACTGCGATCCCTGCTGCTATGACGGGAAACACGCGAGGAACGTTCGGCATGATCATGTCCTCTTCGTCCCCGCTCCTGTTCATTTCGCCCAGAGCGCTCACTGCCAGTACGATCGTTGGACGGTGGTGCCATCTCAGGACGCTCATGTACTGACGTAGAGATCGGAGAGACACCTGTGAGCACTTGGGCATCAGAGCCAGCCATGTTGGACCTGGAATTAGTCGAGCGCAGACTTCGACTGCCCTGCAGAGTATCATTAATGGCCGACAACTGCCGTCTCCCACCGGTCCTGGCACGATCCTTAGCCGCCGCAGGTCCGGTGGGGGCCGAAATGGGGCTGTTATCAGGTCCAGGCGTTATCGGATGGCTTCCACTCGACTGGCGATGATTCGACGATGCAACGTGGAGCGGCCGCTCTGGTGTTTGCAACGGAGGCATGGAACGACCTCCTTGGTACGAGGTTCCTGCCGAGGATGACGATGGCGGCACAATGTGGAGCATCCTATCAGGGTGCACGGATACTGGTGAAGGCGTGGAAGCCGAGTGAGAGCCTTGAGTCGGCGTCGGTGCTGCGCCAGGCACAACGTTCAGTTGTCTTAGCCTCTCAGGATGTATTCCCGCTGGTGGAGGTCCTGCATTGACTGGAGAAATTGCAGCGACGGTATTGTGTTGGCCCCCAGGCTGGCTGCGCCGCGGTCTAGACGATGCAGGGCCAGTGGGAGGGTGATGTCGGTCTGGTGAGGGCTGCCGATGAGGCTCGTTGGTGTGAAATCTAGCATCGGGTCGAGGTGTCTGAGTGTTCACCGTCGTGCGAGGCGCATTCCGACCACGCCCACGAGGTCCCTCGGGCGGATTACCCATATCGGTAATGGAAGTGATGGAACTCAGACGACCGTATTCCGGATCTTGCATAGCCAGCCTGCCATGATCAGGCTCGCCACGAGATGCCGGAAGTGGTCCTTGAAGAGCGGCCGAGTCTCGTGGTCTGTCGGTCATTACTCGGTCGCCTTCATTGTCTGAAACCCTGCCACCTTTGGAGGCGGAAGCTGGCTGGGGCTCATTTCGATGATCCCGGGCTGCGGCGTGGTCTACACGATGAGGACGACCAGGTCGTTCCTCACGGGACGAGTCACCAGTTCGAGAGTCGGGACGATCAGAGCGCCTTGGCGATGTTGGTCGTGGGCTGTTACGATCTCGACTGTCCTCTCGGATCGGACGACCAACGGGTCGTCCATCGTTGATCAAGGCCGCTCGTGCCGGATTTACAGGGTTTGATCGGTCTTCGGGACGATCAGATTGGATCAACCACGCGCGTTCCGGATTCACAGTTGGACCCGGAGTTTCTGGTTGGGGGGCAGGAGGAGGTGGTGGCATCGGCTTCGGGGCCGCTGGGGTCTCACGTTGTGCTCGGTGCGTTTCGGTACCTCGTCCGGTACCACTAGGCGGTACTGTACGCTCTCTCGATGGTCGTACATCACGGTCTGTCGGCGTTGGTTCAATTCGTCGAGGCGCATCTGACCTGGGTGGTTGACGATCTCTTTCTGATCTGGAAGGCTCCCTTGGCACACTCTCTACCGCTCGGCGGTCAGGAGTTGAATGATCTCGTGCGCGATTTGACCGCGAATCCTCAAGTGGCCTGAAAGGTCGCGGATCTCTTGGGTCCCGTGTATCTCTCGAGTCTCTCAAATTGGGATCCCTAGAGCCAAGAGAATCTCTTGGTTCTCGCGTTTCCCTAGGCTCCCTCGAGTCCCGTTGTTCCCGGTTGGGTGTGATTTTGATCTGACCAAGATGGTCATGCGTGAAATGACCAGGGAAGGGGACTTCTGGTCGGCTTGGTAGACCAGGACCCGGAGTCAGACTGGACGTCCGGATCTGTTCCTGTCTCAGCCCTGGCGCTGGGGCAGCCGCAGGTGGGGTCGACTTTGTCGCAGAAGATCTGGTAGATGCGGATCTCGGATCTTGCTTTTGGGGCGTGTGCATCGATCTCACTTGGCTCACATCCCTTCTTGCTGCACCTGTCGACTGGGTAATAGCCGATGTTGCCTTATCCTTGACCTCGCCATCTTCCTCATCGACGTTCGTCCTGGTCCGAGTGGATCCACTGAATGCATGTTAGTCGTGTAACTTTATATTGGCAGCGAGGCCTGACTCACCTGGTCGTTCGGGGCTTGAACTCCGGCGCATTTGCACGAAGATGCGAAGACTGAGTCTGTTCACCTGACTCTGCGGCCTTCTTCTCCTCCGCCGTGTCACCAGTCTGTCGATCGTCAGCGCCTTTCTGGCATCGGATTACCGCAAAGCTTACAGTGTTGACCCGGAAGGCCTGCACCATCACCCATTTCGACGAGTATTTCTTGAGAGCCGAAGTTGCCGTGTTTGCTGTTACGGCAAGATCGACCCTGTGGCTGTGTCCGTCTTCGGCCCCATTCTTACTAGCAGCTTCGCGTTCGGCGATCTTCCCAAGACTCTGGAGAAACTGCCGGCCCATAAAGTCCACAGCAGGGAAATACTCGAGGCCAGCCTTCAAGATCGTGATCGCATTCCGAATATGCATCCACTCAGTCCCTCCGAGACACGACCTCAGAGCCGTGGACAGGTTTCGATGCCACGTCCAGAGCAGGTCACGAAACTTATCATGTTCCATGAACGACACAGGCTTACCATTGTCGTCGAAGGCAGTTGCGAATCCTAGTGTTCCTTGCTGGTCTTTCTCGTATTCTTCTTTGCTCTGGTGCCAGCGGGCAAGATCTCCTAAGGTGATCTTGATGAAACGACCAAGGAACTCAGCTTCCCGAACGGTACAGCCAAAGATCATCGATCGTAATCGATTGACGTTGAAAAATCGATCATACAAGTTAGCAATCTTGAAGTTTGGCACGCGCTCAAGGTGCAAGAAAATGATCATCCGATGACAGAAGTCAGCATCGCCTGGCGAGAGAAGGATCCGGGGCAGGAGACACTCCTCGATGAGTGTGTCAGTGATAAGATCGGTTTTGGCGGATGAGCTAAACCAAGCAGAACTCTGTCTTCTCATCAGCAACCTCGTCTTGCCTGCCCTTTGCATACTGTTTGTCAGTTCCTTGGAATAGGGCTCCATGAGTTGCTCTACTGCGGTGATCTTTGACTCGTTCCTATTTTCGCCACCCATTTTGTTTATACCGCTCCTCTTGAGTTGGTCGCGCTCCTTGGTATATGCCTCCAGCAAAGGCGCATAGCTGGCTTTAGGGACATCGAGATCGCCAGTTTGAAGTGACCAGAAAAGAACGAAGAATTCAGGGCTAAGCTTGTTCCACACGTCTGCCGGTAGGAGAGTTCTGACGGCGTCAACGATAGGACTGAGCACGTTCATGAGACGGTCAGGCTTCTGATGATTAGCAAACGAGGACGTCGTTTTCTCTGATGAGCCTCCGCTCGCATCTGGATTTTCGACTTGCATACGGTCCTCTGAGTCTTCGCTGGAGGCAGTTGCTGTTGGACCAGCCTCAGTGTCTGCGATCATATTCGAATCGCCGTCGGCATCCAGAGGTTGTTTGGCTTGTCCTTCGTCATCTGAACCTGTCATGTAGTATGTAAGACTGGCGCGGCCGATCAAGAATGCGAGATTCGCGTCAAGACCAAAGTCCGTCATCAGTTGGGGAACGCTTGGCATACGCGCATCGAAGTCTTCAGGCGTCAAGTTACTGCGAAGCAATTCAACGTATTGAACGAGAGCTTGCTGCGAGTCGTCGACCACGGTGGCTAGGTACTTGATGTGTGTCTCGTTCTCGGGTAGTCGATAGATAGCCGACTGCCGGTACTGGGCCATGTTCGTGAGGAGTTGCGAGGCAATGTTCGTATGCACCAATGCTTTCATGAAGCGAGAGGCACTCTTCCCCGAGTCGTATCGCTTGTCGCCTAGACTGATGAGAGTGCGGCGCCGTAGAAGCTCACCACCGCTCAATGCAGATAGCTGTACGTCTGTGAAATCGATGTCCGAGACAATACCAGCCATCGACGTGATCAGTTCTCGGAGGATTACTAGGTCGGTCGAGTTGCCCTGCGCCACTTGGTCGTTCACGTATTGGAGGACCGGAGTAACATCCATGTTCGGGTATCGCCGGAAAACCTTCCCTGAAAACCTTGACAGGGCTTGCAACCATTTACTGGTAAGGAGTATAGATATTTCTTGAGTCCTGCTTCTTTGCTTGCCACCGAGGGAGCTCAGGAGAGACCAAACCAAAACATCATGCCCCAGCTCAGTGAAGTACTTGGTGCACTCGACGAAAGCTTCAATGAGATTGCTGTACGCTTCGATTTGATCCAAAGCAACCTTGCATACAATGCCTGGAGATGACAATGCGATCTTAGCCAGTCTCTTCGCAGACGAGGGTACGTTCTGTAGCGCCAGCCGCTTCAGCGTCGCCAATGTGTCCCGCCTGGCATTCTTGAACGCATGTGCCATTGCAGGCACCCGGGTGATTTGTCCTTCGTAACATTCGGCGTAAATGCTGTAACGGACTGGCGTTGGAAACTGCTTGAGCAGATCCCAGACTGCAACCACGGTATCGACGTTGGCGGTGGTCAAGGAAAGTGACGGGACCAGAACCCGACGGAGAAGGTCCTGCCACCGGGCGGTATTCTCTGCCGACTGATCTTCTACCAAGCTCTTGACGCCGATGGCAGCCAGTTTCTTAACTAGCGTAGGATCTCTGCCAATGTTGACACCAGAAACGTTCAGGAGCGTACTGCAAAGTGTGAAGACGTCATCAACAGTCTGGCATACTGGAACATTATCCGCCCAGCTGTCGAGATAGAATCGATAGAGGGTGCCCTTGCTGATACCATCCGGGTGCGGCCATTTCAGGACCCTGATCGGTGTACCATCAACAAGTCGTAGTTTGCCTTTTGGTATGCCAGCTTGATCCTGGGCAGCTTCCGGCCGAAGAAGAGTTGATTTTGTTGTCCGAAGTTCGACGGGTCTCGCATCTTGGTATACTTTACTGATGGAATGAAGGAGGATGCGATTTACCGCTGGATAAATCTCCTCAGGGTATGCATCAGGAAGCCAAGGAAATTGGCCCAAGATGAAAAGAGCTTCTGGGAGAGCACCAACGACAAGCAGGTGAGAAACTAGGTCTGCTTTGTGGGCCTCTTTTGGTTCTGGGAGGCTTGTCTCATCGTCTTGTTGCTTGGCACCGGCCTCCTGGTCTTTGGCGTCAGACTTTGCGGCTGCAGCGTCGCGTGATCTCGACGTTGGCACGGTGTCATCGGACAAGGCACCAGCCATGAGCAGTGCGTTCGGTTCATTCCCTTGTCTGGCATTCCTCTCCTTTTCAGCAAGGTCATCCTCGCGCCGTTTCCTGAGTTTATCCATATCTTCATCGGCAGGCCAAAGATGGGTATACAGATCAGGGAGTGAAATAAACCCGATCTTTATGAGAAAAGCCGCAAGGTAATAAAGATTGGCCGGCAGAGTCTCGCTCCGGTCTCGCGCGTCGGATGCATAGAATCGGAACTTGAAGCCAAGCAGTTGAGCAGCTACTCTGTTCCCGCTAGGCGGCAGAGTTTTCGTGCTTCTCATCCATTCCAGACTTGAATCAATATTCAGGTTGGAGCTCTCCGACGTGGCCTCCACAAGCCGTTGCAGATCGGCATCCGCGACTCGTCTTCCTCCAAGTTCAAAGAAGGCATCCAGGTGGATTTCCCGGGCTCTATCCCAGAACGCAAGGTCCCGTTCGTGGGCACGTTCTGCGAGCTCAGCGTCGAAATCGCCCAAGTCGAGACCTCCACTAGGCAAAGCCCAGTTCGGCAGGCCGCCTGCGAACACCTTCTCTGCGTGCACGACCTGGTTGTGAGGCCACCAGGAGCTGACTCGCAAAAACCTTGTGAAGAACTGGATATTTCTCAGCATCGTTGCGGAGAAGACGTCGATGACCACATCAAGAACACGGCCAACATCCAAGTCAAAGGTTCCTATGAGCGCTTTGACGCGCTCCCAGCATGCTTCCACAAGTACGAAGTCTTGGCTTTTGGGGCCTTGGGTATGATACGGGGTGCGGTACAGCTCCGCAGCGAGCTTCGAATAGCCCTCAGACTCTTCTCTCAACAGATTGTAGTTTGCTTGCCGATACAACTGATTCGTGGCATAGCGAATTCCAAGCTTGACGAAATTGTCCCGAATCAGACCGAGATGTTGCAGTGCTGTTGCATCCAAGACCTCGCGCAGAAGCTTGGGTGAGAGCTCCGTCGCAGTGATAAAATCCCGGAGTTGGGTGCTTGGTCTGCCATTCTCAGATTCAATGAATACGGAAATGATGTCGAGGAAGAGGGTTTGGGCATCGAAGGCAAACTCGGAATCGTCAGTTCTCTCGGTTTCGGGTCCAAGAATCTGCTTCATGCAGCCGCCTGCATCCAAAGGATTGAGGCGGTGTTCAAGGACAGCGCGTGTGAATTCTTGGGAGATGGTAGAGATCTCTTCGACATCTTCATCGCTACGAGACGTAATGCCATGCTCGATAACCTCCTGGCGACCGCTTTGCTGCCAAGCCGAGAACCGCGCCTCTGTCAAGACCGTGTAGTTGTAGTTGGAGGAGATAGCAGCACGAGGCTGACTGGGCGGGGGTGCGGATGGAGTGGCCGGCATCGCTACTACTGGAGCTTGCGAGGATGAGCTAGGTGGTCGAGCAACTGACGGGGAGGCAGGGACTCGATTACTTGAGCCTGGACCGAGTTGGCTGCCCGAAGAATCGCGACGATCTGGGTTTCTTCTGGTGTTTCTTCCACCACCAGGTCCGCGGCGGCTCTGTGATGGGCTGCCGTCTTGGAACTCTCTGTCGTGCTGACCGAGAGCGGTATCAAATGGGCGATGAGGTGCTGGTCGGTTGCCGCCAGCCTCGGATGCTCTCTCATTGCGCTTACGCTTCGGAGGCATCTTGGGTGTAGAGGGAAGGCTGTGTGGAATAGTTGGTCATCGGAAGGTCAGGCGCGAGGGGAAGAAGAATGTTGGTGGAGAAGGACCGTGGGTGGGAGTGGTTGGAAAGTCGATGTTGGCATCAAGAGAGCGTACTGTGAGATGAAAACGCCGAGCGTTGGATGTTTCGCAGGATCGGGCGACAATTCGGGTACTGGTTTGGTCGTCGTTGGATATATCGAGCCTTGCCGCGCTGTTGGAGCACGGAGAGACGACCGTGTTGGTTGGATCTGAATGTCGACAAAGAGATTGAATGAGTGGAACAAAGAAAGTGGAAGTGGAAGTGGTGTCGATATCAGGCTCTGTCAGCGACCATCTTCTCCCAAATGATGACCATGCACGAGAGGCGGTGGGAGACGGTTTGGAGAGAAGAGGGAATGTCGGCTCCAGCTGTGGCGGGTGAAGACGGCGGGAAGGACGAGTCGCGTTCGACAGACTAGAAGCTATCGCGCGATGGACTCTTGGTAATGGAAGGTAAATTTTGGGAGGGTGCAGCAGCCTCACTGATCAAGCTTCCAAGCTTCAATGCAATCAAATGGAGATTGGTAAGGCTGCAGATACTTTGGGATGGGCTGGCAGAGACTTTGGATCTCTGGTGGGAACTGCCTGAGGCAAAAGTACAGAGTGTCAGATGGAGAAGTAATCACCAGAAATAGATGGGGCCGGGGAATTGCCGGCCGTTGGTCGGACTTATGTAAGCTAAATTTCTAGCATGCAGACCAATCATCAATATGCGCATGCAAACGGGAGTCATCCTCTGCCCAGACCTCCATACCGAAATGACGTGCGAACCCAGTGTGACATGACCTGAGGGACCAAAGGCCGATACGACAGCTTACCTTACTTGGTATTTCATTTAACTGGACGACCTGCCTGTCTAATATTTAATGATTACATCTGCCGCTTAACACCATCTCTTGGCCATCGACACATCAAGCCTTCGAGGTCATCTCACTCCGGTGTCTATTGCGACACGGACATATAAGAGTTACAATGGCCGCCGAGGAGGGTGCTGGCTCCCAGCCGAAATATGGTCAGTTCTTCTTCTCCTCGCGCGGACTCTCAGTCTCTCTCAAAATCGTCTACCCTCTTGACACTTTCGACTGTTTGATCGACAAAGCACAATGGCTGAATACTTCCAAGAAAGAACTCAGCAGCAGCCTGAGAATCCATTCGCGGATCTGATTCCGGATCAACAAATCGCCATTGTACCAAGTTTTACCCTAGAGTCTGGTGTCACCCTGCATAATGTGCCAGTGGCGTACACGACACGGGGGAAGCTGTCTGCAGACGCAGATAACGTCATGGTCATCTGCCATGCGCTCACTGGCTCTGCCGATGTCAGCGACTGGTGGGGACCACTCATTGGCGGCCCTGGCCGAGCCTTTGACACCTCGCGGTTCTTCGTGGTCTGTATGAACAGCCTGGGTAGCCCTTATGGTACGGCGAGCCCCGTGACTGCCAAGGATGGCGACCCGAAAAACGAAAGATATGGGCCCGAGTTTCCCTTGACTACCATTCGGGATGATGTAAAGTAGGTTGCGGCATATGGATGCTGGAGGTTTTGAGCACCCGATACTGACACGAAGCAGCCTGCACAAATTACTTCTGGACGATCTGGGAGTACGTCAAGTAGCTGTGGTCATTGGCGGTTCTATGGGCGGCATGCTCGTCCTTGAATGGGCATATTTCGGCAAAGACTACGTTCGGAGCATCGTGCCTATTGCCACATCTGGCCAGCATAGCGCTTGGGGTATTAGCTGGGGTGAGGCGCAACGACAAAGCATCTATGCAGACCCCAAGTACGAGGACGGCTACTACTCCTTTTCCGATCCGCCGTCGGCGGGACTGGGAGCAGCCCGCATGTCTGCTCTTCTGACTTACCGCAGTCGGAACTCATTTGAGGCTCGCTTTGGTCGCAACATCCCGGACCCAGCTAGGCGCCAGACTATCCGGGAAAGGCCACGTCCGAGCACTCCATCCGAGGCTCACTTCCACATCCACAATGATGGACACAAGACAACACGGTTGTCCAGAACCAACAGCCATGCCGAAAAGCCGACGACCGAACCGGCTGCTGTTGGCCCGAATGATGTAGACGGCCAGTCACTTGACCCGCAGTTCTCTGGCCCTAAGACGGCGAGCCTGACCGGTGGTGACTCCTTGCCAACCTCAACCTACTTCTCCGCACAGTCCTACCTTCGTTATCAGGGAGCGAAGTTTGTGAAACGCTTTGATGGGAACTGTTATATCGCCATAACGCGGAAGTTGGACACGCATGACGTGTCGCGATACCGGGCTGACAGCATTGCCGAGGCGCTCGGTCTCATTGAACAGCCCACCCTGGTGCTTGGAATCGAAAGTGACGGACTCTTCACCTTTGCTGAGCAACAAGAGTTGGCGCAGTATATCAAGAACGCAAAGCTGGAAAAGATCGATAGCCAAGAAGGTCATGATGCCTTCCTGCTGCAGTTCGAGCAGGTGAACCGGTACATCCTGGACTTTCTGAACGAGAACCTGCCCGACATCATGGCTAAGGGGGGCGAACACGTGGAGGCAGCAAGCGTGGGCCAGTTGACGAAGACTAGTACGTTTGGAGAGGCCGAGGTCGACGATATCACAGCATGGTAGGTAGTCAATAGCTACATAACCATATCAGTCTAAAAGATGGCTGTCAACTATCGCCTCAGGGTCCGTGGGGTTTCTTCTTACTTGAATCCAATACAGTCTTAGACCGGGGTCGTGGCTCTGGGACCTGGTCAATATTCCTGGTCGAGTAGGGGCCCTACGCAAATAGCCACGTCCCAAGCTGTCGGTACGGCCAGCTTCACGAAATCATTTGGCCACGCGTGGGTGCATTACAAATCGTGGGGTTGTCAAACAGGCTCGTTCACTGTAATGACAGTAGATATGAGTGTCTAACCTGGTCCTTGTTGCAAAGCGTCTTGGGTGTGTACTTGCAGTTGGTAGGCACACATAGCTACTTGACGTCTATCTACATGTCCCTATACCTTCATACCTGCAGGAACTAAATGCTCCTGGGGAAACCTCTAACACGGCACCGTGAACGCTCGGCTACGGAATACGGGTGTAGCGTCAACCCCCGTGTATTTATAAAGCGGTTGTGTCTCTTTGATGTTGACAATTACCTAATAAAAGATACCATCTGTTTTACAAGAAACGTGCATCATGTTCAGGTGAAGCAGCGCTCCTGGCATGATCACCTCGTTGGATGTCGAATGCATTGAGCACGTTGCTCATTGTGCGCTTCTGATTGGCTGGACGATAGCTACGGGGGTTGCGCCCCTGCTTGGATTACCAGTACCGAGGAAGCCGAACTGGTCCCTGAATACCTAGTCATCATCACGCCGCCATACTTCACGATGATCGTTCTATTATCGGAAGCAGCTCTGACCCGTGGGAAATGTTCTCGAGTCCAGTGCACGCATGTGGCATTGAGGCGATAGCTTTAGCAGAGCTTGAGCATCTGGCGGAACCAACAGAAAAGGATCGATCTTCGTAGGATTGCGGCAGCCAGATGAACCCTTGAATCTGCAGGCTCTTCAGGACATGGTGGCGCTCATGCCATCCCTGCTTTGATTCTAATTCGGCGGCACACCTGCAAAGCATTGGCATCAACTGGTCCGGGGAAACGGCCACATGCAAGAGGTCAGGTACTCTCGGCATTCGTGACCTCTGATGCGTGGAGAGGGCAGGGAATAACTCATCACATCCCATTCCGCCACCAATCGCATATGTACCTTACTTTGAGAGCCATCATTACTACCTCGCGACACAGGGCACTGGACGTTTTCGATATTGTTCCAATCCTGTGACTTCTTGCTTGGGGTTTATTGGCCTCTGTTCCTCGTACTCCGAGTCCCGAGAACCGTGCGCTCGTTCAGTCAGTCAGACAGACGCGTTACAGCCGAGGCCTGACCCGCGCCTCTGCCGCATATGACTCAGTTTATGCTGCTTACAGGTACGTTGTGCGATTCAGCACTCTCTCTCTCCAGCACTGCCCGTCCGTACGATCAAGCGTTGCACTGTTTTGGTGTCCGTTGCAGTGGAAAGTCTATCGTTCGACGGACTGCAACGGTGATATCGAAGGGGATCAAAAACGAGCAGAGCCCTTCGGCCCCTGTGCATCAATCAGGTCGGCAATAGGACCACATGGGTTTCAGGTCGCGTAAGCATACGACTGCGCCATCGTCTTCCACCCCGCGATGCACACTTTCCCATTCTCGAGCCTCTCACAAGCCCCCGTTCAGCATTCACCGCGTTTCCGCACATCGCATTGGACAGCCACCCCTCCAGGCATATCAGGCCGGTCAGCCCAGCCAGTCAGCCCCCTTTTGCCGCACGCCTAGCGGGCAAGCCATCATCACATCCACGTTATTGGGTCAACAGTCTATGAAACCTGCTGGCCCTCGCCTAAAATATCAGCTTGGAGCCCCCCAAGCGATCGACGTCAAGTCCCACTCCTTTCCGCCCCAGACACTACACATCGTTTCCGAGCTCGGGAGATCTGACTGTCTTACTTCTTCCCATTTCATATACCATAACTTCTCGATACACATTCCTACCGCTGAGCCGCATTGCCCTATTCAGCCTCACTGTAGCCAACTCTTGTTGTCGTGGTATCTTTCGCTTCTTCCTAACTTTTGGTTCAAGATAGGTACACTTGGTCACACGTATGAGACATACCCACCGGATGATGCCATGAGTACGCCAGGATCTACCTAGGCACGGCTTCGGTACCGCTACTGGGTGCGAGTTAGTGGTGTCTACCTAGAGCGTCAACGATATTCTTGGTCCAGGCCGAGGGGACCCAGACTGGCAAGATGGAGATGTTACCCGAGCCCATGTCGCCTGTGACGTACGAGCGGACCTATGGCGGAAACCGGGCCTTTCACAACTTCTTCAACGATTTCAACCACATACAAGACCCGAATCTAAGGCGGCGACTCGCGCTCTCGGAAATCGACAAGATCCCGTTCGGATGGTACCATGTGCGAGCTGTGCTTGTAGCCGGTATCGGGTTTTTCTTGGACTCATACGACATATTCGCCATCAACCTTGTCACGGCTTTACTCGGTGTGGTCTTCTGGCATGGGTCCCCTGAGGACGCGAGCAATGGCTATGGAGGAAACCATGGGCTGTTACCGACGCCTGTGAGCCAGACATTGAAGGCTTCGACCAGCGCAGGAATTATCATAGGCCAGATATTGTTCGGCTGGATGGCCGACAAGTACGGACGACGAAAAATGTACGGGATAGAGTTGGGAATCATCGTGTTCTCCACACTGTCGTGCTGTCTCGTCGGTGCGAGCCATGCTGTAAGCTTTACAGGTCTGATGACTTTTTGGAGAGTCATTATGGGGTGAGCTTCACCATCGTCAGAAGGCAGACTTCAAGCTAACTGTCGATATAGCATCGGTATAGGAGGTGACTATCCTCTGAGTTCTGTCATAACCTCCGAGTTCGCGCCGACACGATGGCGAGGAGCAATGATGGCTGCTGTGTTCTCCATGCAGGGCATTGGACAGCTGATGGCGGCAGTGGTGGCACTCGTCGTCACGGTGTCTTTCAAGGAGGCATTTGGCAATGCACCCGGCGTCGACCAATGCGACTTGGTATGTCAAATGGCTGCAGACAGGTGTTGGCGCATCATTATTGGACTTGGAGCTTTACCAGCATGTTTCGCTCTGTACTACCGCATCACGATCCCCGAGACACCGAGATATACCTTCGAAGTTGCCAGAGACGTCGAGAAAGCGACTGCTGATATCAAAGCGTATATGGCAAGTCAATCGGAGGGGGAAGTGGACGAGGTTACTCAAGCACGGATGAAGAAAGTCGCCTCGCCAGCACTCAATATCCCAGCCGCCTCGTGGGATGACCTCCACTCATATTTCTCGAAATGGACCAATGCTAAGGTCCTACTCGGGACAACGATGTCTTGGTTCTTCCTCGTAAGGCCCCTTCTACTGCTGTTCCTAACTTGGCGAAACTGATCTCGGTCATAGGATCTGGCTTTCTACGGCCTGGGTTTGAATAATCAAATAGTACTGCAAGCTATTGGCTACGCGAACGGCGACTCGCTTTATCACATTCTATACAACGGTGCCGTCGGCACTATCATACTAGTCGTTGCGGGATCCCTGCCAGGCTACTGGACGGCTATTTTCTTGATCGATACGATCGGCCGCAAGACACTCCAGATCCTCGGGTTCATTGTCCTCACCATTACATTCTCCGTCCTGGGATTCTGCTACAACAGACTCAGTCAGGGGTCCCTACTGGCTCTATATGTCATTGCTAATTACTTCTTCAACTTCGGGCCGAACACTACCACATTTATCATCCCTGGAGAATGTTTCCCGACACGCTACCGCTCATCGGGCCACGGTCTGTCCGCCGCCATGGGCAAAGTGGGCGCCATCGTGGCACAAGTGATCTCGCTCCCCCTCCTGACCAAAGACGCACCATCGCCATGTAGCGGCAGCGACTGCTCGCCATGGCTCGACCGGCTCATGCAGATATTTGCCCTATTCATGCTCTGCGGCACATTCACCAGTTTCCTGGTGCCCGAAACAAAAGGCTACACCCTCGAGGAGCTGGCCGGAGAGGCGCCAACCTCGTACAACTCCGGCCGCAACGGCAGCATCATCGAGAAGCCGAAGGCGTGGTGGAACCCGTTTGGCGGCGGCCAGCCCGCGGGCTTCTTCTACCCGCGGTCTGCGCAGGGCAGCTTTGGAGGGTCCGGCGGTCGCGTGGGGATCATGACGAGCCCGGAGCTGGCGGCGCAGAACGCGACGGAGAGGAAGAACAGCCGGTGGTGGAAACGCGGCCGTCGGTATCCGTGTCATGATGGGGCAGGGTATGCTGACAGCACGAGCTCGACTGCTGGGATCGCGAGAACGGTCGATTCCACGGTTGCGAATGCCGGCGTGCTGCCGGGCTGGGGCGCTGGCTGGGGACGGATAGACCGCGGGGGAAATTCCCTTGCGATGGAGAACATTCGTTTACAGGATGTGGGGAGTCTGCTGAGGTGACGGCAGCTGGTGGTATTTACGCGATGTTTTACGGGCGGTTCTTACGATACCAAGAGCTACGGGACGGCACTAGCATGGCGCAACTGGAATAGGAGGATGATCGGAAAAGAATTAAGTCTGGGTACTGAGGGACGTGAAACTGGATTTTTTTGTTATGTCCAGGATATCCACGACTCCCCTGGCGGCCTCTGAATAGCTGGTTAGAGCGAGAATCTTGTGTACATTACCACTTTTGCTGATGTACATACCAATCCGGTGCGTCTACATATACTTGACTGAGGACGACAAGACTCATTTGTTTCCTTGTTGACAATTGCTTGATCATACCACCTACACACTTGCTGCCATTTGATGCGCTTGGTGTTGACCAACAACATCTGGTAATACTGGATCTGTGAACAATTCCCCCTTTTGGCCCAGGTCGGAAGGCACTGTTGGCGATAAGACCAATACCACTGGATCACCAGCGTCTTAACGTTATATGCGCCTGTTTATCTGCTCCAAGAACTCAGTGCTGCTCTAGCACGTGCTCCCCATGTGATTAGGACAAAGCAAGCCGAGTGTGTCTAGGCGCCCAAGTGACTGGATCCATGCAGTCAGTTGCCTCAGGCGTCCAAATAGGGGAAACTTAAATACAGTCGCGCTTTCCCTTCTAATGAGACGCGACAATAACAACACATCACCCACACGTACGTGTGCCCGCCATGCTGAGCTTCCCTGAGCATACCCATATCCGTCTCCCATAGCTTTCTTGACCCAAGGAAAGAAAAGGCCGGTGCAGTAAGAGACAGATCTGCATTTGCTCATCTTCAGGGCCGGTCGCCGGGCAGCAGCAACACGCTAATCGATGCGCACATAAAACTGCCCATTGGATTTGATCACCACGCCAGCTCAAGCCTGCTTCCTCCCATGCATCTTCGCGCTGTCCACGAACAACATATGTTTACGATGGGAAAGACTAGGGCATGGCAAGCGCGGGCGCTGGGGAAGGTGAGTCGTTCTTCAACACCCCTTCTCTATACATAGGTACTTTCCGGACGTCTCTCAGCAATCTCAGCATCCTGGGAAGGGCAGACCTTCTGGCGGGCTTTCCCCTTCCCTGTTGATTCCCTCCCGCCCCTCCAATCAACGTAGATCACAGAACAGCGCTTGGGAGGAACGATCACTGACATATGATGTTGGACAGGCCGTGCAAGAGAAGGTAGCGCAACGCAAGACTGAGCAGCCACCCAACAAGAAATACACCAATAAAGGCATGCAAGAGTCAACACACCCTGGATTAAGCTGGGAGAAATACGCCACGAAGACATATGCCCCGACCAAGCGAACGCTTGGGTTTGGCGACCTAGCATCTTCTAACGGAAACCAGCATTTCGCCGAACGCGTTGGCGAAGTCATGGACAGCGACCAAGATATCGCCATGACCGAGTGGGAGAAGCAGCAGATAGAGGTCAAAGGAGAGCAGCAGCAGACGGAGATAAAGGAGGAGGAGAAGCAGACGGACATCGACATCTTGGCACATGCTCCCAAGGAACCGCGGTACGCCTCCCAGATGGAGGTCGAGGAAGAGCAGCAGCAGATAAAGGTCGAGGAGGAGAAGCAGAAGGATATCGACATCTTGGCGCGAACTCCCAAAGGACCGCGGTTCGCCTTTCGCCAGCCTGGTCCCGATGGATACGGGGGTTATAGCAAGACCCGGCACCGCATCGACCTTCCCGACCGAGTAGTGAGGAAATCACTGGAAGAGTTGCTTCTCGAGAACCCAGACAAGCAGCTGAAGGGAATCGACCAGAGCACCTTGGATCTCGCTGCTAACACAATCCTCCAAATAGCCAATGAGGCAACGCAGCGATGGCTACGCCGATGGTGTCCCCGCATGCCCTGGAAAGAGGTCTTTGACGCCATCCGAGCAGAAGGTACTGAGGAACACGACAATACTAACATATACCTTGTGCCGAAGGAATCCCTGGACTTGGAGGGGCAGTCATCGGTGATTCTGGCCCAGGTTTTCCGGCAATGCCACGGCGTCCGCAAGAAGGGTTCACCTACACAACCATCAGACGTGATCCAAATCTTGGTCAAATGTGCTCTCCTTTGTGGGATGCTGAAAGACGAGAAGCACAAGGTCTTGCTACAAAAGGCCAAAGAGCAACTTCAATGGTTACCTGTTGACCTAGAAGCCCAGGAGCGTTACGCTTATGTACAAGCGCTGGTCGATCTCAAGCAGCTCGACAAGAAGCTTGAGGACCTTAGGAAAATGCCTTACGCTATGAGATGGACGGATGAACAACGAGAGAGTCTCCTCAAAGCGGAAGAGCTCACCATACTCAACCGAGCATTCTTTGACTTCGAACTGGAGCGGGTTGCTTTTCGTCTCGAGTTGCTCAAAACCATCCAAGTCCTCCATCAGTCAACGTCAACCAGTGCAGACTAGAGACCAGTATTGACTGGACGAGCAACGACTCCGGCAATGGAAGAGCCCACAGCGTCCTCATCTCGCCAAGTCCCCACCCAAAATATCAGCGCACTTGCAGCCATGCAAGATTCCCTTTCTGGTTATTCTTCTTCTTGACACAAGGTGTCAATCCGTCAATCCCCGAGCCAGCTTTCGACAAAAACATTTGATCCAAATCCTCTCATGCTGGATGGCTGAACCTATGGGTACATACGAACAGTCTTGGGGCTTTAATCGCCTATGAATCATTCTGGTCTGGTCCCATAAGTCCCTACGCCAAACAAGCCTATTGAAAAGTGTTCACAGGTCAAAGTGGCCATCATCATGGTCCATGGAAGCAGAGTGCACCCATGGACCTATTAGTGAGCTATCATTAGCTGTAAGGATATGAAAGGTTTCTTCAGAGTTTCGCTAGGTATGTCACTCCCCAAGACATGAAGTTTCTGCTACTGACAATCAGCGATCAGGAGGCTATACGTCGAGTGTCGCATGGAGCGATGATGCAGTGTAAAGGGAGCTTATGGGCCTTTGGAGGTTCAACATGAGAGAACCAATGCCTTGGTCCGTCTCGTTGGGAGCCCTACGAAATTTTGCAAGAGGGAAAACACAATACTTCTCGTTATTCTTGAACGCTCTGAGATGAATCATTGTGTTTCGAGATTCCGGTTTGTAGCTGAGTAGGTAGTTATGTCACCATGCTGAATGGTCAGCTTTGATACCAGATCGTCATCGAGCAGTGCCATTTGCAGATCAGCTCGCTGTGAGCTTGTCCCGTATTGGCGAACGGAATTTATTTCACTCTTCCATCTGGTCTGCTTTCTGGTCCAGACTCTGCATCAAGGCCGTCTCCTCATCCACCTCGCCCTCAGGCCCGCCATTCCCAAAATTCAACCCCCTCTTCCTCATCTCGCCCTCGACAAAACCCCTCGTGATCATGCCCCCCCTCCCCAGCGGCTCTCCCTCCTCCCTCTGGCGCCGCGCCCAGCCCTCGAGGCTGCGCATGGCGACGACCAGGAAGCCCAGCTCCTCGCGGTCGACGTCGAAGACCTCCCACCAGGCGCACTCGGGCATCTTGGCTTTGGCGTCGCGCGCAACATTATAGACGGCGGCGACGGCGATCGCGTGCGGCTGGTGCGTCAGGTATAGTAATTGCGGGCTCAGCAGGGCGGCGTTGAGGTGGGCGACGGCGCGGCGGGCGACCTCGGCGCGGGGCTGGCCCAGGAAGTCGAGCGTTTGGAGGTATGTCACGACTAGTGGGTGTGGGAGCGCGACGTGCGTGTCGAAGCCTAGCGCGTAGAGGATGCGCGCTTCGAGGGATAGGATTCGCGTGTGGAAGGATGCGTAGGCGGTTTCGGTGAGGTAGTAGGTGGATGGGTCGGGCTTGGGTGGCGATGGGGTGGGCGAGGGGGATGCCGCCTGGAAGAGAAGGCTGCTGGGCGAGAGGAGGTAGGCGTATACATTGCAGACGTCGCGCGGGGGGCATGGGTGTGCGCCGAGCTTCGCGACGAGGAAGAGGGCGGCGGCTGAGACGTCCTGCGGGAGGTTAGTTGGTTGGCTCTGGGAGCTATGTACGGAAGGGGGAGACTTGCGCTGAACTCGTGGGCGAGCGGCGAGTCGACCAGCCAGTACCGCGCCAGCACGACGTTCGCCTGCGCGGTGACGGACTGCGGTACGCGCAGCAGGACGCCGGCCGCTTGTGTCAGGCACTGCGTCGCGAAAAAGATGGTGTCCTGGAGGTCCGACGGTAGCGCGCTGAACGAGGTCCGGCGGTACAGCTGGTCGACCGTGGCGAGGGGGTTGGTCATGTGTGCCATTGTCGGTGGTCTGTTTGGGGGCAGTACCAGAATTGTTGTATGTGTTGTTGGCTGTGTGTTTGTTGTTTGTTGACTCTCAGGACGTCATTGCGAGGCTGCAAAAATCTTGAGCTGCTGGATAGTTGAGCTGGCTCAGCCTGGCAGCTGAGGCTCTATAGTGGGGCTTTCAGCTGGTGTGGAGACTGCGGGGGATAGCTCTGCGATCACTGATAGGCTGATAGCGCGGTATACCCCTTGCTCCGGACTGCTAAATCTGGCAATCTGCCCCCCTATTCTTCTCTCGACATCTGCGTATTTGCAGGTAAAGCTTCACAGTGCATCCATCCTTCTAACCAATTCTACCAAACTTCATCCCGACAATTCTCATCACAAATTAAACGTCTGAAAGAGGTAGCTGCACGGCAAACCCCCTTTCCCTCCACTTATCTGTCGGCTGGTGTGTGCATTCTTCGAGGAGGCGCAATGGTCAGACAGACGCGGGAAGCCTGGGAATCTCCGTTTTGGTTTCAAGTGTGAGAGCTGACAACGGTGTGAACGAAGGTGTTGAGTCGTACATCGGGATTGCCGATGCTTGCTCCCTGAGCAACAGACACCCATTGAGTGCCAATATGCTTTTCCCATACGAACATAACGATCGTCATTGATGACTTATATCCATCCCCATCTTTCCTCCTCATATACGACACAAACTTTGGCGCTGTTTCGCGGACGATTGGCATGCCACTTGAATTCATGAAGCGCTCAACGGAGGCTGTCCCGTGTTTAAGGCTATGGCGTCAGAGGGCGGGATCGCAGCTAAGCCGTAAGGGATCGATTGAATACTTTGTACAAGGTTGATGATTCACATGCCACGTGCTGTACGGTACATATTCATCTTGGTTGGATCTTGTTTCGGATGGCGATCGTTCGTGGCCGGACTGAAAACGGAAGGTAATCAAACGCTTCACAGCTGTTGCAATACTATTACGAGGAATTATATGCCATTCTTGGCAAGGGTCTTTTCAGCTCAATCCCTGAAATAATGTAGAATCGCGTCCGTGCCGAAACATGACAGGCATCCAAAACGTCGCAGCCAGGTAGTCATCTTTTTTAATCTATACCAAACGTTGCACATTCATACCTTCCTATATACATATACCACCACTTACCTTTCTTACGATGGTTTGAATATTCCCCTGGAGTGACCCCTGTGGATTAGGCTGTCATGAGTCATGACCCCTGAAGTGTGTTGCTAACAGCCCTAACAGCTTGAGTGTGCTTGCAAGTATCTTGATGGTTTGCAAGGTACACTATTTCAGGGGTTAACCACCCAATGTGGCTTGGGTTAAGAAGTATGTCTGTCAGCACCCGCAGTAACCCGGCTGCCGGACTGCAAGAACTTAGAAGCATGTATGGACGTACCTGTGTACTTGTAACTTGACTGTACACATGAAAGATTATCTTATTCGATATGAGCTGAAATCGGCATCGAGCCTGGTTGCTTCAATATTTTCGAAGCAGGGCGGAAATGGGTTTCACCAGCCACGATTGACAATCCCAACCACATCATGGATGCAATGTCTGCATGTGGTCAAGCGGTGTGCCATGTGGGGGTTGATCGGGTGCGTTATCAGCCTCTCGTGACGTCGGCAGGTCGGGTGTTTCGGGCGTCAACCGCAAAGCGGCAGAGCCACCGCACAGACCGCAGCGCAATTGGAACCTTCCATAGAATGGCGGGCTGATCCTCGCAAGGAGGCGTCTTTGCGACGGCTGCTGATAATCTGATTCGCCGAAGGTTGCTTATCAGTAGCACCGCTGCACTGGACCCCCCGTCCGTGGATAGCGTGGGTATCGCTACCAGCATTGAACATTTAGCACGGCTGATTGAGTGATTGATTGCTCGAAAGTATTTGCTGTGGTTTTTCTACACTATCGTGACTATCTACTATCGGCACAGCTTTTCGAAAACGCGGCATGCATGCTCACCACCACACTACTACCTACATGTAACCCAGTCGCATGCAGGAGATCACCTCCTGGGCACATTTTACGAGGAAGCACTCCGCAATGCATGTACGATCTGTTCGCTGCATCTTCTTCAGCCTCCTTGTGCTGTGCCTGCCTGTGTCTCGCACCTCGACGACTTGCCCCGCATTGACTCGGTACACCGCAAACTGTAACCTCAGAGAGACCCGTGGATGTTGAGAGCTTCCAACCCACACACACCATTCGAGAACGACGCCCGGACCAGACTCGTCGGACACGCCGAATTTTCCATCCATTGAGTTTGCGTCGCTATATAGGAGATGGCGCAGAGGCATACTGGCTTTCATCAGTAGCTAGCCGAGCACGCTGCCTACTGCGCAGGTTGGCGCCATCCGATACACCGTGTCACAGCCTCGTAGGCTCAAGCTGCGGCTAGTCGAACAGAGTTCCAACCGACTTCTCCAAGGCGAGAGGACCGAGATCCGGCGTCCTCCGTCAATCGAGACACCGGGGGAAAATGTCACCAGCCTCGCCGCCATCGCCGCACCCGCGCCCTTCGAAGCGCCCGCACCCGTCCTCTCCAGAGTCCAAAGACTCACCGGCTTCTGGAACCGTCGGTCCGGCCTCTCCCGTCACAGAAGCCTCACCCGATGGCGCGCCGCAGAGCTCCAAGGTCGGCCAGAGCAGCAGTTTTCGAAACGTCAGCGCATGTAACCGATGTCGGTTGCGCAAGAACAGGTGTGACCAGAAGCTACCGAGCTGTGCCAGCTGCGAGAAGGCAAGGGTGCCATGTGTGGGATACGATCCAATAACCAAGAGGGAGATTCCGCGCAGGTCAGCCAATTGTCCCGGGGACCCGATCACGGTCGGCGCGTACCATGTTCCTGTTAGACTAACTTTGTGTCTCAGTTATGTCTTTTATCTCGAGACCCGCGTCGATCAGTTGGAAGCTCTGCTTCGTGCCAACAGCTTACAGTTTCCACCAGCTGAGAACCTAGAATACTGCTCGAGACCTGGCACCGACGGGGGCCATGGTAGATCGCCCACGGATGGCTCGCACTCCATGCACCCCGAGGCGTTTGAGGCATCGGGTGGTGGAAAGTCATATAACAATGGAGAAGAACATGCAAGACCTAGCAAGATTATGAGGCATAGTGGCGGGAATGGACAGAGGTATCTGGGGTCTACCAATGGCGTGTCGTTCGCGCGCGTAGTCTTTGCCGCCGTCCAGTCATCTGTCGGAGATCACAGATCAAGTTCTGACAAAGCAGGAATTCGACCGTATAAGCCAGTCGCTGGGAACGGGGCGGTCTCCTCGGGTACCTCCATGCGCGACTCGTTCTTTGGCCTCCACACACGACCGACCATCAGCCCGGCCGAGTTTCCTGACAAGGAATTGGCTTGCAAACTGGTAGAGTTGTATTTTCAGCATGCCAACCCACAGATCCCAGTTCTCCACCGCGAAGACTTCATGCAGATGTTCGAGCTTGCATACGCCGATGAAGGTAGGATACGGGGACCCAAAGAGCTGTACATGTTGAATATGGTGTTTGCTATTGGCGGTGGTATCATCATGGACGCGCAGACCGCCTCGTCGAGAACGTCGGGTGAGCTGAAGACCCAGTCTCAGCCGGAAGAGTACCATGCCAGCGCCATCATCCATCTTGAGGCCTGTCTTAGCAACAGTGGTGGTGGCCTAGAGGAGCTCCAAGCTGTGCTGCTTCTAGCAAACTTTGCTTTGCTCCGGCCAGTTCCGCCCGGCTTATGGTATGTCCCCATCGGTGCACATGAGTTCCCAAGTCAGAATGTTAACTCGGTTTAGGTACATCGTTGGCGTGGCTGTGAGACTGGCGGTGGATCTCGGTCTTCATTACGAAGATGGGAAAGATGTTGAGTTTGATCTTGGAGACTCGTCCAGTGCAAACAGAGGCGGTGGCGAGGGCGAAAGACCACGCGAGGTCCACCAGCGCGAAAGGGGCCGACGAGAATATATTCGCGACCTTCGGAGACGGTTATGGTGGTGCACCTATGCCTTCGACCGACTTGTCAGTACTTGTGTCGGGCGACCATTTGGTGTGTCTGATCAAGTCATCACAACTGAGTTTCCCTCCATGTTGGATGATCGCTATATTACCCCTGCTGGTATCGTTGTGCCTACTCCAGATGGCGAGCCATCATACAAGATTGTTGCGAAGCATTACTGGCGACTGCGATTATTACAATCAGAAATAATGCAAGTCTTGCAGTACCAACAGGCACAGATCGCGAGATTCAACGGTCAAAATATGCGGAACGAGTACATGCACACTCGTCTCCCCTCACCCTTCCTGTCGAGATTTGATTCATTCAGGAGCTGGAGGAAAAACATCGACGAGCGTTTATACGATTGGAAGAACTCGGCACCAACCAAAGGTGATTCAGGGGTTGCGTTCTCAACCGAGTTCCTGGAGCTGAACTATTGGCAAGCAATCATCATGCTTTATCGCCAGAGTCTGAGCGTACCCGCCATGTTCGAAGGCGAATACCACACCTCCAAAGAAGTGAACAGCCCGTCCATTTACTCAGCCGAGTTGCGAGAAGATGAAGAAAGAGTCTACGTCAAGGTCGCCGAAGCAGGACAGAAGATCTTGCGGCTCTACAGACAGCTGCATGTGGTGGGACTTGTGAACTACACTTATCTGGCCACGCATCACCTTTTCATGGCGGGTATATCATACCTCTATGCAATATGGCACTCTCACGTTGTGAGGAGTCGACTGGTAAGTGCGCATGTTGGACCGATGATTGAAGCAGCTAACAGAGAAGTAGACGAGTGATGAGGTCGACTTCACTATTCTAGCAGCTACCTCGGTTTTCTCCGATCTTATTGCCAAATGCCCTCCAGCAGAAGCTTGTCGTGATGCTTTCGACCGGACAGCGAAGGCAACTGTCAAAATGGCTACTTCTACCGGCGGATTTGGACCGGTGTTGAATCGAAACAAGCGGGGATCGAAGGGTAACAGCGATAGAATGGACTATATCACTGCAAGGGAGGCAACAGCAAACCGGCAGAAGATGCATCAACGACCAGCTTTTGATCCTCGGTCAGGCGCACCTTACGATGTAAGCGCACACGATGGTTATGGTGGACGGAACGCACCTGCGCAAATGACACCAAGGCCAGGTCAACCAACAGCACCGTTCCGTCTCAACATCCCTGGTGTCAAAACCGAACAGGATGGGTACTCGATGCTTCGATCGATGCCAGTACCGAGCCTCAATACAGGTGGCTCTTCTGATCTAGTGTCCATGCCTGACAACTCGGCCATCGATCCCGTCCTGTTACCGTCTCCCAGCCCACGGGTAAACTCCCCAGTATCTGCAGCAAGTTTGACACCAACATCCACGAACCAGGGGCAATTCCCGCCTCAAGCTGGCCCGAACTCTAACTACAATCTTCTGAGGTCGCCCACAGCCGGATACAGCCCGGGACCAGGTACCCTGAACTACGCGGACCTACAGGGCATGGATTTCCTGCAAACCCTACAGGACCAGACCAGCGCCGATGGCACGAATAACAATACAGACATGCAGATGGACATGGGCTTTGGCATGGGCTGGGAGGGCATGCATCACGACTTTAGCGATGGACAACAGGTCGACCTCTTTGACGGATTTTTCTTCGGCGGCCAGCAGGGCGGCGGAGGGGCAATTGGCTGAAGAAGTAGATCATACTGGCCCACACCTCGAGAGGTCTCTTTGAAATCCTCGCTTCCGCAACGATTGGCAAACTGATTTTATGCTATACGCGGAACACGAAGTACGAATGTGGCGGACGGCGACATGACGAGCTTTTCATAATTAATGAAGAACACAACTGGACTCCGATCTACGCAGACGAAAGGAAAATGAAGGAAGGAAGGAACGCAAGATACCTGGAGCGTGCGCCTCGTTTCGCTTGCTTGTATAATAATACTTGGCTCTCATACCCCCTGGTTTCGCTATCACTTATGTTGGCTTTGCGATGGAGGACCTCCCTGGTCGTTGGCTTCTCATGAAACGGCGGGAAGGGGAAGGGGAAGTAGAGAAGGGAAATGAAAGGGGGACAGGAAATTCGCCTTCACACTCACGACTGGGAAGGAAGCGTACTCGGAGAGGCATAGAGTAACATTTCTGCCGTATAATGATAAATGTCTTCTTACTCTTCATACCAATTGGGCTTGCTTTGTACTGCGACTGGCGGGCATCAACAACACGGTCCCCGGACGTCATCTCCCGTACTTCGGCGGACGCAAGGCCATAAGTACCTATGCAAATGAAATTCCAAATTCGCAACCAGCAAAGGCGTAATGAATGGCGCAACTGTCAAATAACCAATGCGCTCCGCATCGATCTACGTGTACCCCTGGCCTAATAAACTATCACCTAAAAGGAAGATGATCTTCGTAGCGGCTAGGGGGTTTAACTCACCTGGTAGCGAGCTTTTTGGTTTTTTATTTTTAGTTTTCTCCCCCTGACTGCGTGGATGGGAGGGACATGGGAGCTTTACGCCGAGTGTTGGTTGGGTGGGTATGATGGAGCTGACTCTATTATTTGTATCTCTTAAGGTACCTGCTGCTTGTTCAGGTTATGCTAATGACTGCGTTGAAACTTAATTCTTCTCGTGCATCGAATCAAGACGTTTGTTTGCCTCCCTAATTCGGGTCGGGTCTAGCGGGATACTGGAATACTCAAGTCTTTCCGAAACTCACCCACAGACAGGCCCGTGGGGGAATGCCCGATTTGCGGAAGACAAAGGTCATCTATCGTCGTAGATACAGAAACCCTGCTCAACATCTTGCTGGGCGCCTTCTTTTAGGCAATGATACAAGTGTATGTACAGTCTCTGATATTATCAAAAAAGTGAAGCGCCGGCGTTCCTAGGTATTTGCAATAATCATATCCAGCACACTGCTCAAGCCAGCCAGCGCAGAACGCTTCTCATAAGCACACGATGAGTCCCATGGCCCGTACGTACCACCAAGCAAGCAGAAAAGGCCAGCTCACCCAACCAACCTTGATAATCTCCCCGGATTGACTGTATCAATCAATCTCTAAACCCCCTTCTTCTGAGCACTACTTTGTCCATCCGCCCCATTAGCGGACCCGTCGTTGTTCCAGTATACGAAAACGCGATCCCGCAGCGGCGCAAAGACAGGCCACACGACGCGCACGCCAACCACGCAAACAAGTGAGGCGAACAGCTGCCAGGCCATCCACAGCATCGAGGCGCCCCACGGCGCGATGAACTTGAGCCACTCCTCGGGCTGGTAGTGGTCCTCCTGGCCCTGGATGAAGTAGTGCTTGTGCGGCGCCAGGGCGTGGTCGTCTTCGTACTGCTGGTGGTGGAAATGCTGGTCGGCGTCGAACTGGCACTGCTCGTCGCCGAACTGGCACTGCCCGTGCTGGTGGAGGTCGTCGTGTTGAGGTGGCGGTGGGGGAGGGAGGATGATCCGGCCTTCCTCGTCGACGGGCAGGTGCGCTAGCGTGAGGACCGTCACGAGCTTGACGTGCGCCTGCCAGAGAGAGAACGGCACGAACCAGATCGTGAAGACCTGGCGCATCGTCGCGTAGAGCAGGTTGTTGGGCTTGTCGAAGCCTGATATGCCAGAATCAGTCTCACATACACGTCTCCTTCATGTCTCCAAGTTCTTCCTCAGTCGCTATGTCTGTCACTGATTACGGGGACTGAAGAGGTTGTTGGAGAATAGACGGGAAAGGTTGACTTGACTCACTGATCGAGTCGACCTCGAGCTTGATCTCGGGGCTCAGCACGTGGTACCAGCGGTAGATCATCAGCACGACCCAGCGCGAGTCGATGATCCACGACGTGAAGGGGACGCGGTAGTTCTTGAACGACGGCACGCGGCAGAAGGGGTGGGTGAAGAAGGCGTCGCGCAGGAAGTAGTCGTTCAGCGTGTCGGTCTGGTCCTTATTGGGGCCCTCCGTCAGGGCCTTGACGATGCCCGTGAACTGGGCCTCTGGGTCGTCCATCTTGGGCGTTGGTGTAAAAGGTGGTTATAGAGCTTGCCTGACAGTGTGAGTTGGAGTTGCAATTGTGAGAGGGCGGTTCAGAAGATGAAGCTGGCGATGAAGGTTAGATCCGCTTCTTCTTGGACTCGGGCTTCTCTGACTCGGTCCGTAACAGGCGGTAGATCAAGACTAAGATGTAGGTTTGCGCGATGAGGAGGAGGAAGAAGAGCAGCGTTAGCAGCGAGAGAGCAACAACAAGCGTAGTCGAAATATCGGAAAGGGTGTGGCGGTGTTCGAACCACACCATGGTTATCAGTGTCGTCGGAAGGAGACGATTCCTAGTGTGTTTAATTAGTAAGTCGCGTGGAAAGAAGGGCCCGGGGGGACTTCGTGCAGTTGGCGTCGGGATGATGTCATTCGGCGATGAGACAAGGTCCCACTGAATTGGACGGGAAAGACTGGAATGGAAGTGACATGTGAATCCAGGAACGACCCGAGCCCGCGGGGACACAACCCCTGACTAACTAAGACCATGATACCGGTAGGTTATACTCACCTTGAGCCGTTAATTGACTGATCTATCATTACATTAGGTTTCTTAGTCAGGTAGGCCATTGAAAACTTTCTTGTAACTGTGCTGATCTTCCTTAACTTAAAAGAGTTATCAAGCTACTTAGTTGCGATTCAGGGCCCAGATTTTAACCTCATCCTGATAACTTTCGGATCTTCGGGAATGATGCCGGAGTCTCGCGAATACGATAGACTCTAGTGGTATAGCTCAGTCGCATTGTGATGTTGCCCGTCACGTCTTATTAGTACGATCTTGTAGCACGATTGCCCGAGGCCTGCCATTGCTAACCACAATATGAGTGCCTTGTTTTGTATCTGTCAACACAGGCACATCGAGTCGCTCTTAATGCTAAAGCCAAACTAATGCACGGCTTGGTTTCAATAGTTAATATATAATGGAGCTGACATAAGTGCGATTCTCCTGACCCAAATGTGTACTATATAATGCAAGAAGCCAGCCAACAGGCTCCCAATAAAAGTCCTAAGTAAAGAGCCCCGCAAGCAAGCAACCCGCAGCTCATGGTGTATCAATACAGACAGGTAAGTGTAAACCGCTCGAAGGGTCGTGTACGTCAAACAATGCGCATATGCACCATGCCTACCGTTAGCAAACACACCATACCTTGTCCTACATCGCAAGGACCTCCCCAAACCCCCATCACAATATGTACGCATGAAGCCGGCCTGCTCGAATCCATCTCGTTCCCAGAACATACACGCATATATATCCCGTAGTATCCCAACCCACTCATCCATACACCTCCTCACCTCCGCGACTGGCTCCTCCGCCGACTCACATCCCGCACCGGCCCATCGCCGCCGGCGAACCGGTACGGGTCCACATCCCGATACCCGCCGCCGCTCCTGCGCTCGCTGCTCCGCCTGCGATGATGGCCCCTGCTGTCGCGACGGCGCGGCGGCGTATGCTCCTCGATAACCACGACCTCATCGTCGTCGTCATCGTCAGGGACGATGCGCGGCGCGGGCGGCGGCATGGGCGGCGGCGGCCGGCTGACGCTGCGCGAGCGGTGCTCCTCGACCACAATCTGGTCGCGGTCGGGCGTGCGCGGCAGCATGGGCGCAGCGGCCATGCGCTCGCGGCGGATCTCGACGGTCTCCGTGGTGCGGCGTCCGGGCGCCGGCGACCGCGAGGAGTGGTGCGAGCGGCGCTTGCTGTGGTGGCGGTGCGGGCGCGGCTTCGAGTGTCGCGATACCACGGATGCGGACGTACCGCCGCCGTTTCGGACGGAGCCCGTCTCGACGACGGCTGAGGGCCCGTTCCCGAGGTTGACGACCATGTATATGAGCCATAGCAGGAACAGGAAGCCCGCCACGGAGCCTAGGACTATGCCCACGACGGTGCCGGCGTCCGGGCCGAAGGGCGTTTGGCCGTAGCCCTGCGGTACGGTGTCGACGTTGGTGGCGGCGCGTGGGAGGATGCGCGCTGTGAGGGCTTTCAGGCCGGGCGTCGATTGTCGAGATCGTGGGGTGAGGGGCGAGAGGACGTCGCGCGCGGCGTGGCGCGAGGGGATGAGGGGTGCCATGTGCGGCGGGTCGGACGGTGTGTCGCTAATTGAATCACAGTAGGTGTCCCTATCATTCGCTAGGCTCGATAGTCGTGTAAATGTGATGAAGGTTGTGACAGCGCTGGCTGTGTGATACGGTTCAATTCAACTGTGGGAGACAGGTGTTGTCGTCGTGTTTGGACGGCGGAGGTGTCGGGGTATTTCGCACTCTCCGCGCATGGAGGTACAGTACGACGATTGGCGTTTCTACCTGTGCTGTCCAGTCTTACAGTAATTTGCAATTGGCGAATAATACCAGTCTGCGTACAAGAATCGGACGGCACTTCGAATGTGCAACGAGTGACTGACGACACTAGGGAAAAGGAGGGATGTAGTTCACAGTGAGGTACGAGGACAAGATGGTGGAATCGACGCGGGATGATGACGGGGATCCATCATCAGAATACAGAAGAGGCCCTCTGGAGCCCTCTGGAGTCTGTGTTGCGCCGGGCAACTCGCTAGCCTAGAATCCTCCAGCTATTTGCGGGCCGCCGTGCAGCGCTCATCTTATCGTGGGCCAGGGCATCCCATCTTTCCCACTCTTTCCCCGGTTTCTTGACATCGATGATCGACCCTCAACCCTGTGAAGAGCTTGGTCCTTTTCAATTGACATCGAGTAATTGCACCAGATTCAATGTCATGACGAGTAGTCTCGATAATAATCACCATCAAGTCAATACGCCAAAGCTGCATTTGTTACCTACTGTTGATGCGCTTGATCCCGGTTTGTCTGCCCTGCTGGATTTTGGAGCAGTTGTTCCTCCAGGATCGACCCCGGCAGGGGTTGCGTCGACGCTATGGGGCAGCATTGGATGCTTGGAATTATCTTGAATAACCCTTGCTTGTCCTCCATTGATAACCAAGTAGCTCACTATGCTTCCGCCTTGAGATATATCATATCAGCCAGCTATAAAGGTTTGGTTAGTCTCGACGAGCCAGAGAATGAATCCCCGGGGGTATAGGCTGAACAACACTGAGAGTATTACCGACGCGAGTCACCTGACAGCGCGACACGAAATCCATCGCGGCCCGCGACTTGCTACTATGCTATTGCATTCAGGGTTGGTCTCGGGGGCTCACGCAGGATGTAACTAACAAGGATATTTCGACACGTGACACGCGGTATTCGGACATATTCGAGTCCAGTACCATTGGTGCTGCCTGGCTGTTGGAAGAAGCCTGGCAAGAAAGCGGTGAGACCTACCTTCAGCTCCATTATATAAGGAGGTGCGAATACCTTCCACGGATCCGTCAATCGTGACCAACAAACACACATTGCTATAAGCCCATATTACCAACAACAATGTCTGAAGAACAAGCCCCCTCAAGACCTACCGCGGCAACTGCCACTGCGCAGCCTACGTCTACGAGGTCGTCCTCCCCGAGATCAAGAGCGCCGACGAGTGCAACTGCAGCGTGTGCTACAAGAAGGGCGTGCTATGGCAGTTCCCGAAAGCCGAGAACCTGCGCTTCTTGAAGGGCGACCCGGAGTCACTGACCGACTACACCTTTGGCCGGCGGCTCTTCAACCACAAGGTTCGTCTGCCTGCCCGATCCCCGCTGGGACTGAGGCGTATGGGGGAAATGTGCTGACGGGATGGATGGACGACGTATTGCAGTTCTGCCCTACGTGCGGGAACCAGATCATGCTCGTCGGGCACATGCACCCGCCCAAGGAAGGCGAGGAGAAGGAGCCCGAGACCGCGGTCAATGTGCGGACGTTCCAGTACGGGCAGGGTGTCGATGTGTGGAACCTGGATACCAATCCGTGAGCAGTGCCTGAATCTAGTGAGCCTCTTGCAAGTGTAACTGAATCACCAACATGTCCGCCCCCCAAGCTTCGACGGTGGCTCCTTTCCACCAGCGTACCAGCCGGCGAAATTCACGGGCCCGGAGCCCACGGCAGAGGTCGAGGGCGGCAAGCTATACACCGGCAGCTGCCACTGCGGCGCCGTCAGAGTCGCCCTGAGATCCAAGCCCCTGGACAGGACGTTCCCCGAGAAGATCTGTGTGTGCAACTGCAGCAGCGACAGCCGCGTGCGTCTCCCGCTCCTTCTCAAACTCCCTCTCACTCACCACCTAACCCCTTGCCTCCCCATGGCCCACGCAACTAACAACGCGCAACAGAGCGGCTGCATCTGGACGTACCCGCGAAAAGACCAACTCGCGATCCAGGGCGATGCCAACCTGACACACTACCTCTTCGGCCCCAAGACCACGGCCAAGTCGTTCTGCCGGCACTGCGGCGTGCCGGTCCACAACCAGCCGCAGCCCCTATCCGCCGCGTTCCTGGCATCGGCGCCGGAGCAGGCGCGGCAGTTTCTGACGGGGATGCAGGCGCTGAGGCCGGTCAACCTGCGGATCATCGATGGTTTGGACGTCAAGGAGTTGCATGTCACGCAGATTGATGGGTATGACACTCTCCAGCCGGGGTATGTCGAGTCGTAGGTAGGTAGGTAGATACTGTAGGTACGCTTGGTAGAGAATGGGGTTTGCTGTTGTGCGGTCCAGGCCTGTGAAATCGCTGAATCTGCATGCGTGGTGTGAAAATATGTAAAATACGACTCACTACATACCAACACAAATCTTCCCATGCCAAAGTTACAGAGAAGGGACGATCGCTCTATGATGTCCAATCTATGCTTTATTGCCAGCGCTTGTGTGTGCTACTTTGAGTCATATTCGTCTAATACCCGTCGTCGCAACCGGGAACTCCATCGTCGACATCAAACACAGAGCCCCGGAACAATCTGCGGTCGTCCTTCACAGGAATATATTCGCCTTGGCACACACGAAATTACTTCCGCTCGCTCTCCTTCCCTCGTACGAAATGCAGTACCGCAGTAAGGGTGCGTGTCCACCTGAGGGTATAGCTTGAAGCTTCATTTAAAATAGGGGTAACCGTCTCCTTCATTCGTAATAGCGCTAGGTAGGTAGGTAGCCGAGCTGCGTAGTAACAACATTCCCCGAGAAGCTGACAAATTCCGAAGAGACTCCATGCTCTTCATATATCACAGAAAGATCCGCAACGGTATCAAAGACGCAATCACCATCTAAGCACCCCCAGCGAAGAGATCCAAGACATCCTGATTGCCCGCCTCAGCCGCCACATCCAAAGGCGTGCGATGGTCCACGTCTTCGCCCGTATGAACCACACCCTTGCCCATCAGGAAACGGAACCTGCCCGCCCTCCTCCCGGGCCAGCGCTCCCGGGTCTTGTCCGCCGCAACCACGTGCAGGAGTGTCTGACCCTGCTGGTTCGTCACACGCCAGTCGACGCGCATCTCGTCGAAAAGCGCCCAGACCAGGGCCTCCGACTCGACAGCCGCGGCTGTCTCCATGCTCAGGCGCCTCTGCCAAGCCGTCGGGGATCCTCTGTCCTCCTCGGCCATAGGGACACCGACGCCGCCCTCGCGGAAGAAACTGAAGATGGGAGATTCGCCCTTTTGATTCCGCTTATTGATATCGCAAGCCGCGGTCACGAAGCGTTTGAGCAGTTCTTGACACCTCCCGCTTCCCGCCCCATCTTCGCCAATCTGCCAGACCCCGCCGAACAGTAGATGCAAAGGAGCGTCGCCCGTCGTCGTTACGGGACGACAGGCATCCGCCCCTGCCTCTAGAAGCACATCGACCTCGTCTCCAAGGTTTCCACCCTGGAGCGCGCAGAGTAGTGCCGTTCTCCCGATGTTGTCCTCCGCCTGCAGCAACTCAGGGGCTTGCAATAGCATGCGCCTCAGCGTGTCAATGGAGGTTGTCCCGTGTGTCGATAGAGGCGACAACACATAATAATGCAAAGGACACATGCCTCGCGGATCTCGACCGCGGACGTCGGCCCCTCGGTCGAGGAGCTGGTCTATTACCGCGTAGTTTCGGCGTAAGCATGCGTATTGAAGGATGGTGAACCCCTGGCCGTCACGGGCCTCGAGGTCAACGCCCCGATGGCCGAGGAGTAGCACAAAGAACGGGTTGGAACCCGACATGCTGGTCTCAGTGCCCATATAGGCCGTCTTATTCTGTACCATTCGGTGCATGATGGCTGTTCGCTCGTATTTGGCATTCGGATCAGCACCATGCTCCAATAAGACCGCAGATTGCTAGGCCGATAGTGCGATCGTGTTTGGCGCTCCGGAACTCACAGATGACGTAGTCTAGGGGGTACAACTCCTCGTCACCATTAGGGTCGTGCCGGGCTGGTCTCTGGGTTCTCCCATTCTCAGACATCCAGGACGGCACTTCCTTTCCCGCCTTGCGCATATTGGGGTCGGCACCGCCAGACAGCATCATCCGCAGGAGGTCCATATCCCTCGCTTTGATGGCCATCATCACGGCCGATGGGGAAATAGTCGCACCGTACCGAATCAGCAGATTATGGATGTCCATACAGCTGCCCGCCTTTGCCAGACAGGACATGCCCCGACGGTCCGTGGCGTTGGCGTTGGCACCGAACTCGAGCAGGGTCTCTATTGCCTTGCGGTTGAAGTAAGGGGCGCCAACTTCCTCCATGGCGGCGTTAAGGGGTGTTCTTCCCAACTCGTCTTCCAGCTCCAGGTTCGCACCGTGTCTGACAAGATACGGCAGTGCCAAGTGAGCCTTCCACCAGTGATGGTCGCGGGCGAGGACATGTAATGCAGTTTGCCCGGCCCCTGTCAGATTTGCCGGCATTCGCGTGGCAACGCTCACCCCCTTTTGCTCTACCAAAATGCGAATCACTTCGAGATTCGGCTGTTCCCGCTGACAACCCGTGATGAGCAGGGGGATGAGTCTCCGCCTGGAGTTGTATACTCTTGGTGTATTCTCTTCCGGCTTCTCATCGCAATCGAAACTGGATACGAGGTCTGGTGTAGCCATAAGATCAAGTGGTGAGGCAAAACCGCTAGATACCAATTGATGGAGGATACTTGTGCTCTCGTAAGTCGGTTTAGCAAGCTTCATTTGCCCCCCGTCGTCAAAGGACCCAGGCGGAGAATGGAAATCCCTGTTCTGTATCTTGTGTTCAAAGGGGGATATAACGTTACCTGGCGGATTGGAGTTGAGAAAAATCTGTCGCCTAGCAGCACAGACTTTGGCTTTTCGCACTGCAGACTTTCCTCGAGACCTACGGCTTCTCGCGCCCGCAACAGGACATCTACAGTATAGTCAAAGCCACGCGCTGCCGCTGATAAAATGGCCTGATCAATGAAAGTCCGGCTCGTGGATGGCGCACTGGTCATGAGTAGGTTCACGATGTCCTCCAAACATTCTGTAGGACACAATCACGGCGAACCCATCAAGGCCTGGCAAGGTGCAGGTCGCCGTGGGTCGAAGACCAAGACGCCTCCCGCGTGAGGCTCCCCATCTTCAGTGGAGCCCATTTTTTTTGGAATCGATGCCATCCTGGGGTGCTCTGTTCTTCTTCAAAATCGGCACAGCCGCTCCATGCTGATCCTGTAAAGGAGACCGAATCCAGAGTTGCACCATGGTCAAGAAGCACGGCAACACTCTCCGCTCTGCCAGAGGCACATGCATAGTAGAGAGCTGTACGACCGAGGCTATCTGTAGCGTCGATCGTTGCGAGGAAAGCGTCAGGGCTCTTCGCGGCTCTGAGGCTATCTAGTAGGTGACCCATGATGTTAGCCTGCCTGGATCGCGCTGCGAGATGCAAAGGTGTTAACTCCTCGTGCGTGGCCCTGGACGGATCTGCACCCTTTGACAAGAGTATGGAGACCATGTCTTCCGCAAAAGTGGAAGCCAGGTGTAACCCAGTCACACCGTCATCATCAGGACAGTCGACATCTTCCTGGGCAGCTACAATGTAGTCGAAAATGGTCGGGAAATCTTCTTTCCCAGACTTGCTGGCCTTCTGCCACGCCCACTGTCGAAAACTGCAGACTACGTGCAGAGGACTCTGGCCACGTTTGTTTGGCGTTCTAGGATGGACCCCAAGAGCCGCGATCTCGTAAAAAGCGTTGGGTAATACCCTCCAGCTACAGAACCTTGGTATTGCAATATGCCACAGGGTATTCCCCTCCTTGTCGGTCTGTGTGGGATCGACGCCGTGATCCGCCAAATACCGCAAAGGGGCCGTATCGCCTCGGCAGTGGGGAGTAGTAGCATGTAGGAGCGTTCTGCCTGTCGAGTCGGTTGTGTCAAGGAGTGCGCCTACCTCTACCATTTTCTTGAACAAGGCAACGACATCCTCTGGACTGGAATTTTCCAGACAGTCTACGAAGCTCATCAGAGGACTGCGTCCCTTGTTCTCTCCGGCCTCCGTATCTGCCTTCGTATTGATCAAAGTCGTCAGAACATTTTCTTGGAGTCCGGCACAGGCTTTAGGTTCTATTGTGTGCAAAGGGATTTCGCCTTGGTTGTTTCTGAGGTTTACATCGGCTCCGCTGGCTATCAATGCCTCGAGGAACGGTAGCCCGTGCTTGCCGGTGTGTTCCATTCGCACTGCGTGATGTAAAGCACTGTTGCCCTGGTCGTCTGTCAGTGTAACATCCGCTCCAACCTTCATTAGTTGGAGAGCCTGCTCAAGCGCCCGCGCGTAGCTTTGGGTGTCGACCTTGTGAGAGTTGGCCAAGAGACTGACCAAGGGGGTTCTGCCCCCTTTCGACTTGGCGTTGATATCGTTTCTCTCCGTCAGTAACTTGAATATATTGTCATCCCTGCATTTGTGCAGAGGTATTTCTCCGAACTGATTAGTAGCATTGGCATCTGCACCAGCATCCAAGAGGCGCCGTACAGCCGTGGCATCCTTTGCTCCATGCAGCGCAGTGTTTCCCCGTGCGTCGACTTGATGTACTATTGTGGCCGCGATCAGTTTGCTATCACGGCTTCTTCGATAAGTTTAGGAAACTTGACATCAAGGCGGAAGGATTGCACAAGATAGAAAGATAGAGGAAACTAGCTGCTCTAATCTAGCAAGCCAAGGTCGAGGTTTAGAGCTTATAGTTAGATAGTCATGGAAACAAGGCACCAAAAAGACGAACCGTTTACCCCCACCGCAAATACCAATTCAACACACCTCTTTACATCCTCATCGCATGCTTCGAGATGCTGGCCCTGCATATAGCCGCGAGCAAGAGTGTGTAGAACATTGCGGCCCGCGTCAAGCCCCTGCGGATTCCTGGATTGGTTGTGCAGGATATTCTCGTCCGCGCCCGCCCGGAGAAGCATGTCGACCAGATCTGGGCGCACCTTCGTGCATGCAAAATACAATGCTGTACCATTGGCACGTGTTTTATCATTGACATCAAGCATAGGATGCTTGAGAATCAGTCGAACGGCATGAGAGGCTTGTGCTTCACTCTCGATAGCCCAAATCAGGGCATTGGTGATCGCCCCCGTGCTTTTCATATAGGGCAGAAATGCCGCGGTTATCGATTCATCGCCGGAGTGGAATGCGTACATGGCGGGCGTCTATTCTTTGGAATGGAGTATGCCCATTATATGTTTGTCCGGTCCATTAGGTCTGTTAGCATCAGCCCCCGCCTCCAGGAGAATGGTGACAATGTGCGGTTCTCCTTGCATGGTAATATGACGTCCTACAGCAGCATGTAGTGGCGTATACCCGTGGCTGTCGTATTCATTTACATCTGCACCGAGCTGAACTAGCAGACGAACAACGTTCTCGTGGCCTTTGCATACTGATGTGACCAAAGGTGAATAATCAATGTCGATGTCGTAGTTCGTAATGTCTGCTGTGTGCGTCTGTAGGACCTTGCCGGCAAATTCTGTAAGACCGAGCTCGATAGCAAGCCTCAGTCTCATCGCGGGTAGTCGAGGTGTCTTGCCGCTGTGTATTCCGCCTCTACGCAAGTCTGCGAACAGACTAAACTTTTCGACATCATCTGGACCTGATAGCAGTTGATTAATAGCAGCGGTTATCTCTCTTTGGTCCACCCCAAGTGCAGCAGCTTTCTTGGCATGTACGTGCCAATTCCTGGCTGCGTACCTCAGAAACGGATCGTTGGCCTCGGTCTCATCCAACTGGTAGTCACCATGCCACCCCTTTTTGATTTTGACGCGGGTCAGGCAACCTGATGCTAGATATGATAAACAGAGCAAGGCCATCCGCTTGTGACTATTGGCCGAATTGAAGACCACGAGGGATTCGTTGTCCCCTTGTCCGCTAGTCGTACCGAGCAGATACTCGGTCAAAGAGTGATGGACGACCCGAACGGTCTCATCCGGGAGTACTTCAATGAGAGGTCCACAAACGCGTCGGACGAGGTCCTTCGTTCTGCCTAAATCTTCTGCGCAGTGTGCCTGGGTGAGCAGGATACAGTCTGATATCTCCAATAGACAAATAGGACGCACTACATGTGTGACGAACTGCAGAACCAAAATTTGAAGGTCCTTAGGAATACCTGTGCGCCGCGTGCTCCTCTAGGAGATCTGTATACATCTGGGTGAGGGATGCTGGCATCAGCTGCAAAGCTTGCTGCATGTCCGCGGCTCTTGGTAGATCAGCGATGGCGTCCATGGCCAATTTGGCATAAAGGAAGAGCCCATCGGCTTTCGACGAAATGCCTTGGATGATAGAGGAGAATGCGGCCTTCGGGGTTTGTGTGAGGTTGAGTCGATAACACATGTAAGCGGTCATGTCCGGCTCGATCAAATTCTTACGCAGACGAACATCAAGCACCTTGATGCCTCGCATAACCCTTTCCACCATGGCAATGGGTCGGCTCGTTATGATGAGTTTGAGGTGTCCTTGGCCAAGCTCATCTAAGCACCGGAGGAATGGTTCCAGTCGGTTCTGGTCCATTTCATCCAACGCATCCACCACACCGTAGGCCTTCGGGATATGAGTGAGTGCCAGACGCAAAAGACGGCACAGTTCGTCAAGCGTGAGCCCTTGTACCGGCACGGTGGCTGAGTGTTGCACCTGCATTGAATTTGTGAGCTCAAGCTGCAGCGGCGAGCTGTTGATCAGTATCTGCGCCACCCAATCGAGGAAAGCCGCCTCTGGGCTGTGGTTAGTGTCGAGAGTGTGCCTGAAGAAGAAGTACAAGACCGGGCAATCCTCAAGCGTCAGATGTTTAATCAGACTCGCCGCAAGAACTGACTTGCCGGAGCCGGGTATGCCTGTGATGCCACAGTCAGAGGTGCACCAATCATTTGCGAGAGTTCAAGTTGTGGCCAGCAAAAGAATGCATAGAATGGTCAACGAGAAACAGTACCGCGAATCCAGAGAATGCCGTCTTGCTGACTATCATGCCACTGCCGGAAGATGGGCGCGTCTAGCACCCATCTTGCAGTCCCATTGAGATGAGAGGACATGTGCTTCATGTACTCGCCATCCCTGTGCGCGTACTCTGTAGGTTGGAGCCAGGCTCGGATGTTTCGCAGCTGGGAGTCTGGTTGTGGCAGGATATCTGCTCTGTTGAAGTCGGCGACATCCCCACTGTCAAGCACCACAACATCATCGGCCACATTGCCGGCCGTACCCAAGAAGATGCCGGGCGGAGGCATGGTCTGCGGATGCAAATAGGTAGAAGATTCCCGCTGGCCGTTCACACGGCTCTGCCCAGGCTCTTCTTGTTTCGATTCCGATTTCGAAACGGTCTGGTGTATCGCAGCGCCAACCAGCCGATGTAATCGGACCGTCCAACTTGGACGGAACTGACAAGGCAGCAGCGGCGCAGGCGCGGACAACATTAAAGGAGGTGACTGCCGCCTGCAGAGATAGTCCAGCCCCGTTAAAGCAATCCGGTGGGGTCTCCGCTGTAAGAAGACATATGTAGTTAAGCAGTCTACGACACTGGCAGTCTATGAAAGCTCTTATCACCGCATGGCATGGCTTTGAACCTACCTACTTGGCAAGGAGGTGGTAGAATTGGGTAGAGCTTCATGTTGTTATACTTAGTGTAATTGTACAGTCCTTGCCTGAATTTATCGTCGAGCCAGATACTCACAACACCACACCCAAGCCCCTTTACCCTTAGTTGCTACATAGGTGGTCATGCAACTGTGCTGCCTGGTCAACGAACGCAGTGTAGCCGGGAACCCAGACATCGGAAAGGCCGATATCCCCTCTACAGTAAGTCCTCAGTTTATCTGTTTCCTTTTCCGCGCTCCGATCATCAGGTAGCAAGGCAGCTGTTCCTCCGTAGACCACCACTTCTCGTCGCGAAGATGGCCCGCGTCGGCGCGGCCCCATTCCAGGAAGTCTACAATGTCGAAACCGGCGTCCAGGAGGCCATTCATGTACGATGCCAGGGTTCGGTGCTGCTTGACAACACCCTCCGACAGCCAGGTCCGCACGCGATCTCCCTCGTCCGAGTAGCCGTTGATCGGCCACGCCTTGTTGCCGTCGGCGTCCCGGACGAGCTCCCCCTTTCGCGCCGCCGTGGCCATCGGGTGCTCGATCGAGAAGTAGAACCAGCCGTTCGGGTTGATGCTCTGGTGGACAGCCCGTGCGAGGGCGGGCCAGTCTGTCAGGTAGTGGATGGCCAGGGCGCTGAATGCGAAGTCGAACTCCTGGCCCGCCACCGCAAATGTGCTCGGCGGGTGGTTAAGATCGACCCTCTCGAAGCTCATGCAGTTGTTGATGATATCGGCCTCGGCGAAGCTGAGCTCGCGCGCTCGTCCCAGCATGCTCTGCGAGATGTCGATGCAGTGCATGTTGGCAGCTCCCGCAGTCTGGATGGCCCAGCGCGAGAACCATCCGTCGCCGCACCCGATGTCGAGGCCGCGGAGGTTGCTCATGGGTGGCAGGTCATCCTCCAGTTTGGACAGGTCGCGAACACCGGCTTGGCCGGCTGGGAGCGTCTTCTTCAGCCCGAGGTACTTGCTGAAGAAGCCTGGGTCGTCATAGATGTTTTGGTCGTCATGGTGCCTACGGTGAGCTGATATCAGGATGGTTGTGTAGGCTTGTGTTCCGTCGATACTAGGAGTCCAGTTGTTGCAGTGCCTTCGCTCGGCACTCGGCAGTGATGGGTAGTAATAAAGGAAGTTGAGATAGGTGTACATAGGGATGGAGACTCCTATATATATATGTATATACAGGTCACCAGGATTGGAAGAAGTAGCGCGGCGCCATGTGGAGGGAAGGTATGTTTCCTGCCGAATCTGGTGAATACAGGTGTCCAGGATGGTAATGGTTAGCGGGTCCACGTGAATCTGTCAATGGTAATAGGTAGAACTTTACACGATAGGAACTTCTCATGGAAGCTGACAATAACTCAGCCATTCTGGTGTCAACCAACCAACCACCAGTCGAACTGTGACGTTGACGGAGCGTGCTAGACAGTCCGTCTGGTGGTAGATGTGTTTCAATTGTCTTATCACCTTTCTCATTGTGCTTTCATGTCGCCTTCGTATCTCATTCAGAGCAAAGCTTCAATGTGAACTCCCAACCATTTTGTGATCTTTATGCATGTCTCTCTTGGCTTATGAATCCCTAATTGACTGAAGTCACTGTGGTCGTCAAACTGCATCCGGATGAGGCCGGCAGCCTGTCGAATAGAGAGCCGTAATGGTTGCTCAAATCAACGCCGAATTCAACGTCCAGGCCGAGACGGTCATATGTCCCACGCACGCCCTGACCCGAAGCTCCTGACTGAGGTTGCAAAAGGGTTGGCTCTTTGGTCTGTGCTAGATGACATGTCGTTCAAGGACTCCGACTTACTGGATGCTGAGCCTTCTTTGATCGACGTGTTGGAGTGGCCAACCTGATGGGTGTATCTATATGCACTGCCGCCTTTGCTGAACGACGTGAATCTTAGTGACACCGACGTGCAAGAGGCACCGTCCCGTGCAGATCCACGGATTCTGAATCCACCAGTCCTGGAATCATCGCTTCCAGAACAACCACTTTGGGAAGGACTTAGAGGGGACTGCTAGGTGTCAAACAGCGTGAATAGGGTTCATATGGTTGAAAACGTGGTATTCTGATGATTTCTGATGGATTGTTGTTGTGTGAAGAATCTGCAGTGGAGTGCTATAGCACTCCAAGATGCCCTAAAGGCCCTGTTGGTGCACTGCCACCTCCCTGAAAGCCACTGTGGCTTGCGTGCCACTCAACACTGAGTGGATTAGCTGCAGCTACTGCCCCGCATCCGTGTACAAGAAGCGTGTTCGCATGTGCCGCTGACTCACCCTCATGGTCATCTTGGTCGTGTATCTGAGGAACGAGACGTGCGGGCCTGAAGTCTTAGTATAGACAACAACGTTTGAATTAACCATGGATTCAGCAGAGAAGACCTTCAACGGCATACCGATCGAAGCCATCATCAACCCCTCCAAAGACAATCCCGTGCTCGTCGAACGAATCTCCAGACGCAAGGTCAAAGCACCAGAGCTCGCCATCGTTGAACCAGACCCAGAATGGCCTACTCACTTCCAAACCTTCAGACTACGCATCCTCGCCGCGTTCGAGCACCATGACCCCGACACCGGAATTCATCACCCAAGCGGACCGCAGGAGGCCGTTGGAGTCAGAGTCTCGACCATCAACCACGTCGGCTCAACCTCAGTCCCTGGTCTTTCAGCCAAAGCCGTCGTCGACATCGATCTCGTGCTCTCAGGCAATCCACTAACAGATGAGCCTTACTATGTGCCGCGCCTCGAGGCTGCCGGGTTTCAGTTCCTGCTGAGAGAGCCTGCATGGTATGGACATCGTTTCTTCTGCGCCTCGGAGCCTATGTCGTGTAATCTGCACGTCTGGGGCCCCAATTGTGCGGAAGTGGAGAGGCACCGCATCTTCAGGGACTGGTTGAGGGAGCATGAGGATGAGAGGGAGTTGTATGCGCGGGCGAAGAGGGAGTGTGCGGCTGCAGCGAGAGAGAACGGTGAGGTGATGGATGTCTACACTTCTAGGAAGAATGAGGTGGTGTAGCAGATACTGACGAAGGCTTCCGAGCTTGGTTTTCTTTCGAGCGAAGGCTGAGTGCAGCTTGAATGATTATCCTGGCCGAGAGGCAAAATATAATCACATGTTCTCGCTCTACATCTTGGCACGCGTCAGGGACGGAATAGTCTGACGCTTCTGCCACTCTTCGAAGGACTCAGGATATCGGTCGACCAGCTCGCGCATATCCATTCTTACCCTGCTACAATTAGCCATACACCCTGTACCTAGAACGGGAATAATGAGGAGCCTACACGTTACGGTAATTGAGATTCCCCGGGTACAGGCCAGAGGAGCAGAGGTTGAAGCGGCTAAAACCTGTAAGCCAATCTCCATAGCAACGCCGAGAGCACCGCCTTACAGAGCGTATAGAGCGTTTCTGCCGTCAAAGTCTTCTTCTGGCTCTGCCTTGGGGAAGTGCTTCAGGTAGGCATCCACGTAAGTTTTGTCCATCTTCTGCCGGGCTGGGCTCCAGGGCGCCATCTCGACTGGGCGTGTTAGTGATAATCCCAAAGTCTTCCTTTGGGAGGCAAACACTTACACTCGTTGTGGGCATACCAACTACATGCGTCGAAGATCTTTGGCACATTTGTGGCTCGGTCGGTCCCGGCGTTCCCCTCCTACAAGTCCCCGTGGATTAACCTCGGCACCAGCTTCCTTCCACCCGTCTCCATTGGTCGCAACAACCTCGGAATGACTCTGGTCATGATGGTATCGCGAAGCTCGGCGATCTCCTCATCAGGCCCCTGGGCCCTCAGTTCGTGTTCGAAGTAAATATCGATGTTTCGAGAGAAACACTCCTCCCAAGTATCGCACCAGGTAGGATCCTGAGGAAGAAGCCCCTGGTACGTGGTGACAGGAAAGCCCAATTTACCGGTAGGAGACACGCCCTTCTCGTGAAGCGCTACAACCAGTTTCGGAAACTCATCGAGGGAGCACAGCCCTTCTTTCATGTCACAGAAGGTGCAGATGAAGAAGTGGATGTCTGGGTCTGTCTCGTAGGTGCCCCATGCGATAGGCTGAGGCACAAGGTCCGGCAGGGTCTCATGCAATGCCTTCATGGACTCGTACTCTCCGTGCATCATGCCCTTGCCGTCATCACCAATGGAGAGCTGGCATGAAGAGGCTTAGCATATTGCTTCATCATACCGATGAAGAATGAGAACTACCTTCAAGAAGAAAAATACTCTCGAGCCGCCTTCCTGGACTGCCACTATCCGACCAGTGCGCGTCCAGAATGAGACACCATGTGGTGTTATGCGCTGTGCAGCTACACCACTGAGAAGTTCTTTCGCCACTGAGGTTAGTATAGTGAGCAACGGCCGTTGGGAAATCCCTTACTTGACTGAACGGCGGGATCGATGTATGTAATGTATTTCTGCGCGACCTCTGGCTCCTTCTCCCAGTGGGGAGTCCCATCCCAGTCCGTAGAGGCCTGCACCACGGACTTCTCCATTCTGAGAATAAGATTTCAACTGAGGGAAATTGGTACGAATGAGGAAGTGTTGGATTCTGGGCTACGTTAGCCCATCCATAGTCATCCTTCAGGAGCACCATCTCCATTTGTGACTCTGTCACATACGTGGCCAATATAAGGCCACGTATCCTTTCCTTTAGTATCTTGGATACATATATAGGGCCATTCTGGCCGCTCCAGAGTAGCTGGAATTCCTCTCCTTAATAGAACACTTTGAAATCTCACAGGAAGTCCAAATGGTTCAGGTGCCTGAATGCACTTACGGGTGGGGGAATAAGGGCTATCGTAGTGACACGGTGTGAGCGAGCTCCATACGAGCCAACTGCATTTCTGAAAGGCTCTGATTGGGTGATTACCCGGCCAAAGTGACGGGCGGCTATTAGGGTTGCATTGGGTGTGCTATGATACAGGGGCGCTTGCAGATAGTCGCACGTTTTGGGCCCCGACTATGACCAACGACTCGCTCCTTGCATCGATTCAAGAACTATGATGCTGGCGCGATCATCTGTCATGTTGAGGCTGCGACTCCTTGAATCTGACATTGGAAATGGGAATCACGGGGGTCGCTATCATCCCCGCTTCTTGATTAAAGGGGGGGAGGTAATGCCGGCCCCCTGCCACCGTGGCACGTGCTGCCATGTGGCATTTGTCGGGAAAAGCGATCAGGCGGCACAGCTACCACCCCTGAAGCACAACTGCATCACTTGAGCCCGGTTATTCACCAGGGATCCCGTCACAATGTTACAGGTCGACAACTACGTGTAACGCATAAACGCGTCTTTCCTCTTAAGTCGATAACGGCACTACCTTAACTAGGTATTGAAACTCACGAGTCACGACCTCGGATTCCCGATCAACGTCCCAGCCCAGCGCACAATCTCGCCCTGCCTCCCATCGCGCATATCGCGGCTCTCAAACGTGCCCTCAGCAGCAGCAGGCGCCTGAGCAAGGACCTTCGCAAAGAACCCGCTCGCCCTCACATTGTGCGCCTCCCACTGAAAGACGAGACCCTCGGGAACCTCGGCGCCCGGTTCGATACCAGGGACCAGCGGGGTAATCAGCTGGTGCCGCCGTCGTTCCCGGGGCAGACCCCACCAGGAGTCCACCAAGGCATTGAACGCCTCGGTGCCGTACCCTTGCCGCCAGAACCGGGGCTTGAGCAGGAACTCGGCCTCGGGCCAGCCCGTGTTGGACGTGGCCGTGGCGACGCAGTCGGGCAGCCCGGCCTCGCCGATCAGCTCGCCCGTCGCCTGCAGGAAGACCCCGAAGTACCAGTGGTTCTGCTCCTCGCGGTTCAGCGCCTCGAGTGCCTGCTTCGTCTCCTCCCTGCTCTCGTCCGCGCGGCCGCGCGTCTTGGACTGGTTTTGGCACTCCGGGATCTTGCGGAGTTCGCAGAACGCGTCCAGGTCAGACGGCAGGATGGGGCGTAAGATCAGACGCTCGGTTTTGAGGTGGGGCCGCTCTGGTATGGTTGGGAGCGGGCACTCCACGAGGTTGACTATGTAGCTGAACCATGGGGTGACGGCGAGATTCGCCAGATCGTCGACGCCTAGCGAGAGCTGGAGGTTGGGCAGATCTTTCGCTAGGGTTGTCATTGTCTCCAAACCGGACTGAGACGAAGCCGAAAGGAGCACCAGTGCTGTCTAGGCTTATTATCGAAAGAAGGAGGCCCGTGGGAGGGAGCCGATGGGTTGAGGAGGTGCTCGGCGTCAAGGAGGACGAGAAGGCTGTGTCAAGGGCTGTTCGTTGATGTTGAAGCGCAAGGACCCAAGCCCGTCGTTACTGACGCGACTGGCAGAAGGAGTACTTATCAGCGAGCAAGGTGGTCAGGTGATCGCCCTTGACACCAAGCCATGTTGGTGACGATTAGCAACCTGTCCTGCATCCCGGGCCCTGGGGTAGTCTCTCCGAATTCCACCCTCAACCTGAAGCCCCTACAGACCCGGGAGCATGGCTCGAACCGAGTTTGGGATCGCAACGCGCTTTATAATGTGTAGGAACACGATTGAGAGAAATTGGACATTCCTCTCTCTGTGGTAACCTACGTGACCTGTCAAGTGCACGTCTCGCTATAGGGTGTGATCGACATGGGAGTCTGTGGGTACAGTCCTCGTTCGGGAGGATTTATGGAGAATCGTGATATGGCTCAGTCCGTCTGAGCCCCCTGCCACAAATTGTTACTCGTACGGATACGGATGTGGACGGTACCGCTCCCCCGGGCACAGGTGAATGCAGATCAACTGACCACTTGAATTCCTAAAAGGGTAGTCGGTGGTCAGAGCTTCGAGGCTAAAGCTTAATTGGGCTAGCTACACAGTAGCAATTACTAATTGGTAATTGCGGGTAGTAATTGTAGTCGCGCGATAGTAGTACTTATAACTGCACTTAATATATACTTATTTAAAGGTATTTTTATCGATTTAGTTTTAAACTAGCCGTCGATTTGACTATACTACTATTTTACGCCGTAAAGCCTAGTTATATACTTATTAAATACTTATTATCGGATTCAGGGGGCTGCACTGCGGTGTGCTGCTGACTAGTCACATAACACGTGGTGGTTGCTATGACTAGCACCCTGACTCGTACGCTGACTCGGAAAAGGATGGTCCAGAGCATTTACTCCAGCATGACCAGATGTAATCAAATAGCTGTAGCTGCCACACAATGTGGCAGACCTGAATATGAAAACAACGATTGCAACTACCGCTCAACACCACCGGCTTGTCAACCTTTGATAACCTGACACTTATTAAGTAATTATTAATAAAATTTAATAGTATAAGTTAAAAAGATATATAATGCTACTTTCCAACTGCTTTGCTTTTTAATAACTATATATAAACACTTTATAACCGTAATTGTTGTCACGGCGAGCGTACTGAGGAGCTGGGACATGGCCGGCAGCAAACAGCTATTACTCTATTGACGAGAACATCAAGACTAGAGAGGAAAGGAAGAGAGAGAGAGATAGGTACAGCGGGAGGTTGCCCCTTTAAAGGGATCCTCTGGTCAGATCTTTCCCTTATTGGGAAGTATCGACTTGTCAGGTGAGAAGGTCCGTGCAGGCCCTCACAATTGTTGGATCCATGTGATTCCATAGTCAAACCATCCATACAGAACCCACATATATGATTAGATAAAAGATTAGATACCAGATTGTGAGGTCCTTTAGCCAGACCTGCAGGTCCAGCTAGACTTCCCAATCCAACCATCAGCAACATCATGACCTTGACCCCATACTCGAGTATTATGATTGATCATTCAAGCCTGTTCTAATAATTAAGGTGTTTTTAATTAATTAATTTATAAGTACTTACTTTTATTTTAATTAATAGTTAATAATGATAATATAGCGCTTTTAATTATAGTGTAGTAATTTTATAACATATAATATAAAAGTTATAAGGTATTTAAAGACTTAAAAGCGTTTTATCTAAGATTGTCTAGGCGTTTTTAGGCCTTAGTGGTGGGCGCTCTAACCTTATTACCCTTTTAAGAGTTTAAGTGGTCAGTTGATCTGTAGTTTCGGGCACAGGTGTTGAATACACGGATGTTGATTTATTCTATTTGTTAAACTTCAGGTTGCAGAATACTGTTCATTCGTTCGTGGATTATCTAAGTGTTCCACTGCTATCTGGGATGGACGTATTTGTATGCAAATACGCACCTATCGCGTCCCACTCGCGTAGCGGCTGAGCAGTGGGGCAACGGTCGCTAGTCGACCGTCCCCATGGAGCTCGGACCAGCCCGATCCCCATACACAGACCACCTCCAACACACACCCTGAGCCACCACATCTGACACTATTGATTGTTCTGCTCTGCGTGCAGAGATTGATCATCTGTCTTCTTGGTGGGTCAGATGCCATGTGCGTCTCTGCCCCACTGGAGATCTTCCGGTGTCTATCTCCGGCTCCCATTCAACACATTCGTGCTAGTATCTAACAACAGGAGGTGCGAACCGGAAGCCTAGCCGCATCAGCCCACAGCGGTATCGTCCCTCCCGATGGGATTTATGCAGTAGTTATACACGTATCAAGTCAGCCAAGGTTACGTGCGAATAGGAGCAGAGTGGGTTTACCATCAACCTGGTGAGGCAAGGAGCGTCAGGTTCGGCCCGGATGGACTCGGGCATGACTTTGGTCAAATACAGTAACTACTTCGCAGTGTTTCCCCTTACGGCGCGTACGGCGGTTGTTCTGCTGTAGTATCCTACACGTGACTCTCGCGGTTAAGCGCTTCGGTATGTACGATAGTACCGTATCATGCATCAGTTCGACGACATTTTGGCCAAGGTACATAGCTTCATCGTTAGGTACCGTAGCTTACCTAGATGCACCGTACGTTGTAACTAATTATTATACCAATACAGCACCTTTACGAAAACCCGTATGATAGAAACCCTACTCCCAAAACCTTGAGTCTTAACTCTTGCATGTCTCTCCTTATCACAGTCGCATTTTGTGTGGATTCTGTGCCCGAGAGACCGGTCAACCACCACCTCAGTCCCCTACTCATTTCCCTTCGCCTCGGGCCGGGCTCTACCATAGCCAGGACCGGATTCCCTGGTCTGCGCTTGTCGCCTCAACCATGGAAGTTTCTCTGGCCCAGGTTATTTTTCTTCCAGACTTTGAAGCCGATTGGCAATGGCCTCGTCTGAGCTGAAAAGGTCCAGAGATGGCCCCATCGCTTCTCAGTGGGCAGGAAAGTATCTGTGGTAACTGTCTTCACCAACCTTAGGTTTCTTGACCCGACTGCGTCCGGCGTTACAGCCAATTCCGGTCCGGCAGTCGTTGAGCCCACGGTCGGGCGGCTCCAAATTACCTAGGTATATTTCCTGTCGTACGAGATCTCCTGCAGGTGTCACTTGTTGGTTGCTGGCACATGCTGACTGCATGCTGGCAGCTGCAAGTTGCAAAACGCCTCGGCAATGCAAGCCGTCTCTCCAATCCCTGTAGCCACGTTTCTAACAGCGGCCCTCATGCTGACAAACAGTGCGCATGCCTCAACAATGAATATGCACGATGCAACAAGTAGTCAAGCCAAGGTAGCATCGACCTACCGATATTGATAACTTGTGGACGGTACCGTGTGTATTGATGTTACTGGTCTGGTTTTGTACTGGTACATATATCGCCCCACCACTCGGCCATCTTGCCACGCTCGAGAACAGCGACGAGAGTCCGATCCATACGACATCCATCCATCCATCACTCCAGCCGCCGCCAATCCCATGGTTTGACTCGAAGTATGCGTGTAGTCGTGCTTGAAAACTCGTGTGTTAACGCCGCAGGGCTCGAACCCGGGTCCTGGTGGAGCAATCCGCGTGGGTTCGAATCCCACTCTTGTCACCATGAAACAGTGTAAGCGGTACCGTGTGTATTGATGTTACTGGTCTGGTTTTTGTGCTGGTACATATATCGCCCACCAATAACTTCCCCTCGAAGAAAAATCGTCCGAAAATATTCTCCAGAAAAATCCAGCAAAATCACCCCTCGGTCGTCTAGTTGGTTTATGGCGCTGGACTGTAATTGCATAGACTGTTTATCCAGATGTCACCGGGTCCGTGCACTTCTTCCATGAGTCTCCTGACACTTGACTAACCTTCCTATAGTTCGAAATCGGTCTGAGGGAAATTGTCATTCTTTTTGGGCCCTATCCTGGCTTTTTTGCCGTTTCTGATACCCCCGGATTTGAGTGGTGTTGTCGGGGATCTCTAACCTAGGTACCTAAGCTTCGGAATTAGTGGGAGCTACAGCCCGGACCGCGAGCCGGGGTCCCTGCAGCGCCCTAACCTCCACAGCCGAGGCCCCGCGCTCGGCTTACCCACCCCCAACATCGTCATCGCGACTTCAGCAGGCCAGCTTTTCCATCTCAGTGAATGCGATTACAACCCTGAAGCGCGGTTCAGTGGGCCTACAACGACGTCCCTATAAGCCCGAGGTCATGGCTTCAATGCTGGAGTTTCGTACGCCGGGCTTCAACCCGTACGCCGTCAAGTACTCGCCCTACTACGACTCGCGCATAGCTGTCGCATCGGCCGCGAACTATGGCATCGTGGGCAACGGCCGGCTGTTCTGCCTGGCCTTGGGGCCACAGGGTATCCAGATCGAGAAGACGTGCGACTATGGACAAGCCATATCTGCCACAGCTTCGTGTCTGCTGACTCTTCGCGCAGCTTCGACACGAATGACGCCCAGTATGACCTCGCCTGGTCCGAAATCAACGAGAACCAGCTGTTGGTCGCGTGCGGCGACGGGTCCGTCAAGCTCTACGACATCAAAGTCAACGAGTTCCCTGTCATGAACTTCCATGAGCACAAGCGGGAGACCTTTTCAGTAGCGTGGAGTCCTGTGACTAAAGACACTTTCGCTTCCAGTTCGTGGGATGGGACGATAAAGATTGTATGTACCACATGCCCCTGACACGCACAGTCGCGAGGACTACAGCTAAGATGGCGTTTTATTAGTGGTCGCCAGCCAGAAAAGAAGCCCTCAGAACTCTCCCGGTCGGGAACTGTACCTACAGCACATCCTATTGCCCCTCGAATCCTAATATTGTATCCGCCGTGTCGACCGACTCGCATCTGCGCATATTCGATCTGCGAACGCCCGTAAATGCCCAGTATCATCTCACAACCAAGATACCGGTCCACCAACCACCGCCATTTCCGTTACCACCCGGCGTAGCACCGCCTGCCATGCCTGCCGAGATCTTGACCCACGATTGGAACAAATACAGAGACACAATCATTGCGACAGGCGGCGTGGATCGCGTAATACGGACATTCGACATCAGGAATCCCTCCGCCGGGCCCGCGTCTCTGATCATGGGCCACGAGTATGCCGTCAGGAGGCTCGCGTGGAGCCCGCATGCTGCCGATATTTTGCTCAGTGCCAGTTACGACATGACAGTGCGGTTATGGACCGACGGGTCAACCATGGCTACCGACCACGCCTACCCTGTCAGGCCAGGCGTGCAACTCGGGTTGATGAACAGGCATACGGAATTTGTCACTGGTGTTGATTGGTGCCTGTTCGGTGTTGGTGGCTGGGTTGCGACTGTTGGCTGGGACGAGAGGCTGCTGTTGTGGGATGCTAACCAGATGTTGCGGGGGAAGACGTATTGATGAGGAGCGTGGAGGTATATATGAGGCATAAGTGGCATATATGATTTATTATGGTGCGGGATTGGGAGGGGAGCCATTACTGGCAAATGTTAAGACTATGCATCTGGGAGGCGTTTGGGGGTTGGCCTAACGGCTCTTCATCGATACCAATCTCTTCTTTGGTCGTGGACTTTCGATCCATTCTTCCCTAAGGGTCACACAACGAGTGACATGTGAACTTGGTCACGTTTAGATTCCGCTGACGTCGAGAGTGGGCAACCTTCCTCCTAGCCCTGAATTGGGAATAGGAGGCTAACACGAAGTCCCCAACTCTCATTTCTACCTGGTATTTCTGTTACGGCAGTTGGGGGCCATCCATTTCTATGATCTACTCATTGATTGGCGCGACGGCCTCATAATTGTCCAGGACTCATTCCGGAGACGGCTGCGGCCTCTCATGGCAGTATCGATAGGGGCCCCAGCGATCAATCATCGCGAGGTCCCTGGCCCAACCTTCTCTGACATCAATGGCGCTTGCTATTCATAGCTCCTCCATGTTACTCGGGGTTTAACCTCGATCGGGATAGAACAGCCAACGATACAGGAGCATGGACCTGACATTCCAACACCTGACAGTCGTACTAAACAGCTCCTTTCCTATCTGCAAATCTTACATGACAGCATATCAGACTTTATTCGATAAGCCTACCTCATCTCATACTGAACAAGCCAGCGACTGTGCATGATAAGTTGTACATACCTCCCCCTGTTCCCGCCCACGTCTGAGGTCTCTCACATGATTATTACGTCTACAGATCTATCGTGCGCCGGACTCTCCCTGTAAGTATTCAGCTCCTGCTTGCCCCCTGACCATGCGCATTACACACTCACCGCATCAACAGGCAACCGCTTCCCACCTGATTGTAAATCAATATCAACCCTTACCGTTGTCCCATACCTGACCGGACCTTTCAGCATCACCTTGATAGGTACGAAGGGAGTCATCAGTTGACCAGAGAGAGATGTGCGGCCTTTGCCTGGGTCCTCACTAGGTACCCATGTTCCACTGAGATGTGCGCTGTTATGGTTCTTGGTACTATCTGACTGAAAGAAGAGTAGGTCGGATACGGAAGGCCGCATGGTTCCCCATCCGCACGCACGCATTAGCTTACGCTGCCCGCGGCGCCTCAAGGAGATGCTCAATGGAGCCACGGCGAGTGCGCTGCCACCTGCTGATGGACCCCACGTTCCCAAGGCTGACAATGATAATGTCCAATGCAAGTTCCGGAATCAGAAGACCAAACGTTTAACATTAAGTTTTCATTTACCATGTACCTCATCGACAAACATACCAGCAGTTAGTTATGACCTAGCAAAAAGCCATCGGCGGGAGGTGAGATGGATATGGCAACGGTCTTTTTGGATTATTGTGTCATTTTTCTATAACGAGAGTGAAAACACAAAATCTTACAGAAGCACAGCTCTTCACTCATATGTATATTACCCCATGGCATGAATGGTACAACTTGGTGCCTAGTGTACATGGTTGTTGGGTATTGCGTCCCGTCTTGGGGATGGCGAGGACAAAGTATTCCAGCCCGTCAGATCGATATTCCACGAAACTTTGCGACCCGTCAAAATATCGTGCCAACTCTGTCACTGCATTTCCTCCAAGTGCTGACCCCCAGCCTAGTAAGAGAAAAACTTAGTCGCACCATATCAAGCCGGTGCAAGAGTCCATGCCACATTGTGAATTGCACACTCCATCGTTACAAGTTCGAGGGTTTTGTCCTTTGAACTTGCACTTGTCCTTGCCACTGCACGTCTGCGCAGGTAGTCAGTACCCCAGTAGGGTATGCCCTCATGGACCGGTGACTTGGTGAGCTTGACTTACTCCCGTTGCATCATCACGTGCGGCCAATGGATCCCGTTTGGTATCACAGTGCTTGTCGTCCTCGAGGTCGGACTCTGAGTCTGGACCAAAGATGGACCCGAAAATGGACCTATCGGCTAACTGTGCTGCGTCGTCCTCAACCACTTCGGGGCTACGGGCTTGCATGCCCCCGGCGGATGCTGGATCGAGCACAGCTCCTCGAACCTGAAGGACCAGAGCGGCAACGGCGAGGAGGTTGGAGAGCTGCATGGTTGTTGTGTGATAGATGATTCGTGATGCAATGCGAGTATAAAACTCCAGGTCGAGAAGTGTGTGCTGACTACGGGTGGTGTTGGGGTGTACTGGTGTGAGAAGTTGTGAATATATCTAAGTCTCCTCCTACAGTTGGGTTACCAGCTTTTATATACTCATTTCTCTTCTACGATTCATGGGGGCAACCAAGTGCAATGGCTGCCTGCCAACGGATTTCACGAGCGTAGTTGATGACGACCTATCATCCACATCATGATGACTTACCAATAAGTTAGACACATACCGTAGTGACAACGGACATATACTGCAATTAGTTTCGAGACCCATCACCGGTGGCTATTCTGGTAGCTGCAATATCTATCTGTTACTATAATAAGTTACTATGACTAGGTACATTGCCATGCCATTAGATATGGATGGATTCTACTACCCACAAGGATTAGCACCACACCCACCGCATCGGGCCGTCCCATTTAGACTGTGCTCCTTCGGACTTCCCGAACAAACTGTCGTCTCCAGGACCCTGTTTCGGTGCAATCCCTTGCTGGTCGCCGACTCGCAACCATGCTCAATCGCTTTAGCTCGCCCAGAGCTAAGCGAGGATGTCGGGAAACCCCGAAAACCAAACAACTAATCCCACAATCTCGTGATTCAAGAGAGATCTCAAAAGAAAGGGCAAGAAAGAGTTCAATCAATGGTGGAAAGACCAACCAGAACCTAGGTATCAAGAAGTATACTCACATACAGTAACTGAAAGAGACCTTATATCTTTTAAGAGGAGTACTTTACACAGACTTCTAGCGGCCAGATCTGGACATAGCGACTTTGCCAGATACCACGAACGCTTTGGGCATACAGACTCGAATGATCACTGCAGCTGTGGTGAGAAAAAAACACCACAACATATTTTCTTTTGTAAAAGGCTGGGGAAAAATCGGCTGCTGTCCAGGTATTTGCCTAGGGCAGCTTGTTTATAATACTTAGGGGAGAGGAGCACAAAATGGGCAAAATTCGTGGAGGAGAGCAAAATTCTTTTCATCAATCTGCCCTTGATAGATAGCTGTTCTTGAAGGACCAGATGGATGACCCAAGGTCATACCGCCGCAACAACGGGGATGGGCTCGTGAGCGGGACTGACTGTACTTATTATCTTGATACCTCCACAACCCTGCGATGCAGAGGCTCTGGGAGGCGTGGATTGCACTACTGAGGAGCAATCCCCCACGTTAAATACAAAACAAACAAACACAAACAACTAAATGAGCACTGAATACTAGTCAACTCAATCCACCAGCGAGGCTCTGCTTGAATTGCAAATGTTCATTTAAAGCCCTGCTTGATTTGGTTGATTGCTGTGTGGTTGTGTTTTGGTTTCTTCAACTTGAATTGTGCGCTCCGCAGTTATTGAGACGGGCAAATCACCAGAAGCCAGAACAGTGACAAGAGTCAAAATACAAACTTTTTCAAAATAAGCGCGAGACGTCTCATTTCTATGGGCAATCAAAGGCCTTCTCGGAAACCGATAGCAGTCCTGTGGCTTGTCTACTATTAGCACCGATCGATGCGAACTGGGCGGCCCTGCCAGTTCAATATCACGGGATGTCACCCTGCCAAAACGACCTTGAGGCCCTGCTTACTGTTGGATTCTGGGCTATGTTAGCCCATCCATAGTCATCCTTCAGGATCACCATCCCCATTTGTGACTCTGTCACATACGTGGCCAATATAAGGCCACATATCCTTTCCTTTAGTATCTTGGATATATATAGGGCTACTCTGGCCGCTCCAGAGTAGCTGGAATTCCTCTCCTTAATAGAACACTTTGAAATCTCACACTTACTGGAAACGTATGCCTGATGGAGAATTCATCATGACCGTTGCCGAAGATGGGATCAGCGTGGAACGGGGTGCAGCTGTACTGCGTAGTAACGACAGATCAAGCATGATCTCCAGGTTCCGTGTCGTTTAAGTGTTTCGCGATCTGGATACAGGACTACATGTAGTAACAGCTGATCGGACCGTACTTCTCATGATGAGCCCGGGTTACCAGCCCGTAGTAACTTACTCGATATAAATTTGGTGAATCCTTCTAGGGTATATAGTCACCAGAGTATTCACGGTCATCCTAAACACTAGTAGCAGACCTGCGAGCGTATCTATATCAATAATGACTGAGAGGCGCCGTGGTGGAAGTCTACGCCTATACACCTACAAAGTAATAAACTTTTAAAAAACATAGTGTTATCGACTTCACGAAAAGTCTACGACTAGAATCCACAGTAAGTGTACACCCTAAGTTATCCCAGTCCCAACCCTGAGAGATTCCAGTGCCATTCCTTCACTGTTAACTAACCATGTTCCTTAGCCAAAAGAAAAACTCCATCTCCAAGAGATAAGAAGGCGCGAACCAAGAGTTTACCCCCTGACCATCAGATTCTAGCAGCATGAGCCGCGGTGACGAGAAGCCTCGGTGGGTGTATACGCTATAGGGCATGTTAGGAGCAGGTTCTGTCACATACGACCATAGGATCAGGAGAACTTGGCATCCCGTCCGCTCTGCCTTAATAAGCCTGATACCGCCGGATTAGTAGTTGGGTCGGTGACGACCAGCGAATCCCCGGTGTTGTATGTTTTTGTTTTTGTTTTTTGTGGGCTAGGTCCTCTGGTTCTGGGGGCACGAGGGCCTCTGGTGGAGTTATATTACCCGGTCATCCCAATCCTTAAATAATCGGGTTATACTATGCGCAGGGCTAGAATAGGTAAATGGTTGTTATTTACAGTCTGTAAGTTTAAATCATAACTTAAATGTGCCGGGCGCCGAAGACAGAAGATAGGTAATACTTATAGGGGCACGGGGGGAGGGGGAGGTTGTTTACGCGTGCACATAAAACCCCGACCATCAGGCGTCCTACTTTGAGCTGCTAACGTCAATTCCAGTATTTATGCGTGCGCATCTAAACCCGGCTCAAGCGAGTCGGTCATGGACTCGCACTTCATAACGGACATTGTATGTAGATCGGAACGGACCAGTCCTAGTAAGTGCCCTTCCCCCTTTTCCCGAGCTTGCAGCTTCCCAGTCTTGGTGTTTTCTGCAAAAAAGAGCATGGACGGGGATGTTCCGTAAGTTATGAAAATCCGAATCAAGGTCTGAGGCTGAAACTGAGAAACTGGTAGTATAGGAGTTGCACAATTCCTCCTCTTAGACTTACCGGTCTTCCATCTAGTCTGATCCAAGAAAGCGGGATTTTCTCTGCGAAACTGTCGCCGACACCGGTGACGTTACGGCGACCCCCGTCAGCGACGGCTCCGATCCGGATCACTTGGGAAAGGAGGCAGTGGCACGCTCTGGAACTGGGAATCAACCTTTCTGGGATCACACACTGGCAATGAGGGTCAATTGGAGGTACATCCAGCGAGGGCTGCTTTCGCCAGGATGGTTGGAGGTTGACGTGAGGACAGCTTTCACACCTCTTAAGCTGTACAGAAGTAATGAAGCAACATACATTGCTCTACACCTAGTGCTTTGGACGCGTGCATCATCGTCTCACGGCAAGTATTGCCCAGACTCGTATGGTATAAATAACCACGAAGGACAGCTGCGCAGTGAGAATAACCAAAGCGATGTCAAGCACATACATTATATCGGACCCGCTGAAACGCAAACGCCTAAAGCCTTTCAACGGGTACATGACATATGCCCGACTCGTACAGACGCCTAAACTCCACACACCGTATCTTTCCCATACTAACAATGATTCCCTTCATTGATTCGTTCCGGGTGTCGTAAAACCATACTCAGACAGATTCGGTCTTCCGCTCCTCTTCGTGGCTCGGCAGCTGCGGGTATCCCTGTGACGCGGAGGTGTAGATAAGACCCCTCATAGAGACGTCCCGGGTCTAGACATTTTCCCTAAAGATCGATCTCCGCTCCGACGTCGAAGTCGGACTATCGCCCACCACCGCACCTCCACCGCCTCCCGTGTGTCGCCCCACGCCCGTATCGATCGGCCGCGGGCTCACGCCCCTTAGGCTAATATTACTCGGCTCCGCCGAATCGTCATCGAAGGGATTTCGGCTGCCCCCTCTCCCGCCCGCCGCACCGGGCACACCCAGACCCCCACCCACGCCCGGACTCCGGCTCATGGTGCGGCCGCGCTCCTCCTCGCGTGGCACATTCATCTCATAACCACTACCCGAGTACGCCTCGTGAGCATCGTGACCTTGGTTTTGGTCATGTCCGTATCCCTGGCTACGCGGGTGTAGTCCCAGCTCCTGCTCCTCGTAGTACCCGCCGGGCCCGTAGGTGTCGGCCTCGTTTCCGACGCGAGTGTCCCAGGCCTCGTCGGGATCCAATGCACCGAATCCGCGCCGGCCGCCACGCACATTGGATGACGATGGCGCTTCGTATGCGCCCGCTGCGGAGCGTCCGCCGCCACCGCTGCTTCGCAGGCTGCGCAGCTTGTCGCTGAACCAGCTGCCGATACCGCCGCTTGCTGGCTGAGGCGGTCCGTAGGGTGAGGGCCCGGAGCGCGCGAAGGGGTTATAGGATGAGAGGGGTGGTGCGGGAAGCTGTGGCGGGCGGTGTTAGCTGATGTGGTTGGCAATATGACATGGACGAAATGAAGTCACGGCATGTGATGGTTCTCTGTGGTGAGCGGTGTAGGGCAGGTAACGCGGTACGGACACGACCGCGCAAGTGAGACAGCATCATGCAAGACGCACGACTACGTCGGACGAGGGAACAGAAGAGGCAGAGGAGTGAACTTACGCCTAACCGTCGCGCGCGCAGCTGTGTGAAGGTGACCCAGCCCACGGCGGCGGCGATAAGCAGCACGACCAGCACGATGAAGAAGGTGCCAACAGCGTTGACCATCTTCGGGGCGTGTGGTGGTCGCTCGACCAGTCAATCGCTTCGTATCGTATTGTAGGTACCGGGTGGTTACGTGCAGCGGCTATGCTCGACAGCAGCGATAGCAAGGCGATGCAGTTCGGAGTGATGGGGGTGACATCAACCTCAATTGGACGACGAGATGTGGTGTTGTTGTCCCGTTGCCTCCGTCAGCTTGTCTCACATGTGTGCAGTTTAAAGTTGGAAGTTGCGGCTGATGGTTATGACAGCACACTGGCAGACTGGGCTAGCAGCTCTACCTTGGTACAGCACGGGCAGGGATCTGCTCTGCACGGGCCTTGGAAGCTTGCGCGGATCTCTGATCTGCTGCTGCGGCCTGCCCCACCTTCTATCTTGATCTGGACCCCAGATGATCTGTGCGCACAATTAAACAGTTGGTGGAGAGCCGTGCCGCAGGGAAGCAGCTCCTCCTCCAAGCCTCTCCAATGTCTCACTCCAAGAAAATAACCACCCCCAACTAGTTATTTCAACCCCCAGCCTCGCTGCGTGTCTCACTTATATATGGCAAGTCGGACAGAATATGCCTTGTGACGAGGAATTGCCCCGCAGCGAGGCATGTGAACGGTACTGGAAACGGCGAGGCCGCTGGACCGTCCTACTCGATGACTATCCCGGCTGTTTCACTGCCTCTGCCTCTGATGATTCGATAGGGCAGCTGGCTTACTGGCAGATTTCGCTTTCTCCTTCGCGCTAGTAAAACGAACGCAGGAAGGAATTGGTCGTGCTTGAAAGCCGATCTCATTGCTGACGATCATTTCTAATCCAACCCTGGGCTTGAGGACCATCACTCGAAGCACGAATCCCAGTGCCCACCATCCCTAGCAAAGGTCAGGCTGTCCACAAACTTGCTCAGCGTGCAGCGGCCCAGCTCATCAGCGTCACAGTTCAGAAGTGGTATTACCCTGTCATTGACCAGTACGCGCACCAGCTCCTCGTCGCTGCCGCCGCACGACAGCTTCTCCACGTACATCCTCGCCGCAAAAGGGACAGCCCAGCTTGCGCTATACCCCTTGGTCTTCCTGGGACCCTCCCTCGTCGTCTGCGGCAGGGGGTGGGTCGCATTGTAGAGCCCCAGGGCTGCGAATATGCTAGTCATGACGTTGTCGTGACTAAAGTCCGCGTACAGCACATTTCCAAGTGGGAAGGTCGAATCAGAGCTGTCGAGCGTCGTGTTGGTGCTCGTATTATCCGTGACCGGGCTACTTGTGAGTCTGGCGATCAGCTCGTTGACATAGCCCACCCCTTGCGTCGGCCCCAGGGGATGTCCACTCCCGTGGCCGTACCACTTGCCCAGGGACTGGAAGTAGTCGTAGCTGTGCCATTCGTCGAGCGTGAACAGACCGCAGAAGGGAGAGATGTGGCCCTTATCGTCGGCGACTGTGTCGAATGGGCACATGTCCATCAGGGAGATGATGTCCTGGTCTGTCAAGTTGGCTCCGGGCAGGTTGTCGTTGAACCTCTCGATAATCGCCGGTGCAAAGATGGCCGACCAAACCTCTTGCGCCTTGCTGCCCAGGTCCACACTCTCATCAAAAGCGGTGCAGGTATCTGGGTTCAGCGTGTTGTTAAGCCCGACTCCTTCGGGGATAATCAGCACATCGTATGGATACGCGTCCGGTGTATCTGAGTGGTTGTGCGCAAGCCGGGCCTGGTGAAAGCCCTGCGTCCAGTTCAGCGCCGAGTGAAGAACACGATCCTGGTCCGTCGTGCGCACGAAAGGGGAGACTGTCATTGCAAGCTTCTCGTACCGCTTGTAGAACTTGACGCCCGAGTTGACCAGCTCCTGCTGGCCAAAGACTGTCAGCGTATCCACACCAAGCGTGTAGTTGTAGTCCCTGATGAACTCGAACTGCTTCCCGTACTCGGTCACGCCGTCGTGGATCTGCTCAATGACGGCGCTGTAAGCGTCATATTTGCTTGCAGTGGGATAGCGGGCCCCATGGCGCGACAGTATCTGCGCAAAGGAGACCTTACACTCTGCTGGCGTCGAAGCTGAGATGTTCGACGGGACTGAGTAGAAGGGGGAGTATTGGCCCCATGAGTAAGAGATGTCGGGTTCGCACTGGAACCCTTCCCTCGCCGAATCGCACGATTGTGCGGCAGCTGTTCGCCTGCACTCACGGTTAGCATATGGTAGATTTGTGAAGTATTCCAAGTCTTACATGAAACTGACGACGAAAAACGCGATGGCGGTCATGAGCATGGCCGCCATGGTGACCTTCACTGCTGCTTTGTGCCGGTCGGCCCACACCTTGGCGCGCTGTCGCAGGTCGTCCTGGGTGATGGTTTCGGGCAGTGCAGTGTAAGTGTACTGCTTGCCGGTCACGAAGGCAGTCAATCGATTCCAGATGTCGGAAAATGAGGCCATCGCAGAGATGGGAGGTCCCCGTTGGTCCATGACCAACGAGTACGATTCGGTTTCTCGCTTCATTGTCGGAAAGGGGATGCTTGGAACCCGCAATTGGGAAGAGAACAGAGATTACCTAGACGCGGCAGTTCTTGGTCCACATATGGGGCCCCGGGATCATGGATGCATGGCATGCAGGCTTTCGGCAGCTGCCGATTGATGGTCCGGTCGTTGGAGGCCCGGCCGTTCAGCCGTTGCAGTTCCACGGATGCTGCTGGAATGAATGCGCGGAATTACTTACCTAGTAATCACAATGAGGAAGGAAGTAATGATTATCGTGTTGCTAGTTGGAATCGCAATATGTTCTCACAATGAACTTATGTGGCTGTCCCTATTATGTTGAACTTTGCGTACAGCACGAGAGCTCTGCTTTTTGTTGCATTTGAGGGCCTTTGGGTTTGGCTCTTCCCTTACGGTCGAAGAACTTGATAATGGAATGAATCGAAAAGGTTCACGATGGAGTCAATCGTCGCGCGAATCTAGAGGGCAGGAAAGCGAAAAGGGAAGTAAATGCAATTACTAGCGAGGGCTTGTTACATAACAAACCAATAGCAGCATGTCATGTCTTAGACTTAGCACGTTGCACACAATCAGGAGCAAGTTTTTCAATACGGATATATGCTATTAGAAGTATCAAAGCTCTGAACCTATTGATGGACGTTTCCAAAGCCCTCCGTGCTCAAAGCATATAATGCAATGCTACCGCAAAATGTCCACCTATATCCCAATCATGCCAAGTCACCACTGTTCACCCGCTGGCGTGGATATATACACGGTATCTCAGCACCAATGGTATCAAAAATGGCTATATTACAGAACGCATTAGAAGGCAACGCCAACACTGTTTCGTTGCGGGAGTATAACCGGCTCCCGAAGCCCGAACGCAACCCCTAGGGCCGGCTCAGCCATTGCCTTCGGGGTTGCAGTGCTGCTGGGTGATAAACTAGTGGGTAGGGTCTGCTGCTCTTCGACACTCCAGTCCGAAACGGTGCTGTCGCTATCGAAGCTGCGCCGTCGGTTCAGTGCTGGGTTGGCGATTTGGTAATATCCCTCCGCATCGGTAACTGGCTTCGGGGCGTTGGTGAGGGAGTCTAGGCTAATCTCCCTGTGGTGCTCCCCGCTGGGGAACAGCCAAGTTGAGACTCGTGAAAAGGACTTCTTCTTGCGTAGAGGTGGACGCAATCGAAGTGGCAATGGTGGAGGTGGAATATGCCCTTCGACCCTCCGTGATGAATTTGCTCGATACGGTACGCGAACAGGCGCTTTGGATGGTGCAGTCCGAGGACGGTCGGAGCTCAGGCGCTCGCTGAACGACGGCGCGTCAGGAGGCAAAGCAGGTATAACTGGCATGGGCTCCATTTCTGCCGATTGTCAGCATCGAACGCACCGGCAACAACCTTTGACAATACACACCTGACGCTCCATGAGCAGTAGACGGCCTGCTGCTGATGTAAATACTCTGCCTCTCGACGACATCGTCGATCTGCTCCTGGAGCCTGTCTCTCTCCAACAAAGCGTTGGCAACCTTCTCCACCAGGTCCTCCACGAGAGGAGGCGGGGGCGATGGCGACGTGTAGGCTCTCACTCTTGCGGGTTGAGGTCGCCGCAGCGTGCTAGTATCTGATCGAGGCGAGTCAAATACGGATCCACCGTTGACTGGCCGCCGGGGAATATGGAAGGACATTGACGAGTAGCTGCGTTCGTGTGACATGCTGCGGCTGTTGTCACTGCGGCTTGAGATAGTGTAAGCCCGTTGTGGAGGCGTCACAGGTGGACTTGGGTAGTCGAAGTGAGGCAGGATTGGCGACAGTTGTTCGTCGGGAATGTATATGCTCAGCTCAAGAGGGTGGAAGGAGCGCGGTCGTGGTCTCAACTGCGACAGACCGTCGTCTGGGAAGCGAAAGGAGTCTGAGTAGAGATGACGGAAGTTCGATGGGGCTGATATTTGCGGCCTGCGCGGCGATGACGAGGGTTTTGATGGCAGGAGCCGCCTTCTCGCAGAGAAGCCACTCCATCCCGACCCCGACCCTCGCCTCTTCCTTGGAGCCCGCTCCCACTCAGGTGCCGCCCCCATAGTCAGCCTCATTGGTGCTACCATAGGCTGAGGGCCAGGCGTTGGCTCATCGCGGATGACAACGAACGGCTCTTGGGTATCTGTCTCGATCAGTAGATGCATATCAGCATGGTTGGACCGTCCAAGGAGAGCTTACCATGGTGATGAGACTTCTCATCAAAGTAGGAAGTCACTGGGATGCAGCACTGAGAGATGCATTCGGACCATGAACTCAACATCCCACTAAGTGCTTTCATGGTGTTGACCTCATGTCGAGCCGGCTGGGAAGGGCAGACGGCCAGCGGTTGGGAGAGACAGGAAAGCGGGTGGAAGCAGACATGGTCGGGGGGGCATACATATTGCCTTTATGGAAGAGACGCGAGAGACGTGAGAAATTACCTTTTGCACTTACCATTAGGCTCGAAGCAGCTGAGCGTGCGCTGGGCCTCGGGGTACTTGGGCCTCACATCGGGATGGGAAGCGTAGATGGTTTGGATGCAGACATGGGCGGCGCTGATAGGCTGGCGGACAGAGGCCGAGGGCTACTCGTGGCCAGTCGGCGCTTACGGACCGGGGTCACGATGGGGTGTCGACGGCCGTCCTGGGGATTCGGCTGGCTGGCGGCACACACCAGATTGCAGGACCCCACCATCCGTAAGATGATTGTTGCTGTACAGCCAGTCTTTTGTCTTAGAATTCCTTGCTTCGTGTTTCCTCCGGCAGCACTTAGCTGCCCTCCTTCACGGTGTTTTGCAGTCACCTTGCCACAAGCTGCTGAGACGTGTGTCTCGTGGGCCTCAGAGATTGGCCGCCGCGGGTAGCAGCCAAGGCCTTCCGTTGTGAACCGCGCAGCAGCAGTAGGTAGTCTCTCGTCATCCCCGAAGGAATAAGCTCGAGTGGATGGGCGTGCGCACTCGCGAATGTCACCCATGGAAGGCGAAATCAGAGCTTCGTCCGGCGGGAATGGTACCGATTCTGCAACAACGAGCATGCGCATGCTGGATGTTTCCACCTGGTGACATGTTTGCCCGGCCGCTGTCTCCATCTGGAGGGACCAGAGGTACAGACAAGATGGCCATAGGGTTGTTCAGACGGATATCCGCACTTAAGAGTTGTCCGTGAAGCACAACAGGTCCTGTCAAGCGTAAGGGCCAGGACGTGCCCAGGCTGGCGCAAAGTTACCAAAGTTCCGAGCGTTGTTTGTTTGTTGTCATCATTGGTGTCTCCGTCGCTTACTATTAATACACGGCCGTCGCGTCGAAGCAATTCTGCGTACGGGCACTGACTGGTGTCAAAATATGCCTAGCGAAACACGAGAAACGGGCAAGCAATCTGAGACATGGCGATCGTCCGGATGGCGAAGCAGTCAACGAGGACGTCATCAGAATTTCGTTGGAGTATTGTTCAATGCGGCCTTCTGTAAAGGGAGATGGATCGAATTCTCAGATATCCCCTCACCGGCGACACGGCGCTTCATTGTTAAAGAGTCAGATGAGATGGATCAGGGTCCACCCAAGTTCTTAATTCTACAACGTGGCCCGAGCACCTTCAAGCTACCGTAGATACTAGGTAAACTCAGTCTGAGTTCCCTACTTAGCGCTTTGCATGCTAGGGCATTTTAAGCTTAAAGGCAGCTTAAATAACGCAAATATCAACTTGCTTATTAGTTTTACGCTGATTTAATTTTCAAATAATCCTTTCAATTTAACGCAAAAAATATTATTAATTTAGAGTTATTATTACACCGGCATTTAATATAAGCGTAATATAATGAAAATTATAAACGTTATTAAGTAAACTGTATCTTAAATTTTAGCTTATTATTTCTATTTATAAAAAACGAAAATTTAACGTTTTAAATACTGTTAATCTTTTTAAGATACTATTAACAAGAGATAAAGTCGCGTTATTATCTTTAAAAAAAAAGCGTAAAATAACTCTTTCTTAGAGAAAAAGGGCTTTTTTATAACTAATTCGTACTTATTTACTTAAGTGAGTTATTAACGGTTTTATTTAATTATACCAATATAAAATCTATACTTTAACGAAAAAAATAACCTTAATAAAATACTTAAACCTCAAAAAACTCTTAGTTTACTATTTATTTAAATAATGATTAATCTTTTATACCGATTTTGAATATATAAAAGGGTTAAAAAACTTTTTAGAGTATTTAATCGTATTATTTAAAATTAAGCATTTGGTTAATATTTACTTTTAGTTAAAATAATATATATAGCTAGTAATAAAGGGCTTAATTTCAAAAAAAAAAAAATTTATTACCCGCTTTATAAAACGTCAATAAGCTAATAGACTAGCTACGATTAACTAGTTTCGAATATAAACTTGTGAAGTTTAAAAGAAGCGGTTTTTTCAAACTCAAACTTAAATTTATAAATAAATAATAAGCAGCTTTTCCAAAAATTAAAATATTCCTTTTCGCCACGTTATTTATTAATCGATTAAACTATTTAAATTATACCTAAAGTTCGTAAATTTTTCACTCTGATATATTAAACGGCACTTGTAATTATATTTACTATTACGATGCCTGCGGCAGTGTGTTGCACTCTGGGATTGATTACGAAAATAATAAGGTGGGAGAAAAGGAACAGGTGTACGTACAGCCGAGGCTGCAGCACATATGGTCCTGGTCTCCTTATCTAATCTACATATGACCTGGTGGGTCACCTGACCAGGGACCAGGTGGGTGGACCGTCACACTTACGAAAAAAAAGCTCAAATTTTTTTCTTTTTTCGATTTTTACTAGTATATATTATATTTTTTCTCCGCACCGGTTTTTAGTTTAAAAGATTATTAACTCTGATAGAACCTTTGTTTTATTTAAATAGTTAAACGGTTATATATACGAGATTTTAAAAACGTATATAGTATTAAAATACTCTAACCGAAATAAATAAAGTAAGCGTTAAGCTATTTTGATATTAAAATTTTACGTATATAATGATTTAAAAATTAAGCTTAAACTTATTTTCAAAAGCGAGTTAAACACGTTATTATAATATATGAAAACTTCTTTATATTATAAAGGTGTGACGAGCCGTCTGACCTATAAGGCTAAAGGGTTCTATAGGGTTTATGTTCTGAGGTAAGTCAACACAAAGGACGATAGAGGCTTCTGTCAACTAGAAGACACTCAGATGCTGGAGCTTGGTTTGATCCAGGGGATCACTGAATAGTCGAGTCGTCAGGAGATTTCTCCCATCTTAGGGTTGGCTAAGATGCCTAGATTGATCACTAAGGCAGAGACTGTCTATCTGTCTAGCTAGGAAACATCCATCCTTATATATCCAATCTCTCCCTCACTGATTAGGTGGCTCACCCTGGATCACCGGTGATCCAAGGTGATCCTGCTCACTGGCTTACCATGGTGATCCAGTGATCCAAATTCTTAGTCACGTGACCCAGGTCCTGCTAGTCACGTGATCTGTGTACCGTTGCTCTGTTGCTCCGATCTCTCCACTGATCAGCACCCCACTTACTGGTCAACCTGTTTCTAATCGTCCCCTCTTGGCCTGCTATCAGGCCGCACTGTTCGTTGGTTCGTAACACAATATAATAAATATAGAAGGTTTTTTTGTCTAATAATAAAAAGGGTTTAATTAAACTTCTTATACGCATTTAAAAAAGTTTACAACTAAAGACAAGTAAATTTAAGCTTTTAACCATTAAAAGACTACTTTATGATCTTAAATTTATTTTAAAATATACACCAATATATAGCGGGCTATTATAAGTTAAAATACAGTTGTTCTTAATTAATTAAAGGTAATTAAGGATAAAAAGTAGTTTAAGTTGTTATATGCTGCTTTTAACCCGTTCGGAACTCTTTTCAATAAGGTACTTTTTATACTTTTTTACAGCGGTATTTAAAATTACCGTTATCAATCTAGTAGTTTTTTATACGACTAAACATAATAATTACACCTAGTCTTTTATATTTATATATAATTTAACCTTTTGAAAAAATTTGTGAAATATTTTCGTTTTATAAGTTTTTTATATATATTTTCTTGTTTATAGTTATTATCTTACCAATAAATAAATAATCGATCTTTTTAAGATTATAAAATAATACGTGTAAATTAAAAGGTCTTTTAATTTGGGCCTTTTCTGCTTTATTTAAGTTATTAATTGACTTTTATATATAAGCAAAAAATAGGTTTATCGTTAAAAAAAATAAAAAGTTGCTTAAAGCCTGTTTTTATATATAAAGCGTTATATAGCTTTTAATTTTCTTTTTCTAAACTTTATAGCAGCAGTCTTTAATTGAACCGTTTTTAATAAGTTATGGATAGAATTAAAAGTATCAAAAACAATACGTAATAAGACGTTAACAAAGTCTTTTCGTTTACTTTTAATATGTACGACCTTAATATTTAAAAGCCGTAATTCGTTTACTTACCTAAGGTAAGTATTTTTAACGATGAATAATAATAATAGAAAGGTGAAAGGTTCATAATTAATATATATAATCGATAAGTTGTTCGTTTTAAAATCACCTTTATACTTACGCGTAAAAAACCCCAAAAAAAACTTTTTCATACGTTTTATAATTACGTTCGGTTTTAAGAAAAAGCTATTATATTTAATACGCCTCAATATTTAGGCGTAAACTTTTATAATAGTAAAGCCGACGTTAAAGCTTATCATATTATTATATATTTTACACGAAATGTTTTATAAGTGATTGTATGTTTTAATAACAGTATATGCTTCTTTTTTTATAAAAACGTTTTAACGTCGCTTTATCATTATGACACGTTATTTTGAAGCTTTCTATAAAGTTTAAAATCTTTAGATAGTTTTTCATTCAATAAAGTATCAACTTAACGGCTTTAATAAACTAGTAAAGTTGTTTTAACTTTTTATTGCTAGTTAATATTTTAGCTTCTTGATTTTATTTAACTTACTGTCACGGCGAGCGTACTGAGGAGCTAGGACATGGCCGGCAGCAAGCAGTTATTACTCTATTGACGAGAATATCAAGACTAGAGAGGAAAGGAAGAGAGAGAGAGATAGGTACAGCGGGAGGTTGCCCCTTTAAGAGGATCCTCTGTTCAGATCCTTCCCTTATTGAGAAGTATCAGCTTGTCATGTGGGAAGGTCCGTGCAGGCCGTCACACTTACTAAATATTCGGCTACGTATTCTATGTATTATATTTAAAGCTATAGTGTTTTAAAACTAAATCATACACTTAATAAAGGAAAGTTTTAACCAGGTTTATATTATTCAAAGTAAAAAGTCGTACTTAATAAACGCGAATTATTTTTAAATGGTTTTATAAGTGTAAACAAGATTATTGAAAAGGTCTTTTAAGTTTAATGAGCTGCGAATAACCGTAAAAAAAATATAAGGCTTTAATTAAACCTTAAAAACAGAGGTTAATATTGTATTTGTGGAAACAGGCTTGAACGATCAATCGTAATACTCGAGTATGAGGTCAAGGTCATGATGTTGCTGATGGTTGGATTGGGAAGTCAAGCTGGACCTGCAGGTCTGGTTAAATGACCTCACAATCCGGTATCTAATCTCTTATTTAATCATACGTGTGGGTACTGTATGGATGGTTTGACTGTGGAATCACATGGATCCAACAGTCTTTATTATTTTTATTATAAAAGTAGCGACGGACATAGTTTTTTACGGTAGTTTTATTAGCTATGATTAGAAGAATTTAAGGATTTTAAAAGCGAAAATATATTACGAGTTTAAATATACTTTTATAGCTTAGTAGCCGTATTTAATGCTAAATTTTGAATAAAAATCTACTCGGGGTTTTTTAAGCCTTTAATATATATTAGTAAGTAAAAAAAGAAATATTACCGGTATGTTTTTTTCAACGATATTATAATTAATTATTAATTTTAATTCGACTTATAATTCAAAGATTCTAAAGCTCGTTTTTATATAACGAATATTAATATTGCGGTTTAATTAAAAACTTTTTATTTATAACCGTAGTTTATTCATATAGACTAGTATTAAAACATTATTAATAATACTTTGAATTGATAATATTACCAAAAAATTTGACCCTTTTTTAATCATCGGTTTCAAGGCTCAAGTTTTTTTTAATCGTACCTTATAAATAAATTAAGTTATTAACAGTTTCATATCTTTTATTATTTCTACGCTATAGTTTTAATACGTATATTTTACTCTTGAAAAAAAATTCAAACAATAAAAAGTTAACTGTTTAAGTTTATATTTATTTCATAAATCTGTAGCGTTGTAATTCTTAGTTTCATATTTTATAATAATAAAAAGTCATTTTACTTTTTTATCGTTAAGAAGTAATTTAAATAATTTAAAAATAAGTTTCTTTTACGGGCGAGTTACACTTTACTTTTTCTTAAGAATAAAATATTAGAAATTAAACTCTTCAAATATTCGTGTAATAGTTTAACCGCTTTTTTATATGGATTTATAATCATTAATTGTGATAAATAAGTTAAAATTTGCAGAAAAATCGGATATAAAAATTTAACAAGTCTTTTAATACGTCTTCTATACGAATATATTATTAATGAAAATAGTTTAGTTTTCGCGGCTTTATTAATAATCTATCTAAGACTGAACTTTATTGAAACAAGTAAACTAGTTTTCTAAATCATAATTCAATAAGCTGTTTTTATTAAATAAGTAATAGTCGCAAATTTTCAATTTTCTTTATCAGGATTATCGCTATTAACGTCGTTAAGGTTTTTATATCGTACGACTTTCAGTAGCTTTTTTTTAACGTCTTTTTTTTTTTTTTTAAATAAAAAAGTAAAAAAGGGTTATAATAGTTATGCGTTTTTAAAAGCTAAGTTATCATTTATTATAATGCTTTAATATATATTAAAAACATCTATAACGGTTTAAAGCTAGGTTAATTTAAAAAAGAGCTAGGTTTTCTTATTATTTCTTTTAAAAGTGCCGATTATTTAATAATATTTCTAAATATTTTCGACGTTAACGTTAAAACCGGTGAAATAAATGACTAAGTTTTATCTTATTTACGTTTATAAGTTTAATGATTATAATATTAATAGCTTTAAAAAGTGTGGTTTTTATATTTTAACGCTTAATAAAGTAAAGGTAAATAAAGTTTAATTTAGCACCTTAGTTTTCCTAAGCGGTTCTTTTTCATATAATAATACCAATTTACTTTTTTTTAATATATAATAATTAATTAAAATTTAAATGTCTTAACCTGATAAAAAATAATTTAGGTTTGACGTTTATATCCGTAAAAATAAAAGCTTTTAAATTTGTTATTATTATTAACTTAAATGAAATAACAGAGTTTTTTAAAAAGAGAAGCTTTTTTATTTTTTATTCTCTATTTTTTATCTTCACGTATCCTTGTTTAGTTTTTCTATTATATTTTTAAACCGAGTTTTTAAATATCGGAAGTTTTTAAGGAAGTTAAAGCTGGCTTGCAAGTACTGAATAAGGCTTAAAGTAATTTCAATACAATTTATTATATTTACATAGTTAACGAAGCCTTTACCTTAACGTACTTTAATATTATCTAATAACGTCAGACGTTAGTTAAGGCTTTAATTCTTTTTAAAAGCAACTAGGCTTCTAAAATTCCTTATTAATAAGCTTTTTGGTAAAGATAGTCCAGCCTTTTGCTTTATATTTCTTTTTAATTTATTTAGTTTTTACGTTAAAAAATATATCTTAACAATAAGTACTTAATTATTAAGGGTTATTTAAAGTTTTTATCGTTTATCTTTTTAATCTTATTATTTCTTATAAAGCTAATATCTACTATTCTAACGTTATATTTATAAGACGAGCCGTATTTAAATCCCAATATATTATTAAAAGCGCTGGCTTTTATTAAATTGCGTTGAAAAATAACTCTTATTTGACTGCTTTGTTTCCGCCTTTATTTTTAAAAAGATATATGGAATAAATTAAGGCTTACTTAGCTTTTAGTTATTATCTTTTCTCCTTTTGATATTCAAACATAATTTATTTCAATAAGCGTTATATTTGAGCTTTTAAATATCTTTACTTTTATTATAATAGCCACGCGTTTTTTTTAAACATTATAACTAGATTACCTATATCTTATTAATTTATAACGATAGTAATATCTTTCCTTTTAAATAATTAGCTTTAAGCTGTGAATCATAATGTGTAAAGAGTTAAAGGCGTTAAAAATCGGTTTGAATTTTAAACATTAATATTTAAACGTTAACTTTATTAAAGTATTAAAATACTTAACAGTAAAATGTTTCATTTTATAATACTTATAATATGTAAAGCTAGAATTACGTAAGCTTTAATTATTTATAAAAGCGGTTTATTATTATCTAAAAGATGTTAATAAGTTTAAATAACTATTTAAAAATCGCTTTATTTTATAAAAGCTCTAATATTGAAGCGATAATAGGTTAACGTGGATGACAAGCGAGCGGCAATTACAAGCGAACGACAACTTTTCACCAACCTTCCAACTAACATGTCAAATAACTCGACCACAACGCATTTAATTCAATCTAATCAATTGGATTCTTCTTCTTCAGACGTTTCTATCTCTATTGTACAAGTTCGCGTATTATGGCCAGTGTTGCCGCAAACGCCACAATGTCGCTCACGCGCTGCCGCCCTCTTTGGACGATGACTACCTTCACTCATTTCCTGTCTTGCCAGCTCATTACCATCCTTTATAGCCTGGAGACCTACTGTATCTTTAATGGAAAGTACTTTTCTTTTTATTAGACGTTTGTTTTTTGTCCTCTAGCATTTACTTAGTAATTGATTGGCCTCCTCTAGCTCGCGGACCCAGGAATCAACCAAAGCAACCTTGTGTATAAGACTGTATGTAGCCTTTGAAAATAAGCTCAACGCATCAATTATTGATGTAGGTGAGCTTCCCTAGTGGTTTCTGACTCAATTTTGGATATAAACTGACTGGTTTACCGCTTCGTTGATGGTGGTAGCCGTCTTTGAAGTCCAAGTAGTGGGTGGAAGATTGGGGTCTGGCGACGATGTTCGTACGACAGTGACAGCATCCAGCTTTGAAATGACACTTTCTGGGTCGAAAGGAACAAAACCAGTAGCACTAAAACCTGCTCAAATGTTTCCTGGCGTCATAGCAGCGTTGTGTGCTTCACAAAACGCTGCAAGGAAGTCCTCCTTCAAAATGTGGGTTATATGATGCCGGATGAGATCCTCAATCATGCAACTTTACGCTCGTTTGAGCGGGCTAAAACAACTGACATCTAAAGGCTGGAGCCTGTGTGGCGAGTAGGCAGGCATACAAAAGGTAATAATGCTATTGTTCTAGCAATAATCCTCAAAGATCTAGGAATGATGGCTTTTGTGACCATCTAGGATAAGGAGGCGTTTACCGGCAGTCATACGCGGTCTGGTATACTTGTCGAAATGCCGAATTCATTCCAACCCAATCTCGTTCGTAGTCCACCCATTATCGGACACGGCCACCTTCTAATTGCGTGGTAATGTTGTGTTGTGATATCATGACGCGAGATGGGTTTTGCCCTGTAGAATGATGAACCGCGGGACCACACAACCATCAGTATTGACAGCAGAAATTGCTGTAAATCATTTTCTGTTGCCTTGCTGAGCTTGTCTAGGCCTACCACATCTTTCGGCGCTTGTAATGACTATACCAGACCCAATAATGCCCATCATAAACCCAGTTTCATCGAAGTTATAAATATCTGCGTCTTGGATATCATATTTCGCGATTGCCGCCGCAACTTGGCAAAATCACGCGCGATACGCGTCTGGATCTTTGTTTAAGACCCTCTGGTAGTCCATCCTCTGATAAAAACGCGTCTAGAGGCCTGGTGTGCGTTTAATAAAGTTCCGCGTCCAGTTCTTTCCAATCCCCACGCGCTGCCAACAATTGATTTGCCATATCTTCAACATAACTGTGCCGGGATGGAAATGCTCGCGCATCCAGGTCAAAAATGAAGGAAAGAATAGCATTCTCTTCAAAAATCGTAGGTTTCAAAGTATTAGGTATGCTATTGCGTCGTGATGGTCGGCCGGTGATTCTAGCCTTCAAAGTATTATATGGGACATGGAATGTCTTAGAAAGCTTGTCAATGGTAATATGAGGTTGCGTCGCTTAGCTTAGACAGCAAGCTGTAAGTCTGATTCGCTATAACGCAATGCCATTATTGTTAGTTAATCAATTAAGAGCCTTGATAGAAAGGTTAGGTGGCTGGTGAAAAGTTGCCGTTTGCTTGTAATTGCCGCTTGCCTGTCATCCATGTTATGCTTCTATAAGATAAGTTTATAAATAACGTTAAAAGTAAGTTTTTAAAAAATTGAATTTTTTTCATAACATTGTTAATAATAGTTATAAAACAAGTTAACAATACGTACTTAGTTATTAATATCTTTTTAATAAACTTTAAAGTCTGCAGTTTTATTAATAAAACCGGCTATAATATTACGTAAGTAAAAAAATGTTACTTACAATAGTTACGTTTTAATATTAACGTTAATACTTATTGAATATATGGATGTTGATTGATTCTATTGATTGTCTTTTTGTTTTGCGTGCAGAGATTGATCATCTGTCTTCTTGGTGGGTCAGATGCCCTGTGCGTCTCTGCCCAACTGGAGATCTTCCGGTGTCTATCTCCGGCTCCCATTCAACAGTATATGTAGCCACTGTACGTTAGCGTTGAGGCTGGCTAATATCCAGTGGCTGAAGCGGTGGCTGAAGCGCCAGAAGCACATGTGGAGACTGGCTTAGCTGATCTTCTAAAAATTCCCCAAGGCTGAGAATGACAGCTGTTCAATGATCTGTTCCACTCGGCATTTCGTCAGTGCCACCAAGGCCACTTATCACTTGGGAAATCTTCCAGTCCTGATACTTTCTTCTTTTTTGTGCTTCGCATTTCGTTTTCGACAGCCCACCTAACAGCACAACACAACTCGCGCGCACACGTACGACCAGTCATTATGCAGAGCCCTAATGGTCCCCCGCCCGGGGCCCCAGGAGGCCCAATGCCGACTCCCCAGCAGATCGCGCAGATGCAGCAGCAGCTGGCAGCCGAAGCCCAGAAGCATGGCATGACCGTGCAGGAGTTCGTCGAGAAGATCAAGGCCCAACGCATAGCACAGATGCAGACACAGCAACAGCAGCAAGGTGGCCCAGGGCAACCACAGCAAGGACAGCAAGGTGGCCCTCCTCAAGGCCCTCGCCCTGGTCCTCCTGCTGGACAACCTCAACCGATCCGGCCCGGCCCGCCCAACCCAGTCGCAATCGCTCTCGCCAACTTTCTAAGGGGCCAGTCCCTGAAGCCACGTACCGCCATCATCAACGGAGAGCGCAAGGACATGTTCCGAGGTACGTTCTCAGCGTCATGGTGCGATTACAAGTGAAGGGTCCCACTTACACGTTACTAGTCAAGCGAGCCCTCCGCGCCCTCGAGTCGCCTGCTTATGCGAAGGCACGATCAAAAAACCCCGCGCTGCCCGAGATCAAAGACCGCGCTTCCCTCGAGAACGCTTTCAAGCTACTGCCTATGTCGATGCTAGCTCTTCGCGTCAGCAAGGTCGACCCCCACGAAGGCCACGACCACGCACCGAAGAAGGGGAAGAGAGTCAAGGGTCTCTGGACGGTCAAGATCGAGCAGCAGCAGGAAGCCGGCGACGACATGCACTATGTCTGGCTATACGAGGGCAGTCAGTTCATGCGTAAGGTCTACGCTGGTCTCGCCCTTGTGGTGATTTTCCTGCTGGTCCTCTACCCTCTTTGGCCTCTGGTACTACGACAAGGTGTTTACTATCTCAGCTGGGGATTCCTGTGCCTGCTGGGTCTCTTCTTCCTTATGGCTATCTTCCGTGTCATCCTCTTCTGCATCACGTACTTCGTCGCTTCTCCCGGTTTATGGCTCTACCCCAACCTCTGGGAAGACGTCTCCTTTATGGACAGCTTCCGTCCTGTGTGGGCATGGCATGAGGTTTGTTCTACCCACAACGACTAGAGAGGCACTGGACTAACATGTCATTAGACTGCGAAACCAAAGAAGAAGGGCAAGTCCAAATCATCGATGAACGCCGAATCAGCTGCGCACTTCGCCGGTACCACAGGTCAAGGCCATTCGGGTCCTGCATCTGCTGTCACCACCGCGACCGATACCCAAATGCAGACGACGTCTCCGCAACAAAGACAAGGCTATACAGCCCCGAAAGTCGAGGAGCTGGCCGACGATGAATAAGGTTGGGAACATTGCAGGAAATGGCGTTTGCGGCGTTCATTTAGCATGATGCGAAAGGACTGTACAATAGGAACTAGGGCTGTATCATTGCACCACATAGTCCAGGAACCGGACGTATCTGTTAATACCACGTCCGATTGATTATTACTAGTATTATGCATTATGTTGCTCTGCGATAAGAGTTGCCTAGTTCTGCATTCACCAGAATCTCGACCAGAGCCCGGTCGTTCAAGCATGAGAGCCGGCCGTTCGCTCATAGTACCGGATAGCACCAGGCGTAGTCGCGCAACTCGTCACGCTCCCGCCCGTAACACTCGCATCAACCCGCAGTGCCTGGCCGCGCTGCACGGCGCCGTACACATGGTGATAATACCACATCTCCGACAGCACCGTGTAGCCCGTATCGTCACTTCCCGCCCCGGCCTCGGTAGCGTTATACCGCGGTCCCGAGCACCCGACGTACGGCAGGCTCCCATACCCGGACGACAGTGCCGTCTGGATGTCCTCCAGCGAGTAGTAACTCGTGTTTGACGGCCGGATCCCGCCCGCCGACAGCCAGCCCCATGTCGGCAGGTTCTGGAAGTAGGACGCGGCCGTGGTGAAGAAGTCGACGATCTCCTCGTGCTCGACGTATGTCGGGCCGTAGCACTCGATGTCGAAGGTGCTGTAGCAGGTCGCGTGCTTGGAGAACTCGTGCGCCCAGAGGATTTGGCTGTCTTGGGCTAGGCCGATCCAGAACCTGTGGGTTGGGTGGGTGGTTTGTTAAAGGGACGTGTCTAGGGATTGGGGTTGGGATGGGTATATATGATGGGTATGGGTATGTGGCTTGGGTAAGGGGAGACGTACTTTCGCATGTATGCGAGTAGATCGTATTTGCCGAAGGGTTCGATGAAATCCGATATTGGGACGCCGGTCCAGGGCTCTACGACTGTGCCGTTCGGCGTGCCGTCCGTCGTAGTTGGGTATGGGGCCGGGTCATACTGACGACTGGAGTCGTGGTCAGCTTATGAATGAGCTGCTTCGGATCGCTTTGCTGCCATGCCCTTACCTCAGATCACAGTACTGTGTGTATGAACCTGTCGGGATGGATCAGATCATCGATGCCCACTGCATGGCTGTTCTAGCAAAGACGGATAGGTGTTCACGTACTGTTACAGAAGTCTGAAGAAAGTTAGTATTAATGATCCTGCAGTTTGCTCATGATCCCAAAGGCTTACCCGGCCATAGTCCATGGATCGTCCACGAATCCTTCGGGAGCAATTGTCCCTCCGTCTCAAGCCCGGTATACGTGTTCCAGAACTGTGTCTGAAGCTTTTATGGACGTCGGTGGTCAGCAATTACGACTGCACTATACATATCCGTTTCGTGGATCAGTCGATGGTGTTCCTTACCACAAGGCCTCCGAAGGTCTCTACACAGCATGTGTCGACCAGACCAGGCTGAGCTTCTTCTGAACAGGAGAGCACCTGGGGCTCTATATTCGCGACTTAGAATTTGCAATTTTCAAACACAATTGGGGTTTATCAACATACGTAGGGCACACGTGTGGTTATCGGTGCTCAACCCGGGGTACAAGCCCGCCAACACCCCTCGCGAGAGCAGCGATAGAGCAAAGACGCGTCGCGCAGCAGACATCTCGACAATGGCGGGAGCGAAAATAGAGGAGTAAATTCCAGTCACTACACAATCTACGCGAGCGGCGTCGGCTCTTCGTCTTTTATTATTCCTTTAACGCCTTCCATTCTACGCCGTGCCAGGCAGTCGGGATAAGGTCCCAGCCACGTGCATATTGACCGGCTCACTTGCAGGAAGCCGGCACGGAGACTTGGGCCGGATTTGGAAGCTTGGTGGCATCGATGACGGGCCTAGGGCCGGAGATCGCCCACCTGCTCGAGATAAGAGCTGTGAGAGGTCAGTCGGAGTGCGCCTCGGCGCTGCAGGTCTGGCGATCTTGAATGATTAAGATCCAGAAAATCGCCGGACTTTGATAGGAAGTAACGAAGTTGGATGGAGGATGTTCTCGCTTGGATGTGTAGACGTTGATAAAAGAAGGTGGCACTTTAGTAGAACCCCCATGACCCCTTTGCGTGGCTCCGTTACCATCATCACGTCGGACGTCCCGCGTGGTCGACCCGCCGGCTAACGACCCTCGGTGCCCTTTGACCGACCGCTCCGACATCAGACCAAAAGCGGGAATAAAGTCGGCTGGCTGCAATGCTATGCCTGAAGACTAAGAGGCTTTACTAAAGCTCGCAACAATAGCTTTCCGCATAGACCTTTAGCGAAAGTAATGGCAGCTGGTAGTAGGTGCTCGAGACCGACAAGGTCGGCTGCGGCTTGCTCGCGTTGGGCGTACCGCCCGCCGCTTGCGCGCCTTACCGACATTATCCGCCCAACACGGCCCAGCCACAATCTTCAAGCCACAGTGGCTTAAAGTGCAAAGCTAAGCCTATTTAGAAATAAAAGTTCGGGTAAAACTGAAACCTAGACCTAACAAATACCTTTCCTATACGGAAGGCACTTGCTTTCAGAGGTAGTAAGAATCATCTCCACGTATATGCTAAGCATAAATACCTAGCGACAATGAGTCGAATGTCCACAGTTTCGTCTCCCGACCACGTTTTGTACATTCTCACATACTACCCCTAAGTTATTAGCCCCTGAATGTGGCCACGTGCAGGTGGTCAGGGCACGTCGGCGCTCGGGGCCCTATCCTTCCGTGCCCGATCGATGCCTGGGACGCGGAAGATAGGGGCTAGAGTACCGTAGCTACCGATCCAAGGCCTTCAATGAAACAGGCAGAAACCAAGCTGGGTCAACACCCAGCAACAATAACAAAGACATCACAATGCAAATCGACACAACAGATACAACTCATCCCAGAGATGCCGATACCATTGTTGTGAGTCAATGTTAGGTACATCAAACGAAACATATCGACACGGGCATCTAGTCATCCATTCTGTGAATACAGCAGGAGGACAAAAGAGTGCAGGCCCTACAGAGTTAGCCATCAACCTGGCTGACTACAAAGGAGAACAAGCAGACATTATTCTGATGCAAGAGCCCTGGGTTGGCATACCACCAGGCAGGAGAATGGGAGTAAAGACACACCCCAATTACGATATATACTCCCCAATGGATTCCTGGGACAGCGACAGTACACGGCCCAGATCTCTTATCTATGTGAGAAAACACCTTTAAGCGGATCAATTTCGGCCCTATGCTACACGAGACATCACCTGGGTCAAGGTACAAGGCATTACATTTGCCAGTGTCTACCGGCCATGTGACAACCCACAGGAAGTGGACGATATTCTGGAAGTATGGACTCCACCTTTTGGCTGCGTTATAGCTGGAGATTTCAATGCTGGCGACACATCCTGGGACTCGAGCAATCCAGGATATCATGGTGGTGTCATACTTGCACAGATTATGGCAGACCACGGACTAGATCTGATTTCTGAACCAGATGTCCCAACACATGATGACGGAAATGTACTAGATCTGGTGTTCTTAGATGTCCCTATGGCCAAAGCCTCAGTGAATGATGCACTCCAGTGCACTTCAGATCATGAGACATTACGAATAGTTGTCCCAATTCAGGGAGATCTAGACCGAGTCCCCAAGGCCAATCATTGGATAATACCGGACGATAAACTACAAGAGCTGGCAGACAATGTCCAAACCAGGATTCATGAACTCCCCTGGCTGGGTGTATCCCCTGGCCAGGTGAATACCTTTGCACAAAGCTTGATCAATATGATTCAAGGCTGTATCAGGACAGTGGGCAAGAAGCCCCGTCAATCTAGGCCCACTGCTTGGTGGAATGATGACTGCAAAGCAGCTGTTCAGACATACAGGGCCCTTTCTAAACAGACCACAAGCCAAGAAGGGCGAAATTCAGCCCGACGGGAATTTCGCTGTGTGGTCCGAAAAGCTAAGAGAGAGTACTGGCAGACTCTAATTGATTCAGCAACTGAACCAAAAGACCTGTACAGAATTGTTTCCTGGCACAAGCTGTCAGCAGGATTGCGTTCCCCTCCAATTATCATAGGGGACCAAATCTTTGAGTCACAAGAGAGCAAGGCAAATGCACTACGCTTAGCCACGCTTGAACGAAGTACCCCAGACAACGATATTATCGACCCCTGGTCTGTTCAGATCACACAAGCCAAGCCACACATCCCCCTTGAATACCATGTTGGACTAGAAGAGGCTGAAGGGTACACTATAGGGACCAAGAGCAACTCCCCAGGAGTAGACACCCTCACAGTACGGATTCTGAAAGCTTGCTGGCCAGTCATTGGGGAGCATACCAGAGCCCTTTTCCAGACCTGTCTACAGATTAGACACCACCCTAAACCATTCAAAGTAGCTGAGGTAGTGATGATCCCAAAGCCAGGCAAGAAAGACTACTCTAACCCCAGGGCCTACAGACCAATATCGCTATTATCATGTCTTGGCAAAGGCCTAGAACGACTCATTACAAAAAGAATTGCCTGGTTTGTCATCAAACTCGGAATTCTAGCTCCACAACATTTTGGAGCTCTGCCAAAGCGCTCTGCCGCCGACTTGGTAGCTGCGCTCATACACGATATCGAGCAGGCCCTTGACCAAGGCCTTGTTGCAATGGTAGTCACAGCAGATGTAAAAGGGGCCTTCGACGCTGCCCTAATGGGACGGCTGGTGGTTCGCATGAGAGAACAGGGCTGGCCAGACTTTCTCATAAGATGGGTCCAGTCATTCATGTCTGAACGGTCCGCAAGAGTTCGGTTTGAAGGTATTGTGACCGACATAAAAGCTCTCACTTATGGGCTACCACAAGGCTCACCAGCTTCTTTAATCCTTTATATGCTGTATACAGAGCCAATCTGTGCCCGACTCGGTATGAAAAGGAGACGCTTTGGATATGCAGACGACCTAGCGACTCTCTGCATTAAAAAGAACCTTAAGGAAACAGCTATAGAGGCTTCTGAAAATCTTTATTTGTTTAGTTAATAGGGATATAACAACGCTATTAAATTTGATCCTGATAAAACTGAGATCATGCACTTCTTAAGGAAAAAGAACTCAGATAACCCTCCAGTCCGCCACAAAACAATAAACAAAATAACAAAGGACTCCATACGATGGCTGGGTGTCTTCCTGGATAGAAAACTAAACTTCAAAAATCATGTTTCTTACTGGGCCAAGAAAGCTAATAAGGTAGCAAATCACCTTCGAGGACTATGCAACACAGTCAAAAGACTTCCAGTAAAGTCAACCAAGAGGGCTGTGAAAGCTTGTGTTATTCCTATTCTTACACACGGCCTGGAGGCCTGGTACCCAGGAATCAAAAAAGTCGGGAGCTTAGGTGGGACATCAGCATGTCGCATTAAGGGGCTTCTTGGAACAATAGATGCCGTATTACAAACGGCGATCAGTACTATCTTGCCAGTCTGGAAAACACATCCTGGACATATCCTACACTTTGAATCACAGATTCCTCCAGCAGGAATTCTTGCAGAGTCAATAAAAAGACGTCACGGCCTCTGACTCGGACGAGTAGATCAGAGACACCCTCTTGTTGGCAGGCTCTAAATATAAGCTCGCAAAGAACCAACAAGGTTACAAAGGAGCTTCCAGCTAGTCCCTGACTTCTAGAGACCAACACTTACCAGGCAATCATAGAAGAAGCCCCCAATCTGTAAAGACAAAGACAAAAAAACAGAGCTCTTCAAGCAATAGCTACAGGAGAGAAACGTGAATACTGACCTTATCATCTATTCAGATGGATCACAATTGGACGACCAAGGCACAACCCGCACTGGATGGGGTTATACCATCAGGAAAGGCAGCAATACACAAGAAGTATACCGGGGAAAAGGCAGACTTCTCCAAACAGAAATAGCAAATACTAAAGTCCATGGTGCTCTTCAAGGTCTTGCAGCAGCCAGGGCAATTGGACACAGAAAACAGCTATATGTCTGCCTGGACAACACGTCAGTAGTAGATGGGCTCAATGGGACTCCACCCGAGACATCACAGAACATTTTTCTACGATTTCAAGAACTTGCCACAGCACACACTCCTGGAGTGACCGTCAAGTGGATTCCTGGACACAGAGATATTGATGGCAACGAAGCTGCCGACATACTAGCAAAAGAGGGTGCCATGTTAGAAACAGACACGACAAACCTTTCTACATCTCTTGGATCAAGAGAGATCTCAAAAGAAAGGGCAAGAAAGAGTTCAACCAATGGTGGAAAGACTAACCAGAACCTAGGTATCAAGAAGTATACTCACATATAGTAACTGAAAGAGACCTTATATCTTTTAAGAGGAGTACTTTACACAGACTTCTAGCAGCCAGATCTGGACATGGCGACTTTGCCAGATATCATGAACACTTTGGGCATACAGACTTGAATAATCACTGTAGCTATGGTGAGAAGAAAACACCACAACAAAAAATTTTTTGTAAGAGGCTGGGGAAAAACCGGCTGCTGCCTAGGTACTTGCCTAGGACAGCTTGTTTACAATACTTAGGGGAGAGGAGCACAGAATGGACAAAATTCGTGGAGAAGAGCAAGTTCTTTTCAACAATCTGCCCCCGATAGATAGCTTTTTTTGAAGGACCAGATGGATGACCCCAAGGTCATACCGCCGCAACAACGGGGATGGGCCCGTGAGCGGGACTGACTGTACTTATTATCTTGAGACCTCCACAACCCTGCGATACAGAGGCTCTGGGAGGCGTGGTTTGCACTACTGAGGAGCTACCCCGCACGTTAAATACAATCAATCAATCAATCAATACCGTAGCTACCCTCCAGGGTCCAACTCCATACAGAGCATCCACTGAGCATGGGTTCAGCAGGCGGGTCACATGACGTCGAAGAACCGCTCGGCCACCTCTGAGGATATCGACGGCGCACAGTTACGGGCAGTCTGCAGACAGCTCGGCGTCCGGGTGTCTTTCGACAGGATGCTCTCTTCCTACAGGTCTAGAATATATGATTAGCGGATCCTCAGGCTAGGGGGGTATGGGTCTGTAGACCATCACATTCACAGAAAGTCATTTAGTTGGAGCTCTATCATTATAACCTTGCAGATAATATCAGATCAGGACTTTGCGTATTTTTAACAGGCAAAGTTCGGACCCAAAAGGTCTCCGACTCTGCGTCACGTTGAACCGCTAACCGTTACCATCATATGATGCTAACTAATAATACATACCGAGATGTGACCATGGAGTAAAGCTCTATATAATACTGTAGATCATTATTGACCAGATCGAGTGGCGATGTATATCTTGGCGTATTGTTGGGAGGCAAAGTACAGACCTGAAAGTCCCCCATGACGCAGAACCGCTGACCATTAGTTACTCTCCTGGACACTTGTATAATATATGAACCTTCATTCCATACCTCATGAGATGCAAACTGGATTCTTTAGCTCTTTAAGTGACATTTCAGAATTCAGAAAGCCAGCTCTACCAGTCATGACCGTCAGTATCAAGACAGTTTGCGTACTGGCCTTGGGCTTGTTCCCAATCGACGCAGTTGGTGGCCTTATCAATATCAGAAACTCTCTTCAGCAACAGTTAGAGGATGTTTGTAACCAAGACAATCATCCGTCGATCACCGCTCTCGATAAGCCTAAGTTTCATTGGGACAACAAGGCCGACCGGCATCCACGAGACTACGTCCTGAGATTTTCGGCACCCTACGGCCGCAAGGTCGCAGGATGGCAGCAAGACTTCTTTGACCCCGACAGTGACAACAGTCTATCGCATAATGATTACAAGAAAAAACCCCAGATCGAGGGCACGAGGCTCGATGCAGCAACAATCATCACTTTCTTTTATCCCGTCGAAGACCGTAACACCCAACGTAAACCTCTGGATTGGTACTACGACTCGTTTAAAAACCTAGCAGCGACGAAGGAACAAATCATCATTTTTGTTCCGCCTGGGGAGAAGCCGAAGATCGAGGCCATCGCCAATGAGGCGGGCAACAAATACGTCCAGATAGTGACAGAATTTCCCACTCTCTGGGATATTCCCACCAACATAGGCAAGGAAGCCAGCTTCACGGTCAAAGAACCACTACTATTTGCCCAGTTTGACGGGTGGCAGAAATGTTATCCTGGCGCCAAGGAACCTCCGGAGTCTTTCTACGTCAAACCTCACTATATGGCCGCGTATAACGCCAAGGCATACCTCATGTACCATGCTGTCATGCTGAATCCGTTTAGCTCAAGCATATGTTCGCAGATTTCAGCATCCTGTGGACTGACAGGCCTTATGACGAGCACAACGTGGCTTGGGGCATGTTCATCGACCAATTCCTGGACGAGAACAAGCTTGCGAGGGCGCTCGAGTTGACCGAAGATACGGGGATCGTCATGGGAGAGTACGGCCTCCATCGGCAGAAGGGACCCCGGGACATCACGAACAAGTGTTGGTCGGACCCCAAGAAATACCTGTGGGACTGTTTTTCCTTTGTTTTCAACACAGCAGTTGGCAGCTCTCTCGGCATGCTGAACGTTGCCGTCCGGTTCATGAAGACCGTCGATGACATGGACGCCAACGATCTCTACACGGGTCGGGAGGAGTTCATCCTGGCGTTCCTCGCGATGCGCTACCCGAACACTATCTTCTCGGTCCCTAGAGACTACGACGCTGCCCCGGGGGTAGATTGGGCCATGGGTCCGAACGGACAAAAATCCACGTTCAAGTCAAAGCCGTACCCGCTACAGGTGGCTTTTTCGGGGTACGGAGGCTCTGCTCAAGTACCGCCGATCAACGATCCTATACAGACGATTTTCTGTCCCAAGGGCAGCAAATATGAAACGAAAAATCCGAACTTGAAGGAAAAGGAGTCCATTGTGAAGAATGATCCGGAAGCCGCTCAGAAGGCTCCGATGGAAACGTATCAGAGCCCGGAATGAGGTCTTGCGTCAAGCGTGAGCGGGAAGCCTTTCTTCGGAGTACGAGGTGGTTGGTTTGTCTGGAGAGACAGAGTCAAGGTGTTATTTCTGGTTGATGTTGAGAAGGATTATGTGGAGTTCAATGTATTCTATTCTGGGAGTCTGCGGGTCCAGGGGTAAGATTGTTGACGGCCAAGGTCACATGACCTCGATCTTCTTAGCTCACTTCTGACCGGCGTTAACGGTGATGAGTCCTCACGCATTCAACAGTCCAACTACCTCGACAACTACTGTACTTCAACCATCGCGCGAACATGTTACCGCCATCGACAATTGCCTGGACTAGCCTCCTAGCCCTGTTCGCCTCCGTGGCACAGACGCGTACATATGTTGGCTGTTTCTCCTCGGATGCAGGTCTCGTAGACGACGGTCGATACGTGTTCCAGTCAATTGGATATTGCCATGACAAATGTGCCAGCTATGGCCGCGCAGTCTGGGGCTTAACGAACGGGACTACGTGCTTGTGCGGTGAGACGACTCCGTCGCTGCGTGATGTCGTCGAGGAGGCCAACTGCAACGTGCCCTGCGCTGGGTATGCGATGAATATTTGTACGTGAACCTATGCGGCACTGCGAGTCGCGCCACTCATTCGACCATACATTGATTAATTTGAGCAGGTGGTGGGAGAGGCTTCGTCTCCGTCTACCTTGACGAGAACAACATCCCGGACAGGCCTCCAAACCAGACGTCGACTCAATCGACCCAATCGCTTCAGTCGACAACTACGGGCGCGGCACAGCCAACGAGGTCTCCTTGCAAGCACAAGCTACCCGACACTTCTCCCGGCGATCTCTAACCTCATCGTTGGAAATGAGTGCAAGTTGGAAGAGCTACTGTCAGGACGAGATCCACCGACGACATGATGAGCAGCCCTCGTGCATATCGTGTGCTTCCCGGCAGATAGACATATACGCTATGTAGATACATACTTATGATCCATACTCCATCCCTCTCAAGCAACTTGCATCCAGCTATCACTACCTCAGGGAGGTTGAGCATGTCTTTCACCGGGTTTACTTGTCAAGCCGGGTCAATTCCCTTCATACACTTGGGAGATAGCCTGCCTCTTATGGTGATCCCGGCGGTCTAGGTCTGGCACCAATATCCAAACGAGGTCAGTCGTCCAGTCGATACAGTGAGCATCACCGGATGGCAAGTAGATTGAATGATCTGGTAAAAGGTTCGCAGCTGTGTTTGTGTCGATTAGGGAAGTCTACGAGACGCAGCCGGCCCCGAGGGCTGATGCGGAGCCCATGAAAGTGCGGCGCCCTCATCACGCTGCAATGAGACGTCTATTTCGATTCGCGTCATGCAAGGACTGTTCAAGCCCTCTGCGACGGCTTACACAGGAGTGGAATGCTTTGCGGGACTGGCACACGAGAGTAGGCTTGTCGTGAAAAGGGTGACTCCAAGCCACATGTCGGTTGCTGACTCGGCACCACCAATCAGGCGCTGCCTCTCATGTGTACGGCTGGGTTATCCACGCAGCACAACGCCAGTGTTGGACATCCCATCCTGCTTGGCATGCTTCTTGTGAGGCTTCTGCAGCACTGGTATGCGAGGTAATCTGCAATGCACGCTTCCATGCGCTGTTGCGGAAAGGTGGCTCGACTGTTCCGGAATCAGAGTTACACGATGAGTAAGTGTGCTGCAGTACACTTAACTGACGAATGCCCATTGGCCCAGATCAGGTCACGGCCATGACATTAAGCTCTTGGTACGTCCATTGGGGAGGGGTTGCTGTTGCCCTGATATTCGAGTTGAAACCAGGTATAAAACTCGAGTGTCACTCAGCAGTGGTAGGTGCCTGTCTTCACAGCTTTCTTCTCCCTCCTTTACTATTGGAATCTCCCAAGCCCCCTCGAACGCATTCGAATACCGCTGTTCCTCGATCTCGTTCAATATGACTGGAAAAATAGTCCAAGCTGATCAGGCGCCCATTGCGTCGACCCCTTGTTCAACAGAAGAGAATCTCATCAACCATGGAGCACCCAACGTGAGTCCCTCCTACTTGATTGCAAAACACTTTCAGACTATTGATCGGCGCTTACCATCTGCCACAGGTTCCGTTTTACACGCCAGTCCAAAGCCCGCCTGCTGGCACGCCCTGGGACACTGAACCGGAGGGATCTCTCTTCTCGCCCCTCAAGGTGGACGGAATGCAACTCTATAACCGCATCATCGTCTCCCCCATGTGCCAGTACTCGGCCAAAGATGGCTACATGACTATGTGGCACCATGTGCACCTCGGTGGCTTCGCTGTGCGCGGAGCCGGTCTCGTTCTGACCGAGGTCGTCTCCGTCTCCCCCGAAGGTCGCATTTCGCCCCAAGGTCAGTACCTCATTGCCGTGGCTATGAGGTTCAAACCTTTATTAAAGTCAATGACTGATCGCGGATGTCGCAGATCTTGGCTTGTGGGAAGATGGCCAGATCGAGCCTCTCAGGCAGATTGTGGACTTCGCTCATAGTCAAGGCGTGAAGTTCGGCGTCCAGTTGGGACACGCTGGCCGGAAGGCGAGCACCGTCGCTCCATGGATTGATCGCAAAGCTGCTGCGCGCGACTACGTAAGCTGGCCAGCCTCGAAAATTTGGATTGATTTACTATACTCATACGTATGCAGTCAGAGGGATGGCCGAAGAACGTCATCGGTCCTTCGGCTGAAGTGTACATCACGCAGACAATCGTGCAGCGGGAGGCGACCATAGAAGACTTGGACAAGTTCAAACAGGATTGGGTGGCCGCAGTCAGACGCGCCTTGAAAGCCGGTGTCGACGTGAGTGAGAGTGAGCCTTGCCGAGAACAGTGTCACAACTTACCTTCCGATCTCAGGTAATCGAAGTTCACGGGGCCCACGGATACCTCCTCAACGAGTTCCTCTCCCCGGCCTCTAACAAGCGAACGGACGACTAGGGCGGCTCGTTCGAGAGCCGCATCCGCCTCTTCCTCGAGATGGTCGACCTGCTCAAGGCCGAAGTCCCAGCCGACTTCCCCATCATGATCCGCATGCACACCACAGCCTACCTGGAGCACGACCCTTCGCTCCCGCAGTGGACGCAAGAAGAGAGCATCAAGCTGGCCCAGGCGCTTGCGGAGCGCGGGGCCGACTTCCTCGACATCACCGGGGGGGCATCGACGCGCGCCAGAAGATCGCTGCCAAACTGGGTTACCAGGTGCCCTACGCAGAGGCGATCAAGAAGGCCCTCGCTGGCACCAAGACCCTGGTCGGCACCGTCGGCGAGATCGAATCTGGCAGGCAGGCCCAGGCTATCTTGGATGCTCGGTGGGCCGACGCTGTCTTCGTGGGCCGACAGTTCTTGAATGATTCGTTCCTGGTGTGGCGTTGGGCTGATGAGCACGAGGAAGACATTCACTTGCCGAGTCAATGTAAGTTGTTGTTTTTATTGATTGTTTTCGCGGTCTGATACTGACGTTCGGCAGATGGCTGGGCATTCGGCAACACGCGGACTCACAAGCCGAAGAGGAGCAACCAGCATGAGTAGATCCTCTAGTGTCAGCAGAGAAGGTCATGGCCAATGAGATGAGCGTCGCACTCATTACGATCACTTAGTTTACCTCGCCCGGGACTTGTATGCTAAAGATGCGGCTCCTGAAACCATTCCCTCGAATGTCAGACGTCTTTCGGTTCCTCCTCGACACCCTCCGGCTTCTTCATGACCTGCAAGTACTTTTCCATGTCCACTGGGGATTCCTTGTGCCATTGCTTCTCGCTTTCCGCTCAGGGCACGGCGACTTCTCTTGGTATCATGTCAAGTTCAAACATCAGGACGCCGTCCTTGACTGCTCGTGCGGCCGGAGCAAGACTCTGACGCACTTCATCCACTGCCGGAAGACTCTGGCACGGTACATGGTCTGGCCGAGGGCCCCGGCATCCCGACCGGAGCTCAGAGCCAGGCTCAAGTATCTAGACGAACTCATGACTTCCCCACGGGAGTACATGGACCTACTCGTGGCTACCGACTTCTATGGCAGCATCTGCCCTCCTCGCTAAGGGCACACTCACTCTTTCCTTCTGTTACGGCGTCTGGGGGCTTTATCTTTTTATTTTCCTTTTTTAACGTCTCACAGGGCGCGTGAGAACCATTGCGGCATGCCGCAGCACCTACTGTAGCTCTAAGAGCACTGAACCTGGCGGTGCGCCCTGAAACTAACATTTGTGACCTCAGCCGATACTTCCCCTCACCCGGAGGAGGGGGGACACGGTGTGATCCGCCGCTTAAGTGTGGTGGCTGTCTACGGACTTGACCTGCTAGATGGACAGTGTATGTATATAGAAGACCTAGCCTATCACGCCTGAGCGGCCTCTTGGAGCCCCTGGTTGACGCCGCTACGCGGCAGTCCCCCCGGCGTTAATGCTACAACAACAACAACAACAACAACAACAACAACAACAACAACAACATTGTGCCATTGCTTCAGCTGTTCAAAGTTGACGCAGTGTTTGTTGATGGAACTATACGATCGCAGGATGGCCGTGTCAGCAAGGTAATCAATCGTACAGAGGCGGCCCGCCGGAAATCACCCCAGGAGAAGGGGTGGCCAAACTCACAAATCTGGAAAGGGGTAATCAAAGCCTTCCTTCCAGTGCCTGGTGACCAGATTGACATTATTGCTGTTCGCCCAATCAGCCACGTCTCATGTCATTCACCGGGTGCGAAGCCTTGGTTTTTTCATACCTGCATGATATCACCTGGTATAACATGTCCATGCAATGGTTGATGTGGATCTCGTGGTTCCTCTTCTGGTAGTTTGCGTCGGCTTGATACACAGTCAGTGAGGGCCCCGCTGTGTAGAGGCGTAATCTGCCTCGGAGTCAATAATATCAGTTGGTAAGTCATGGTACTCATGGTATATTGCTTCTCTCAACCTGTACAGTCTGTCAGTCAGCTTGTGCACCCCGATCCCGTCGCATTACCTCCTTGGCCACCGCGATGGCCAGACGGAGCCCTGTCTCCCTTCGGTGCGTATGAGATCTTTACATACGTGTTCAAGCAGTGTAAGTTGTGGAACACATCCAGCGCCGCCACATAAGCGTCCTCACCCAGGCTCCAGGCATCGTCCTCCAGCTTCGCGACCGAGTCTGTATACTTGCCCAGCTTTGGGATCTGCTCACGCATGATTGGGATCGGGCGGATGAGGAACTCCAATCCTCGAAGTTTCGCTATACCGCGGTGATTTACCATGTTCATGGTTGGTTGGTAACCCGCTCACGGGGAGTCGTTTCTTGAGGGCCTGCTTCCCCACCGGAACTCTCTCCCCCTTTCTCTTTTCGTATTAAGTTCAGCCACCTAATGCAGCAGCGCCTTATTTTCTGCGCATGTTCACCCGGTCCTCTCTGCACATTCCACAGCCGTGTACGGTATATAGCTAACTCTATCATGTTAATCTGGTAGCCGGGTTGGTACAACCTAGCGAAGTATTCTTGAGGGTATTCTTAGGCACAGCGGTTCGATTCCCCTAGCGGCTGGCAATTTCTTTTTTGGGTCCTTCGGTTCCATATCAGCCCGAATTGCTCGCCTGCCATCATTGGTATATGGCCCAGGTTCCCAAGTCACCTTTGCGCGTTTCAGCGATACTTAATGACTTAAAGCTTCCATGAATGTGTGTATTGAAGGCCTGATCTGAACTACCATACGATCTTGCTGCTCCAACGAGCCAACCCGGCGTTTATACTCCCACACCCACGCCCACGCCGCGTCGGTCACGATTCTAATTCCATGCCTTTTCCTCGCCCGCGGCAACCTGATGAAATGAATGAGTGGCTATCGCGATCATACACTCATAGACCTATCTCTGCTGGACACGACTGAGTTCTTCTGAGGCTAATTGTGCCGTTCGCCTCTGTCCTTATGGTGACGGGGAACTGTAGACTCTTCTTGGCTTGCATTGAGTCAAAGAGCTTCAGGGCGGCCTTCTTCTGCTTCTTTGTAAACTTCCTGGTTGTCAAATTAGTTTTAGAAGGATGCCAAAGCGGGAAGATGGTCTTCTTCTTTCTTCTAAAGTGCTTCTTCTTGGTCGCTCGGGACTTCTTAGGGGTCGATTTTCTGCCATGTAGTACCGTCGAGGATGACGTCGGCTTCGAGTCGTGTTCAAAGCGGACCTTGGTTTGAAGGCACACTTTCTTCACCCACTTCTTGAACTTGAACTTCTGTAGGCGATGAACCAGGGTAATTGAGGACATGTTTCTGGTTGCGAAGGACAATTTCGGTAGCTCGGATCCGACCGAGTGACTTGCTGAGCCCTCGCCCGCAACAGACCTTCGTGAATGGTGGAGCGTTGATGTAGGCATTTTCTGGGATGTTTCGGCTTGGCTATGCCTACGGATGGTTGTGGGGGAAGTCGAGGCGGTATCGGTACTCGGACGCAAGCGGTCTGTTGAGCCGACATTGCTGATTCTATAGCAATCGTAATCCTCAGATGTACTCGTGCGTCTAGGCCCTCTCATCGCCATATGAGAGACCTCCATTTCCGCACGAGAGCTCTGGTCATGCAGAATGGGCACCATAAAGCCGCCCAGTGGAGATGAGTTCTGGTTTCCAGGGTGTTTCTCTGGGGAAAGATCACCTCCAGAATGTGATTGCGATATTGTAGTATCCTTCATGTCTATGACCGTACTGGAGGGAATTGTGGAGAGTCGACGCTCGTGGCCACGGTCCTCGCTATCAGCTTCATAGCCCGTATCTGAAGTCTCACCATTTGCTGGTAATCCTTCACCAATGTTATGATCGACCCCCTGGTCCCGACCTGGCATCTCGTTTGCCGACATGTTGGGTGTGTAACAAGAACCCTGTGAAAGGTATTCACCATAGCGTGACAAGTCGGATACCAGATGCTGGGTGTACACGGTCGGCTCTGGCGACCGACCCAGGTCATTGGGAGAACGGATACCTTCCGAGGGGTAAGACGAAGAGGCACTGCGGACTCGGTTGAGAGAATAGGTTGACTCTATGAGTTTTGGTAGATCCTTCTCTTGGGTTTCTTCGCGGCTCTCATCCGTAGAACTAGACAAGCTGAAGGACCGGATCTTCCGGGGCTCATCCTGCTGCTGCGACGTAAGAGGTGTACGACCGAACACGCCGTGCATGGGACTCAACGGGCCCTGCAGACGATGGACAACAGGGTCCCTTGTTGCGATGTCGGGTTTCCCTCCGTTGTTCGCTGATACGTCGTCAAGTCCACCTGGGGTTGTATCCTGTAGCTCTTGAACATGCGAAGATTTACGATTGACTATGTGGGGTACGTTCTCGGCACGAGATGCCAACGGTCGAAGCCCGTCTGGCCCGCGTCGTGTGTCTTCAAGATTCGAGTCGGCTCGACGGTTCTCAGCATTCTCGAAAAGCGCCCCGAAAGCGGCCGAAAGATCGCCTCTTCGAAGCATTCCAGGCTGGCCAATATGGATGGTGGAGGACTTGGTGGGTTGTTTCGGGTCTTCAGCGCTGGGCTTGCCACGCGCGAATGCCCTACTCGGAAGCGACCAGCGATGCAAAGACATTGTTGAAATACCGTTCAGCGATCATGTAGCGATGTACCTAGACTGTAGAGAACCAATGAAGGAGATGGGTTGTAGGCAGAGGGGAAAGCTATGATACACGAGCTTTGCTGTACGGATATGTGGTATGTGAGGTAATGTGTCGAGCCCAGTAAACCCAGTGCGTAGTGCATGGAATGTAGGCACCCCATGTTGTTCCTCGCCCTTGCCCCTTCTGGCCAGACCGGATCTTGAGGAAACTGCGTAAGGAAGGTGCTATCAACAACATTGAACATTTGAACTCACAAGGACAGTCGGCAAGAGCGTCTTGAGTGCTCTGTAACTCTGTTACGCCACTTCCATCGGTCAATGCAGAGTAGCAGCACACAGCATCCCAACCACCTTCAACACTCTCCCACCAGACAGCCGGACGCTTCTCTGATCATATTGGTACCTCTTCTTCTTAAGGGTGAAGATGTATTGGTGAGAGTTCTTGTGAGCGTTCCGTTCCATCCTTACCTAGGAACCCCGCTTTTGTATCCTCGGATTTAACTTGCTTGGAAGCAATCACGAGGCACAGCAATCACCCTCCCATCCTCTCCCTCTCGCCGTCAGAGAGCATCGTGCAACGTTAGAGGGCAACCAAAATGCATGAAGACGACTGCCGGGACTGGACATCGCAGCTGTCGAACGAGCTCTTGCTTCAGATCTTTAAATGTGTCACGTCAACCGCCACATTTGCTCAACGTATCCTTTGTTGCAGGAAATGGAGGACTCTGGCGACTTCGGTACTCTGCAGGCATGTCGCGGTCGGCACAAAGAGTTTCTCCAGATGGACCAGCACCGGCCCTCCATCCTCCGATGCCACAATCGAGACCTTCACCCTGTGTGTGACCGATGTCAGGGCCGAGGCTGCAAGGGAGCATCCCGCTACCACCATTGGGCAGCTACGACTTGACCTGGATCAGCTGCCATCTCGTCTTCGTGGCATGGTCCGATTGCGGAGCCTTTCAATACATACTCCAGCTCAGCTGCCTCGAGGACTCTGGATTCCTGAATTGTCAATGGCAGAAATCCTGCATCATGTTCCCCAAACTTGCTCGAGTCTCGAGGTCGATGTCCGAGACGTTCGGCCCCCATACCACATCGACAAGAGAAGAGTGAGACGCACCTTTGCGATTCCATTCGTCGACTCATACCGCAGCTACGGTTCCTCCGCCTCAGCTGGTCTTGCCTGTGCCCGGCAACTTTTAGGCACATGCTCGACCCATCCTCAACGGCTACAACAAATTTCACCCCTGTGGACGCTCCGAGACTCCGAGAATGTATCGTCAAACTGGGTGAGCCATCCTTTGGAGCAAGCGCCATTGTCAAGAGATTTGACGCTCCTTGCAACCCCGAGGTTCGCGTTTCCGGCGTCAAAGCCTTCACCGAATGCCTCCAAACCTTGGTCCATTCAGGACGGGCGCCTCTGCTCCAGAAGCTGTGGATACTTGATGCCTTGCCGCAAGGGGTTCAATGGGCGTCATTCGGCGCCTTCGTGCGCCGCGATGTTCTTGCGAACAAGAGCCAGACACTTCCCTGGAAAAACATCGCCGCCCACAGCAGCAAATCCAAGAACAGCTTGCTCGTTCGCATGCCAACGGACGAAGGCGGAGAAGATCTGCTTACGGGTGCGCAGGACATGGAATCTCGTTGAGGCACATAGTTGGATTACAGCATCCAACGGAACAAGGCTGCCTGCTGTCATGATGGAGGACTATGAACTTTCCCCAAGGGACTGTACAATACAAATTAGGGAAGAATGGTCGGCTAACAACACCGTCTCAACACATCTATGGGTAGATGAAAAAGAGACTGGCATGAGGCTGCTAGACGCAGAGACGGGATCCTTGCCGGAGGATCGTTTCGCAAACATCCGTGTACCGGACGGCTGGCATCGGGGCGCGAGTGGGATCAGCTTGTACAGGGTCCGGTAAAAGCTACTGTCTAGTATGTATCGTTCTATTCACCTACCATCTCTCAATCTGCTGGGTTGGGAACATAAAGTCATGGCTATCAAGGATCCAACCATCCATCCGTTGATTCATAACCTTTCGGGACTAACATCACATGGGAAGACTCATGCTAGGCAAAGTTTCCAAACAGCCACACTGCAAAGCTCGACGTTATAGCCCAGCCCCCTATTCCACCCACAACGGTACAGGATATATCTACGAGTTTAACAGAGCAATTTGGTAGCCGAGTTGGTACGGCCTAGCGGAATATTCTTACAAAGTATTCTTACAAGGTATCCTTAGGCACAGCGGTTCGATTCCCCTAGCGGCTGAAATCTCTTTTTTCTTTTCTTTTTGGTCCTCCCCACCCGAAATCTCTCTCCCCTTTCTATTACGCCAAGCTTCGAAACATTACCTCGTTACCATTAATAGAGGTAATCTTGGCGACTCACGTGCTTATCGAACCAGCACACCGAGCTCACCCAGGCGAGCGGGGGTTCTTCACATTCTTAGAGAAGGACGAAAGCGCACCCCAGAGCCTCGATGTGGATATCCAGAAGAGGATGTGACAGCAGAGTCGGGCATGAGCAATGATGACGGAGAAGATACTGTTCTCACCTTCACGGCTGACTCGTAGGCAGTCAGGAGCCATGGCCCAATTCCAATTACGTGCTGTATCTCTGTAAGGCAATGGTGCCCATGGGTGACTGAAATCATGGGTCGTGGCTTGGGCGTACGAACCCTGCTGCCCCAGCCCAGCCAGTCGTACCGCGTGCCCTGTCGTTCTATGGATAAGGCTGCACCACATTCTTGCATCCAACTGCGAGAAACTTGCATACATTAAAGCTGTTAGTGGTTGGGGGTTGGCAGTTGGTACGGTCAGAAGGGGCGCAGCGTGGATCTTATTCGTGCCCCCTTACCTGCGTTATGCTGTTACACTGCATCGGAACCAGAGAAGTGCCGGCCGATATTCATATCTTGCTGCAACAATGTCATGCCAACCAACAGGCTGACAGAGATACCCTTACTGGGGACCCCGCCCCTCCGGCGTGTTGGTTGTTCAACAACACAGGTGCAGGGAACCATCGGGCATCGATATCGCGGCAAGTACGGTAAGCACACGGCAGATATTATATCAGAAGGGGCACATCCTGTCTCCAACAGTATAACTACCTGTCGTCCCTCGCCGCCTGCGCGCTTGAATACTTACTCCGTCTCAGTCTCTGGAGCCGGTACATTATGGGGATATACACAACGCTCCCCCAAGAGATTCAAGAAGTGGACGTGATTATTGCCGGAGGTGAGTGAACAAGGCGTTGTTTCCAACAACCCCCTGGCCAACATTATCACCAGTACTGGCTAACTGATTCACTCTACCTTGTGGCAGGTGGCACAGCTGGTTGCATTGTCGCGTCAAGGCTCGCTGATGCGGATCCAGAGCTGTCAGTTCTCATCATAGAGAGCGGCCGCGACAACTACAATGTCCCCACTGTAGTCCACCTTGTACTTTGGCGTGGCAATCATGCGCCCGAGGAACCCCGAATATACATTCACAAGGCCGTCAAGGAAGAGCAGCTGGCAGGCCGAGAGTCCATGGTGCTAGTGGGCAACATGCTCGGGGGCAGCTCTTCCATGAATCTCATGGTACGTAAGGAGACCCCTCGCTTTGGCTCACTGCCTAGATTCTGAACTTTTGCATCGAACGTGCTATGCGTTAGCTATTACCTGAGGCTTCTTGTTTTGGTTTCCTTGTTGTTCTGGGATCTCTAGAGTCGACAGTTTCACCTCGATATGCAGTATGTTGACATGCATCTAGATGTACACACGAGCTCAGCGGTGTGACTACGATTCGTGGGGAGTAAAGGGCTGGAGTTCCGATGATCTGCATCCATACCTGCAAAAGGTAACAAGACCTCTTCAAAGACGTCCAGTCCTCGGGCACAACCGGATACTAACGTCTGGCTTAGTTCCAGACCTATCACGGACACGGCAAAAGCGAGAACCATGGACACGAAGGACCCATTCATGTGTCTGGTGGGCCATTTCGCTCAACAGAGGCTGAGAGCGATTTCATTGCGGCCATGCAGCGAGTCGGATATCCCGAGGTTGAAAACTTGCAAGACTTCCAATCAGTTGGTGTTGCACCCATACAGAAATACGTGTCTCCCGAAGGCCAGAGACAGGATGTCGCACACACGTATCTACACCCACGACTTCAGGACGGAAAACATGCGAATCTCCATGTTCTGGTTGAATCGCAGGTTGTTCGTGTGACCTTCGACGGCGACAAGAGGGCCTCAGGGGTCGAGTTTCGGCCCAATCCAGCAATGCAGTCAACTTCCGTTGAAGACCCCGTCGGAGCTGTGAAGGCTAGGAAGCTGGTCGTCATATCCTGTGGCACTCTCAGCACGCCGTCGGTCCTTGAGCGGTCTGGGGTGGGCAGTACAGAGGTTCTCCGAGAGGCTGGTGTCGCCGCGATCGCCCACCTGCCCGGGGTTGGCCATGACTACCAGGACCACAACATGAGCATGTATGCTTACAAGTTGGGCGTTGGTCCTGAGCTCACTTTCGATGCCATTCAATTTGGAAACACCAGCATTCCGGAGCTGATTGCTAAGAAGGATCAGATACTGGGATGGAATGGCATTGATGCCTCCTCCAAGATTCGACCAACTGAATCGGAGGTCGACGCTCTTGGGGCCGATTTCAGAAAAGCCTGGGACAGGGACTTCGGAAAGACACCCAGCAAACCGCTTGCCTCCATGATCTTCATCGCAGGGTAAGTTCATAGCCCCGAGGGCTGATATACGCTAACTCGGAGTGCAGTCTGCTAGCTGATCGGGCTTATGGGAGTCAAGCCGCGCCTGGCAATACTTCTCTATTGGCATCTATACGACTTATCCATACTCTCGCGGAAGTGTGGTAAGTTAATCTAAGCAAGAAAGGATCTGGGCTCGTGTGTTAACACTGGCAACCCAGCACATCACAGGCCCAGACGTGAATGATCCGCCTTGCTTCCGCACCGGGTTCCTCAGCGACGAGCACGGACTGGACCTGAAGGCACAGGTCTGGGCTTATAAGAAGCAGCGTGAAATCGTGCGCAGGATGACACTACACCGTGGAGGGCTCACCTACAGGCTCCCGAAGTTCCCGCCTGGTTCTCCTGCATCTTATGACGTCGAGGTGGCCGATGGTGTTGCACCGGATGTGGTCGAAGATCTCGAGTACACTCCTAGCGACGATGCGATCATCGAAGATTGGATTCGCCGCAATATGACGACGTCCTGGCACGGACTGGGGACGTGCAAGATGGCGCCGCGGGACGAGATGGGTGTGGTGGACGAGGCGCTCGGCGTATATGGAGTCTCCGGACTGAAAATTGCAGATTTGAGTATTGTGCCGGAGAACGTCTGTGCGAACACGATGAATACGGCTTTGATGATAGGAGAGAAGGCAGCCGATATCTTCATTCGAGAGTTGGGTCTGGCTCAGTAGTTACATGTAGCTTTTATGTGGCGCTGTGTGGAGAGGGTCACAAGGGCTTCTCATCACTCTTCAAGCAATAAGCAGACTGTAAGACGTCACAGCAAACACCGCTTAACTGCCCTCCAAATACGATGGCGACGGGTTGCTGGTGTTCGGTGGATGTTAGACGTTGGCATTGTCGTCGTGCTGGACTAACACATGAGTGCTGGTCCAAGACAAAACACCCACTGGGGAATAGAGGCGCACCATTTGAATACTCAATAAGTTCACTCCCGCCAGATCCATCTCACGGATGTGGCCCTGGCAATAGCAAGCCGACGACGGTACTGTGGTGAGCCTTACCCCGAATGCTATCCCGGCCCACGAAACGGGGGCCGGGATAAGATGCTACAGTCCTTCCTTAAGAACGGCGTTCCTTGCACACGCACAACCACCTTTTATGATGCTACATCGATCGCGCGAATTGAATTAGACCTGCCTCGTAAATGTTGTGATTGGGCTGTTTTCAACATGTGTTAGAGATAGCCCAGGTTCACGGTTATGAGCCCGAACGGACGTGGCAGCAATGCGCAGCCTCGTTCCATACCTGCTGACGGTTGCCTTCCACTGGGTATTCTTCGAGTCATCCATCCAGATCATCTGCGACCAGCTGGAAGTCATCCTCTAACCACATTAGAATTGTGGTTGATAAGGAGAGACAGAGAGGAGGTGAATACCATGTCACGGGCGTGTCCAGACCCAAACCACTGGGCCACCGCGCCGACCGTAGTGTCGGTACCTCGGCGAAAGGGTCAGAATCTGAATGTTGTGGTCATCCATGGATCTTGTTGGTCACTGGCAGGCAGGCGCCTATCAGGTTCAAGTAGTACCATACTGTTGGGCCCAGCTTGGCAGCGATCTCCTTGTCTCCCCCCTCTCGCTCTGGCTTCCGCTCCTTGCTCTTCCAAAGCCATTCATATTTTCCATTTACAACATCGATCATTACCAAAACCAGCGCCAGTAGTGAGGAGTGCTTTGCCCACCATCCTCTGCTCAAGATGGAGCTCCTCGGTGCTGCCATGCCGGCTCTTGTCTACCTCGGATATGTTATTGTCGCATCGGTATGGACCGTTGAACTTACCCGTTCATTGTATCGCTGCAGAATCACTAACGAACGCGTCCAAGGTGGTGCTGTTCGTCAGTTACCGCCTCACACTCCACCCCTTGAGTGCGTACCCGGGTCCCATTGCCGCCAAGTTGACCGACTTCTACAACCTCTACCACGCGGCATCAATGGACGAACACGTGGCGATTTGGCGAAATCATCAAGCTTATGGTGAGTCAGGCCATCCAGAATACGAAGTCTGTCGTAACTACTACTTACATAGCTTTACTTCAGGCCCCGTGATAAGGCATGGTCCTAATAAGCTGGTATTCAATTCACTCCGAGCATTGCAAGGTACGTACCTATGATACCATGTCTCGAAGATGAGAAGAGCTAACGAGACATGATAGTGAAGACATCTATTACAACGACAGAGTCACCAAATCCAACGCGTATCTCAACATCATGCAGGCACCCAATGTACACAGTGTCTTTACTGTGATTGACAAGCAGCAACATCGTGCCAAACGTCGATTAATCGGACAGGCTCTCAATGAACACGGCATGCGGCTGTTCGAACCTATCATCCTGGAACAGACGGACATTTTCATCGAGCAACTGTCTCGGTCCTGTACCAAAGGTGCGCCCATCTACATGTCGCCCCGGCTGCGATACCTCACATTGGACATCGTGACCCTCCTGGCCTTTGGATATCCCCTGCACACTCAGACAGAACAGAAAAATCGATTCGTTTCTGACGGCATCGTGGCGGGGCAACTATTTTCAAAACATGAAGCTGCAGTGCCCAGTCCTGACACAGCTTCGAATGACGGAGGCCCTACAGATACTTGGGCATATAAGAGAACGCAGAAAGCCATACAGAAGCGTGGTGAAGATGCTGATCGGGTCTCGCATGACTGAGGACAAGGACGCTAAACAGGACCTGTACTCCATGGTTGCAGATCAAATCAACACCGGAGGTCGCGAAAACATCCCAACGAGCGACTTATGGGCAGAAGCAATCTTTCTATTCGCAGCAGGGTCGTCATATTCTATGCATCATACATATGGTATCATCATTGAAGTAGGCACAACAGTTGGCTGACCCGGGTTTGAACCATAGGTGGTGATACCACTGCTACGGTTACGGCGGCCCTGTTCTTTTACCTGTCAAGGGCCCCAGACTGCTACAGCAAGCTAGCTCGTGAAATCCGAACCACGTTCGACAGCAGAGATGAAATCCGCAGCGGCCCGAAACTGACAAGTTGCCGCTACCTCCGGGCTTGCATCGACGAAGCTTTGCGCATGTCTCCACCGGCACCCCGCACACCCTGGCGACAACAATCTGATACGGATGATGCTCCGCTCATTATAGACGGTCACGCGGGTAAGTGATGCTGCCCATGTGTCGGGTGTTTCTTCCCCCTTTCGTCCGAATCACGGTTGTGAAGTCCCCGGCCGAGTTTGTCTTCCAGGTGCTAGTTCCTGGCCCGTGGTTCGTAACCCCCTCCCGCTCAACCGCCCAGCTGTCCAGAAGAGCAAGAGCTGATTTCTTTCCAAAACCAAGTGCCCCGCGGAACCCATATCGGCGTCAACGTCTACTCCATCCTCCACAATGACGAGTATTTCCCGGATCCCTTTGCCTACACGCCGGAGCGATGGTTGTCAGGCGTGTCTGAGGAACAGACGAAAATCATGCACGAAGCGTTCGTTCCGTTCTCAGCAGGGACCCGCATCTGGGCAGGCAAGGCGATGGCGTATTTGGAAACGAGTGTCCTCATTTCGAAGACTCTCTGGCACTTTGATTTTGAAAAAGCCCCGGGGAAGGTTGGTGAACTCGGCGCTGGAAGGAGTGGTGGCGCCTACGGCAGACACAGACCGGGCGAGTTCCAGATTCACAATGTCATTTCCTCGACTCATGAGGGTCCCAACGTGGTATTCCACACAAGAGCTTCGGCTGCGTAATAAATTGATGTCATACGGTGTGTACCGTACACTTACGCCCAGTATCTGGCGTTTCTCTCTGTCCATAAATTGTGTGCACATGTGTATCCAAGACATCGAGATCATTGCAAGATCGTTGCCGCTTACTGCTCAGTGCTAGGGAAGAACCGGAATCACGGCGAAAAATTGTCGACGTGGCAGAGGAACATTTTGTACACGGTGCTGAGGCTCGAATCAGTAGTGAGTCTCAAGATGCATGATTATGCGACATAGCAGAGAGGCCAGAAGATGGATTGATTTGTCTTGGACACAGTCAAATAAACAGTTCCTTGTTGCAAAAAGGGGTAGTACAATCGATAAGGAGGCATTTTGGTATTGCATTTCGCTTGGCATATGTACTTAACACGTATGATGTCACTACTCACGAATTCAAACCTGATTCAAATCAGACCATACGCGACTCCAGCTGTGAGTCGGCGAAGTCCTCACGAGGTATCTCCCGGGCAGCTTGTCAGGCCAAGTCCATTGGCAAGTCATGCACAGAACACTACAATACACGATCCTGGAGGCTTTACATATCCGGCGATCACGATGAGATTTTTCCAGAAATCTCAGGTCGATGGCGTGAGGCTCACCTATAGGAGCGCCCAGCGGTTGCCGATCACCGCATGGGCACCCAGGCCACACCTTGCATCTCTTGCTAGTCGGCCAGCCTTGCAGCAAGGCCACTTCCCGTGTGGATTCATCAGTTCCGGCACCCAAAAACAGAAAACGAAGGCTGGTAAAGGTCCCCTTGCAGTCGCGCCAACGATTCTCGTTCTATGCGGCATACTCATATACACGCTCATTCCAGGCGACGCGCAACGCCCAACCCGACTTACAGCAGAGACAAGGCAGCAGCCGGAACCTGCTCAGAACGACATTAAGGACGATGAGAAAGACCAGGACCAGGGGTCGGCGTGGACAGGCTTCGCTCAAGGATTTGAAGACTTCACAAACGTGACCAACATCGAGTGGTCGACACTGTCTGACCGTATCACCGACGTGATCCTGCCGGAGTGGTGGAAAGGAATCCCTAGGCAAATTCGGAAACTGCAGCGCGAGCTGTCCATGTCAGATGGATCACTAGCGGATGAGATATGGCAGGAAGCTCACGACCCTTTCATCAACCCTGAAATCAGGTACTCCGCCAAAGTGCGCGTCTCGGAGGAGCTATGTGATGAGGAGAAGGAGTTCCTCGCGCGCCGGAAGAAAGTCGCGACGGCCGGTTTGGCCAAATACCTCGACCTGGACGAGGAGGAGGTCCACCCGGATGATGTTCCCACCATTGCTGTGTGTGGATCTGGCGGTGGACTTCGCGCCCTGGTTGCGGGAACAGGCTCACTTCTCGCAACTCAAGAGGATGGCTTATTCGACTGCGTCACCTATACATCGGGTGTCAGTGGATCGTGTTGGCTGCAGGCCCTCTACCATTCTTCCTTGACGAACGGTCGACTAGACCGTATCGTTGACCATATGAAGGCAAGAATAGGGGTTCACATTGCGTATCCTCCCGCCGCCTTCGCGTCGGTGACAACTTCTCCTACCAACAAATTACTTCTCAGCAGTATGGTCGAGAAGCTCAAAGGTGACCCCAATGCTAGTTTTGGACTAGTTGACGTCTATGGCATTCTGTTGGCAGCGAGACTCCTAGTACCGAAGGGTGAGCTTGGGGTGAACGACAGAGATTTCAAGCTGTCCAACCAACGAGAATTCATCAAATACGGACAACACCCAATGCCCATTTACACTGCGGTTAGGCACGAAATACCCGACATAAATAGTAAAGGAGTCCCCGATGACTCCCCTTCGGAACAAGCGAAAGCCATCGCAAAGCAAGAAGCGTGGTTTCAATGGTTCGAGATGACACCATACGAGTTCTTTTGCGAAGAGTTCAATGCAGGTATTCCGATCTGGGCTCTCGGGCGACGATTCAATGGCGGAGTAGACGTCGCCCCAGAAACCGGCTTTCACCTACCAGAAATTCGCATGCCCCTATTGATGGGCATCTTCGGGAGTGCTTTCTGTGCGACTCTAAGTCACTACTATCGCGAGGTCCGGCCCCTCGTGAGGAGCCTGACTGGCTTCAGCACGGTTGACGAGATGATCCATGGACGCAACGAAGATTTGGAGAAAGTTCACCCCATCGATCCGGCCTTGATACCCAACTTCACATATAACATGGAAGGCAAACTACGCTTTACGACGCCTACTAAGATCTACGATAACGAGTACATACAACTGATGGATGCTGGCATGTCGAACAACTTGCCCATCTACCCCCTGCTCCGACCCGGCCGTGACGTCGATGTAGTCGTCGCATTCGATGCCTCAGCAGACATCAAAACGGACAACTGGCTATCCGTAGCAGATGGATACGCCCGCCAGCGTGGCATCAAGGGCTGGCCTCTTGGCATAGGCTGGCCAAAAGGCGGCGAATCGGCCCAGAACATCGAGAAACAGCTAGACGCCGCACAAGTCGACTCTGCAGCCGAAGCGGAGGCCAAGCTCAGGCAAGCAAAGCAGCACCAAAAGGCGCAGCGAGCCACCGACCCGCCCGCGTCCTCGCAGGCCACAGCCGAGCAGAAGAAGACAAAGACCGAGCACGACATCTCGCACCCGGATGACTCGGAGCTGGGCTACTGCACAGTGTGGGTCGGCACGACAGAGGAGCGCTCAACACAACCCCCGCCGCCGTCCAAGGCGCTCACCAGCGACGACGACGCGTGGCAGCTGATGCAGCCCAGTGCCGGCATCGCCGTCGTGTACCTGCCCTTCGTGGCGAACCCCAAAGTCTCGGGCGTCGACCCGGCCGTTAGTGATTACATGTCGACATGGAATTTCGTATACACCCCCGAGCAGGTCGACAAGGTGGTCGCGCTCGCGCGCGCCAACTACGATGAGGGGAGGTCGCAGATCCGCCGCACTGTGCGCGCTGTATATGAGCGCAAGAGGAAGATGCGCGAGGATCGCGAGGAGGCCGCGCGCTCGGAGAGTTATCGGAGGCTTGTGCGTCTGGGTATTGCTGGGAAGTTGGGCGAGGGCGACCATTTCAGTTGAGCGGGCATTCAGTTGAGCGGGCACCACTTCAGTTGAGCGGGCTCGTCTGAGAGGGGTTTTCGCTGCTACGCTTCTATGCTTCCCTTTCTCGCTGTTCTTCCTGTCGTTTGGAGTGTTTTTTGTAGTAGTTCCTCTGCTATGTACCTTGTGTACCGTCTGTACTATAGGATAGAGTGCCTCTCCGGGTTCGATGGGGGTGGTGTAGGAGAGGTTCTTGCTGTGTACGTTGTACGTCTCATGTATTACAGGATAGAATGCCTCCCGGATTGGATGAGTGTGGTGCAGGAGAGAAGGCACTTGGGCGCTGTCTATCTGTCTGTACTAGAAGTCATCAGGATGATACCCTGCGTATAGAAGAAGAAAAGATTCAAGTAAAGATATGTACACTCGATCGCGGAGTGGGTGGGTTTGCTGTTTCGCATATATATTCTACATGGGTGGCCTGCTTTTTGTTTTGGTTGATATGGTACAGTACACTGGTGCGTGGTGATATAACGGCCGGCGCCCAGGCACACCCAGGGTGAAGCGCGATCGGCCTTTGTCGTCGATCCTACAGCCCAAATTGTACATGCCTCGCTGGAGGGTCGTCTTTCTAGTCCGCCTCTCATACAAGTCCTTCCTCCCCCCTTTCCTCAGACTGCTGGTATCGACCCACTACGATATTATCTCTCCAATATCCACGTAGACAGGCTTCCAGGGCGCGGCATCCTCGGCCAGCGTATCGCTGGGCACGCCGACGGTGTCGCCAGGGCTGTACAGATACCAGGACTTCAGTGCGTTGATAGCAGCTGATATCCTCGCGGCGTCCAGACTCGGACCGACGCCTTCGCCAAGCTTGTCTGTTCCGCTGTAAATTCCGACGACGAATACAGGTGTCCTGCTGAGACGACCCGTCTCGCTCAGTAACCTCGCAACTGGCGCATCGAAGTTCTCTCTCGCACACAGACGTACGAGCTCTCTCGTGGGAAGCTTGAAGTTGAAGAGGTTCGCCAGATCCAACTGTCTCGAGAGGACATGTGCCTTGGCGAACGTCTTCGCGACGTCGCGCCCGCAGTGCAGATAGACGGCCCCGATGACGGCCCGTACGAAGTTTGCATGGGCGTTCTGAGCCACGTCCTCCACGATCATGTCCTTCGTGTTCCGTTGTTTGCTGAGCTCTAGCCCGTCGTGGCTCTGCTCCGACTCGCCCGGCACCAGCTCGCCGAATGCATCGTCGTACAGGATACGGCTGCTCACACCCCTCCGCCACTTGTATCGCTGCAGCTCTTTAGACTCGGCGCGCACGTACCCCCATCTGTTCATCGTGACTGTTGGCCTGTCCGGCGCGAACTGCAGTAGACCCGGGTCGACCTCCTCGCCGGGGGTTGCTGCTGCTTCGATACCCCACGCCCGCGCGATCTGGTGCAGTGCTGGCACGCCTGCGTACCCCTTCATGGCAGCAAACAAGATCGTCATGGGCAGGCGCGGGTACCGGGTCACGAGGAACTCGGATGTGTGGTACTGCAGGAGCGCAGCGCCGACGAAGGCGAGGTTTACGTTGTTGAATCGGGGGTGCGCGTCGGCGGACGGGTCTATGAGCGTTCGGGCGAGGGTCTGAAGGGGAATCTTGGAGGAGAGGGAGAGTCGCGCGTGGAGGGCGGCAAGTTTGGCAGACCGCAGGGCCCGGTCGGGATGTGGTGACGGGAGCGGCCTCTTGCTGTAGTCTATAGGTTTTGGGGCGGCTACATCACGTCCTGCATCTTCGTAGATGACCTCGGGTGACGCAGCCGTGGATTGGCATCTTGTCTGGCAGACCGATGGGGCTGGCGATAGACGGGATGCTGCCAGAGCTCGGGGTATTCTGTTTGAACTGGGCGGCGGGCGGGCTGGAGTCGCAGCGAGCAATTGACTCGATAATCTGTCGATCCTTATTCTCTTCATGTTCGAAAATCCAGATCCCTCATCCCCCACGAATAGGCAGGCGTTGGGACACGGCGTCGTTGAGATGTCCCGGTATGTTGCTTGCAGGAGGGTCGTCTCGTGTCTGGCTCAGGAAAAAGTTTCTATGAGACGGGACCCGAGCTGGCGTCGAGTCGGGGGTGCAGGTGCAGGTGCGAGGTGAGCTCAGGGATCGCTGAACCGTGCATTGAAAATCTCCCGGACTAATAATCGACCATTGGTCCGGCGCCGGGTCTGGCCCCACTTCGAGTCGGCTCCACCCGTAAACGTCCAGCTCCCATCGTCAATTCAATTGGGGACGGCGAGCATTCGAGCTTCCCTCAACCCGCCATCAACGTCAATTGACTACCATAAACCCCCATTTCTCTCACTGCTGGACAAGATGGTAGTTGCCACCGTGTGTTCGCGCTGGATAGATTGCTAACATTCACCAGGGTGGCGGTCCTCGAGTCCCGTAAGCAAAAACATAAACCATTCAGCGATTCGCGATTGCAAAACCACGACCCCGGTTGTCCTAACCCTCGCACCACAGTTACCCCAAGCACGTCTGGTCGCCGGCCGGTGGCTGGTACGCGCAACCGAAGAACTGGAAAGCGAACACGGCGGTTTTCATGGGAGTCATCCTCGGTATCACCGCCCTGACATGGAGATTGAGCGCGCAGCGAGAGTACAGACACAAGATGCCAGAGCCAGACCGATTCTTCCCTAGTCGACAGTACGTCCGAAACCAACACAAGTCTCTCAGCTGGACTACGTACTGACGAGACTTTCTTAGCTGGAGCGTACAGATCAAGGAGCACGAGGCGGCACAGAAGGCGAACAAGGGCGATTCATAGAGCCGGAGATCATCGACGTGTACAGATAGGACACTTTGGGACCGGAAATAAAGGCATTGCAAGACTACATCATACCTGGCCCACAACCGATTGACTGTTCGTCGATTGCAGAGGGTTGTACCCATGTTCAGTACTGGAATACTGAAGAATATCCGAGCAGAAGTCGTGTGCTGCATGACGCGGATGTGCCACTGGAGCTCTTCAAAACTTGCGATCTATATCATGGAAGGACACAAATGCGTTCAATATGCTACGGACGAATCAACCGTGACTCCTCGGTCTGACAATAACTACTACCTTGTGACTACAACCCCTATCTTCTGTACTCCGACACACGCCGATCCAGCCCGAAATCCACCCATCCGTCCATCCAAATTGACTCACTCTAAACAAAGTTTTCTAAACAGCCACATTGCAAAGCTTATAGCCCAGCCCTCACCCCAACGGCACAGGATATATATGCGAGTTTGACAGATGAGTTTAGTAGCCCGGTTGGTACGCCCTAGCGGAGTATTCTTACAAAGTATTGTTATAGGTATATAGGCATATCGGTTCGATTCCCCTAGCGGCTGACATCCTTTTTTTTCTCTTTCTTTCTTTAGCCCTCCATACCCTCACCCCTTTCTCTTTCTTACCTCGGAAAAGCCCAGTCTGCCAGGCAGCCTAAAGTATCAGGTTGTACAGAAAATGGACCCCCTTTTCTAGGTGAATGAACTAATTAGATAATCAGGATTACAAAAGGCTGCCTAGCAGTCTAAGCGATAAGTAGGCTGTAAAAGTTTATGATATATTTATAATTATTAAATTTGTAACTACGAGGCTGTTACGTAATATATACGTATATTAATAATGTTATTAATTAATAATTATACGTTTAATTAACTTTTTAAAACGTGTTAAAAGTTAGACGGCTTGAAATAATTAATTAAATGTTTAAAACTATTGTTTAATATATAATTATTTTTTAAGAACGTTATTTATATATATATAAAGCGTATAACATAGATGACAAGCGAGCGGCAATTACAAGCGAACGGCAATTACAAGCGAACGGCAACTTTTTACCAGCCACTTAACCTTTTTATCAAGGCTCCTAATTGATCCACCAACAATAATGGCATTGCGTTATAACAAATCAGACTTATAGCTTGCTGTCCAAGCTAAATAACACGACCCTTATATTACCATTGGCAAGCTTTCTAAGACTTTCTATATCTCATATAATACCTTAAAGGCTAGAATTGCCGGCTGACCATCACAACGTGATGATATACCCAATACTTTAAAACTTACAGTTTTCAAAGAGAATGACATTTGCTCCTTTATAATCGACCTGGGTACGCGAGCATTTCTTTCCCAGTACAGTTATGTTAAACATATGGCAAATCAATTATTGGCAGCACGTAAGGCTGGATGCATCAGAAAGAACTAGATGCAGAACTTTATCAAACGTACATCAGGTCTTTGGACGCGTTTTTATCAGAAGATAGACTACTAAAGGATCTTAAACAAAGATCCAGACGTATATCGCGCATAGTTTTGCCAAGTTGCGGAAGCAATCACAAAACATGGCATCAAAGACGCGGATATTTACAACTTTGACAAGACTGGGTTTATGATGAGCATTATTGGGTCTGGCATAGTCGTTATCAGCGCCAAAAGACGTGGCAGGTATTGAATACACAGATGTTGATTGATTCTATTAATTGTTCTGCTCCACGTGCAGAGATTGATCATCTGTCTTCTTGGTAGGTTAGATGCACTGTGTGTTTCTGCCCCACTGGAGATCTTCCGGTGTTTATCTCCGGCTTTTATTCAACACATTCGTGCTAGTATCTAACAGCAGGCCTAGACAAGCTCAGCAAGGTGATAGGGAGTAGTCTACAGCAATTTATACTATTAATGCTGATGGTTGGGTGGTCCCGTCATTCATCATTTTACAAGGCAAAACTCACCTTGCATCATGGTATTGCGACACAATATTACCACACAATTGGAAGGTAGCCGTGTCCGGCAACGGGAGGACTATGAATGAGATTGGTTTGGAATGGATTCAGCATTTTGACAAGTATACCAGACCGCGTATGACTGCCGGTAAATGCCTCTTTATCCTAGATGGTTACAAAAGCCATTATTCCTAGGTCTTTAAGGATTATTGTCATAATAATAGCATTATTACCCTTTATATGCCTGCTCACTCGTCACACAGGCTCCAGCCTTTATATGTCAGTTGTTTTAGCCCACTCAAACAAGCTTACAGTCGCATAATTAAGGATCTCATCCGGCGTCATATAACCTACATTTTAAAGGAGGACTTCCTTGCAGCGTTTTGTGAAACACATAACGCTGTTATAACGCCAGGAAACATTTGAGCAGGTTTTAGTGCCACTTGGCTTGTTTTATTTGACCCAGAAAGTGTCATTTCAAAGCTGCATGCTGTCGCTGTGTTACAATTCCGTAAATGTATTGCAAGGATACAGGTACCCTTATTAACTATCGACGTATAACAAACTCTGGTTAAAGTAAAAAGAAAATTCTAGAAACGTACCCAAATTGGTGGGCAGCTAGATGTGGGCAGTCATCCCCCACCAGACCCACCATAGCATGGATCAACCTGTCGTCCAATCAGTCACGTGCTAGTCACGTGTCTAGTCACATAATCATGGGGTCAATGGGGAGTTAGGACTATCCCTGATAGTGAAATCATCACACGCTGTCGTACATATACCATTGCAAGACCCCAATCTGCCACCCACTATTTGGACTTCCAAGACGTTTATCACCATTAACAAAGCGGTAAACCAATCGGTTTATATCCAAAATAGAGTCAGAAACCACCAGGGAAGCTCACCTACATTAATAATTGATGCATTAAGCTTGTTTTAAAGGCTACATACAGTCTTATGCACAAGGTTGCTTTGATTGGTTCCCGGGTCCACGAGCTAGAGGAGGCCAATCACTTACTGAGTAAGCGCTAGGGAACAAAAAATAAACATCTAATAAAAAGAGAAATACTTTTAATTTAAAATACAATAAGTCTTCAAGCTGTAAAGGATAGTAGTGAGCTGGCAAGACAAGAAATGGGTGAAGGTAGTTGTTGTCCAAAGAGGGTACAGCGCATGAGCGACGTTGTGCCGTTTGCGGTAACACTGGCCATAATGCGCGAACTTGTACAATAGGAATAAAAACGTCTGAAGAAAAAGAATCCGATTGATTAGATTGAATTAAATGCGTTGTGATCGAGTTATTTGACACATTGATTAGAAGGTTGGTAAGAAGTTGCTGTTTGCTTGTAATTACCGCTCGCTTGTCATCTACAGTATATATATATATATAATTATATTTGCGTTTCAAAATTAAAACTATCGCTTTAAATAAAATTTTACCGGTATTAAAAAAATTCAATCTTCATCTAATATTAATAAAATAAAAATAAATTATTTAATATAAAATAATAATAAATAAAGTCTGTAATTATATAACATAAATGTTTTTTAATTTAGATATAAACGTATATATTATAAAATATTTTACAAACCTTTTTTTTAAATTGGTTGCGTTCAAATACTTATAATATTAACTTTTAATAAGGATTAATATTTAAAGTATAACGCGTAAACCGCCTGCCCCAAGGGCACGGAACGACGCCTTGCAAGGCCGTTTACGAAAGGAGGGCTCTGTGTTTTTCAGAGGTAATCTCTTTCTATTGAGTTAAGCCACCTTATGCACCAGCCCCGTACCTTTTGCACATGTCTACCATGTAGTCAACCACCAGTACACAATCGAACACCCAAAGCTACATACCTAATCGGGGCAGAGTTCCATGTGGATATGAAGACACTGTCCTTGATGACCCTCTAGAAAAGGAAGCTACAACCTCTCAAGCCATGCACATGCCTCAGAAGTGGTTAGCTACTGGGAGTTCTCAGTATCACGCCCAGGCTTCCGTCCGCATGTACAATTGCTGTGATCTTACCATGAGAAGTGTAAGATAGGCAAGCGCTGTTTGAAGCGCGATCGATGAGGGAGAACGGAGTCCGGCTGGTGATGGCGGTAACACTACTATGGACTGGTGATGGAGTAGTTGACTCAAGTAGCTATCGATATTAGATGTATCTCCATATAGACTGTGTGCAGTCTCGACCTCATTGTTCAGAAGCACACGGAATTAGGTGTGCTGGGCTGAATTTGTCTCACTCTTCCCGATAAGGTGTTCATCTTAAGAACGCGACGAGGCATGGCGACCAGACTGATGACGCATAGCCAGTAGGCCCTGCTCTACATGAATGGACGAGTTGATACTAAGGGTACGATATTAGTACGGCCATTATGGTGCCCTTGAACAGCGTCTCGAACTGTAGAGATCACCATTGATACACCCGAATAGGGGCAACTGGAGTGCCAACGAAGACTTCGGACATTCGTACGGCATCATCTTGTCGTCGTTGGTTATCTTAGATGTGAACCCTATGAAGGCAACTCTCCTGAATAATAGGCCACGCCGAGAGAATGAAAGATACTGCTGGCAATAGTGATACGAGTTCCAGGGCCAACTACATGTATTTCACACATCTAAGCTACGTAACCATCGATTTGCAGGTTTCAACCGCCATCGTGAGTGAGGTACCCCTGTCCAATGACACCACCACGAATGGCGCATGCTATGGGCAGAGGTCTCGTGGAGCTAGATAATCTAGTCGCCCTCTCCTCAAGTACTTGCATGTAAACGTTGGAAGCATCGATTCGCCTAAGCTGCTGGAGCTTGTTGACGTTTTACTCTCAGGGACAAACAGATCGACCGTTTGGTTAAACAACGAAGCGTTATATACCTTGCCGGCTGAAATATAGCCTGCTCGCAGTATATAGCCTAGTCTTAAGGACATAGTGCTCATTGTAATATGTGCGAAACATAAAAGGCATCTACCTCGGGTAGCAAGAGCTGGAGGGCACAAGAGGAGTATACAGCCGGACTTATCAGGCATATCATATCGCAAGACGGG